GTCAAACTCAAAGTGTGGCACGGGCCACATAAACAAGGTTTAAGTTTATGTGGGCCGCACACATACACACACACAAACACACACATACTCACTGACATACACACACACACACAGACATAGATACACACACACATACTTACTGACAGACAGACATACAGACAGACACATACAGGCACACTGACACATACACACACAAACACTGACAGACACACACACATACAGACACACACACATATACTCACAGACAAAAAACACATACGTACAGACATACATACAGACACACTGACAGACGCACAAACTGACAGACACACACACACACTCACTGACAGACACACACATACTTGCTGACAGACACACACACACACACACACACACACTCACAGACACACACACAGACAGACACACACACTCAATGACAGAGAGGTACATACACACAGACAGACGCACACGCAGAGAGACAGACACACACACATGCACACACTCACTGACAGACACAGAGACAGACACACACACATACTGACACACACATACAGACACACACACACATACTCACTGACAGACACATACATACTTGCTGACAGAATAATACAAAAATAAGAATGTAGCGCTTATGTAAAAATAGAAATAAATCACCTTATGGAGCTGTTTAAAGGAGAATTGTCCTGACAAGCCCAATAAGTGGATATCTATAAAAGATAGTTAGACATAGTGCAGGTCATACATTATAGAGCAATATATATTGATTTAATTGTGTACACACTCACAAACGAAGAGCTATAGACCCAGCTCTGGTTTGAATTATTTCTGAGTCCGTATTGGCGACCCACCCCTATTCTCGATGAAATTCTTGTTCTAAGTGTGGAGTCATGCAATAATGACTCAGTTTTCAAGAGTTGTGCAGATTAGGGACTGCACTCCCTGTTGCATGTAGTGATACTGGGAACCAGGATCGGTGAAAACAAATAAAACATTTATTATAACAATATAAATACAAATAAAAGAAGCAACAATGTGCTAAAAACCGGGACGCGTTTCGCCACTACTAGTGTGGCTTCTTCAACCGGATAAAATCAATCAGTGTCCTTAAGTTCCCTATACATGCTTAAATATCCCTGAAATAAAGTAAAACTCAGTCATGTGACATTGCAGCCACTATAGGAAAGCATTGAATCAATGTTCATGCGCATCAGGTCCCCAAAGCTCCTCTATCAAAACCATTGGATTGGATCATCCCAGAGGAAACCATGTCTCCTTTGTGATGTTGCAGGAGGAGAAGACGTAAGCAACACCAAAGGAGTCTCAATACAGGAAAAGTTAAGTAAGAAGTTTTTTAAAATTCTTTTTATGGCACGCGTGTGGGGATGAGGACCTATGTAACTAGGAACAGGGCCACTAAAGTGTTTGGAAAACAGGTTTGTATTCCTAACACTTTAAATAATTTATGGGATTGACATATATGTATATAATTACAAGCTTTGCATGATTTTATTTGTTATGGTGAAATCTCAATCATTCATATGAGTCATAGTATGTCTTATGACACTTGTCACATGATATAGGTATTCAAAGCATGGATTGTATAGATAACATTTGTTTAATTTTTCTTTCTGTGAACTGTCTCATTATCTCCGTGCTCATGTGCATGAACGCATTGTACCGCCATTGAGTAGAATAATACCCAGAGTCAATGGAAAATGATTCATAAACAATGCACAGCATGCAGCAGCGTAACAGTTTCCACATACAACCTTAACAAAACAATAGTATAGACAATTGTTTGTGAAAACTTTGTAATTTGTTACACTGAGTTGTAGTGTCTGCGTTGCTTGGAGAATAACCTGAATGTCAACTGGGTGATTCCATTAATGTTTTGGTTATATTTGGCTTTTATTATAATTTGTATTTTGTTATTGCCTTCTCTTCTAGATCTGACATTGACTAATATATAATCAGGGGGTAGACTTATGTGACTAGTCTAGGAGTGGAGATCTGTACAATAGTGTATATATTTGTAAGCTGGCATGCCATTCGGTAACCCTAATGTTGGCCTTCCCACCATGTTTGTGGTAATAAAGTTTATTGAATAATCATGATGGCTACCCTGAACGGACAGTCTCAAGACATTGTTGATCAACTATGTTGATAAAGGCTTCTGATGTGGCATAGGTTTCCAAAGGAAAGTGAACTATCCTCTTTCTCTGTGCTTGGCAGAATTTTGTTTACTAAATGCTTCTTTTATAGTGTCCTCTATCTGAAGTCTGCATTAGTATTGTTTGGGATTTAGCCATGTAATACCAATGCAAACTTCACACGGAGAAATGTTTAAAAAGAGACATCTGAATCTGAAATTTCACTTTAGTTCCAGTTCCTTTAGTGCTAGTTCCAGTTTTTCTTTCCCCAGATCCCCCTTCTCTCAGCTAATTCCTGCTTTTTCCACATAGATGCACTTCACTCATACTCTGTAAACATTTCCCATCCAACACACCAATCGCTTTCTCTCCCATCACAACTAACTATGTCTTTCTCACCATATCATTCCTCTCCAGCCAGAATATACTATTATGATCTTTTACCCCAGTCTCGTCTGACTTATCTCCTTCTAATTTGTATAGAAACATATTTGCCCAGACATTCTTTTTAACATGAAAATGGCCCGATGATAGAAAATACAAATGAAGACAGTAGTTTAGTGTTTTCTATATTCATTAAGAAGAAAAGCCTCCCCTTTTGTCAAGCCCCTATGGTGCAGAAGGTGTTAATAAGCCCTTCTGTGATTTACCTGGCTCACGCGCCGATGTCCCTTTGAAATGGCTCAGCTCCGCCCACTCTCCTCCCTCGCTGACATCCGAGGCCTAGTTAGACCGCATGCACTAACATTAGGATTTCCATATTGGAAAGCATTATTCAATGATTTCCTCTGGGGATTCCGGTGACGCTGGAAGTCCTCATGCATGGCGTGAGGACGTCCAGCATTATTTAGGTGACCAAAAGTCGCCTTCAAGCCCTGACGTCCCTCTAGTGGCTGTCTGCTATACTGCAATAATTACATGCTCATGGTTAAGGGTGATGGGAGTTTGCACCCAGACAACTGAGCTGACGTGGTCTGGGTGCCTACAGTGTCCCTTTAAAGAATTAACAATTGACATCCCATTCCATGATTGAATAAAGCTGTATAAGTTTCTACATTTACAGGGTTATTCAAAATCCAAAGTGAATTTCAAACATTAGGCCAAAGTAGACGAGCTGGAAGCATAATTGATGTAGGGTTTTTTCCAATTCAGCTATTTTGACCTTAAATTTTAAATTCACTTTGAATTGCTTTGCTTAATTTATAACCTTGTTATTTTCATTTTTTTTTTTTTTTTTAATTCACAAACACAAATTTGTTAAGTATAGGTGATATTCAGTTGTTTCCCTTTAAGCTGTGGTCTGTAGTGAAGTCAACAGAGCTAATCAAAGTTCCTGCTTAGGAATTTCCGTCTTTCCGGTATTGGTAGTGGAGACGGGGAGTGGACACCAGGTAAGAAATCACCAGGTAAGAAATCCCTACCTACAGTATTTTACTTAACCCCACCTTGGTTATCTATTCTTTGCCATTTCTACTCACTGCCAACCACTGCATGAAAAATGAGGGGGGATGGCAAGGAGAGCAAAGTGGGTAACCCCCACCTACAATACACACACACATAAAGAATAAATTCTCTCTCGCTCCCTCTCCCCAGTGAATCAGGTCCTTTCTACATCCTATTATCATAGACACAGAAATTCACAAGACGTTCCCCTCAGTCAAAATTATAGTATCCAAATTGTTCATATTATAGGGACTATTGTCTTCTTCCCTTGTTGTCCCCCTATTAATTAAATATTCTATTTTTTTGATACTATTAATTTTACGGTACCATTCCATAACTGTGTTTTTTTTTGTCAGTTTCCAATAGAGTGGAATAAGGGTTTTTTGCTGCAATTATTAATAGGATTCCCAAAGATTTCCTAGCACCACAGACTTCTTTATTTATATACCACAGTAAGACCAACTCCTTTTCACTGTACACACAGTATCACAGTTTATAAAATACAATGTGCACATGGCATCACAGTTTGAGATTCACTGTACACATAGTATCACAGTTTTAGAAGATTCACTGTACACATAGTATCACAGTGCATGAGATTCACTATACACATAGTATCACAGTTTATAAAATACAATGTACACATTATATCACAGTTTGAGATTCACTGTACACATATTTTCACAGTTTACAAGATTCACTGTACACATAATATCACAGTTTATTACATTCACTCTACACATAGTATTACAGTTTATAAAATACAATGTACACATAGCATCACAGTTTCTGAGATTCACCCTACACATAGTATTACAGTTTATAAAATACAATATACAGATGATTTAGTTTTTGAGATTCACTGTACACACAGTATCACAGTTTATAAAATCTAATATACACATAGCATCACAGTTTATAAAATACAATGTAGACATAATATCACAGTTTCTGAGATTCACTGTACACATAGTATCACAGTTTATAAAATACAATATACACATAATTTAGTTTATTAGATTCCCTCTACACATAGTATCACAGTTTATAAAATACAATGTACACATATCACAGTTTATTAGATTCAGTGTACACATAGTATCACAGTGCATGAGATTCACTCTACACATAGTATTAGAGTTTATAAAATACAATGTACACATAATATCACAGTTTATTACATTCACTGTAAACATAGTATCACAGGTTATAAAATACAATGCACACATAGCATCACAGTTTATTAGATTCACTGTACACCAAGTATCACAGTTTATTAAATACAATGCACACATAGTGTCACAGTTTATGAGATTCACTGTACACCAAGTATCATCGTTTATGGAATTCAGTATGCACATTTTGGTATGTTAGTTTTTGATACTATGGTGACTCGTTTCTATAGCATTACAATCCCGAAGCCTGTATATGTTTTCCATATACCAGCACAGCCCCTGTGATGTCAGAGGAGGCGTTCCCTGCTCAGGCAGAGAGCTGACACTTGTTACACACTATTCAGAGCAGGAGACCGAGAGAGAGAGAGTGACACACAGACACACACCTTGTGTGGGTAAGTGTTCACTGGCATGCAGTGTTACATTGTTACAGTAAGCAGTAAGGTAGCAGGCAACGCTGGTCATATTGTTTCAACTTTGATATTGATTTTGAAATAGGATAAAGCTGGGTACATTGATTGTTACTGGGAAACTGTTTATTACAGAGAAGAACAGGCTCTTTCCTGGTCTAACAAATCATTACATGGCAATCAGTGTACTGTACCCACAACAGTGACAAGTGTCACACTTTACAGCAGACAGACAGATAACACTATTAATAGGGTACCTGTAGTACTCTCCTATTTATGATATGTGTGTGTGTGCAATGACAACATATACATTGGCATTTAAAAACAGGGAAAAAATATTACATTATTTCCTCATCATAGTTTTGCTACAGACACTGAAGTAACACAGGAGAAGAGAGTTCTACAAAATTGCCAATCTTTCCAGTTCCCCAACCCCTTTAGATTGTGTCACATTAATTACCAGACTGTGATTTGAATTTGGTGAGCCCACGACCAAGGTATTTAAAATGGCTGTATCTGTTAAAATGCAAACCCTGTTATATGTATTTATTTTATATTTGTCTTTTCTGGCAACCTCTCTTCTGATTCTTAAAATACTGACTGTATTCAACTAATAATAACTATGGCAACTTTTTTCTGTTTGTATTTGTTTTTAGTTTCCACTCACCACCATGCCAGTAATATCACTATTCACTATTATCACTAATATCACTAATATTACTCCTCTTCATTTCACAGTTTTTTATGTCTTACACCAAAGTTTTATTTTTATGGCTGTCACAGTTATTAACTAAAGTGTGTACTTACAGAATATTTAAAATTTTAGGTCAAACTAAGTAGAACTAGTAGAATTCTTCAGTTCAGCTAAGTTTGTATTTTTTTTTATAATTTGACCAAAAATTGGAAGTTAACTTTGAATTTCCAACACATCACCCTGAAGTGAATATCCCTGTGTAATACATTTATCGTCTATTTCCATTTAGAATATGTTAGTTTTAATTCCTTGTTGATAAATATGTTTTCCTGCAAGCACTGGTGAATATTAGGGTTACACTATCTCTTCCATTTTGAATGACTTAACCCTTCATAACTTTTTCAAAATGCTGTGACATATGCCCTGTTGCCATTTTTGCTGTTTGTTCCACCATTATTTGTCATTTAAGACTTTACATTTAAAGGAACATTGTAGTGTCAGTACCACAAACATGTATTCCTGTGTTAGTGTTAAACTAACTATTTAGGTAACCGGCCCCTCTTGCATGCCATGGAAAAGGTTGTTTTACTCCCCCCTTTTTCCATGCCGTGCTGGTCTCGCAGTGGCTGGCTCCACCTCCATTAATGAGATCATCAATCTTGATGATCTCGGCCAATCTGATGCTTTCCCATGGGAAAGCACTAGAATGCTATTGCGACATTCGCAGCAAAACGCTGCACTGCACCAGAGAACATTTCATTATAAATATGCATTGAATCAATGCATCTTTATGAGGAGGGTTTGACGTCCGCAGGCAGCGTGTGGAAACTTGGAATGTAGGTGCTGCAGACTGTGCAACCCTGAAATAAAAAGTACCTCTAGTGGCCGTCCGAGTGACTGCCGCCAGCAGTATTACTAGCCAGCAATGTAAACAGTGCCTTTTCTGTGAAAAGGCAATGTTCACATTGAAAAGCTTTCAGGTATATGATGTAGACACCAGAATCACTACATTAACCCCTTAAGGACCAAACTTCTGGAATAAAAGGGAATCATGACATGTCACACATGTGTCCTTAAGGTTTTTTTTAAAGTGTAATGCTTCTGGTGAGTATAGTGTCTCTTTAAGTGTACCAATACATAATATACACTGTTTTTACACGACAGATTGATATTTCTTCTGATATCCAATATATGTATTGAACACAATATAAGTTATGAACAAATTATTTTAAAAAATTAGAAAAAAATAACTTTTTTCTCATAATACCTTCTACACAAATAATACAAAACAAACCCAACAACTAAAAATAGATTGTTTATTAGTCCCAATTTGCGAAAATATATCATATGTCTACGATTTCAGTACATTTTTGGAAACTATAGAGCAAATATATGACAAGCAGTGAATTGTAGTGTTGAAATTAAACCTTTGCCAAATTAGACATGCTGACTCAAAGAATCGAAAACCTCTACAGAAAAGTATACATTTGTAGATAGACCTATTAGGGTATTTAACTATAAGTATTTTCATTGTTTTAATTTAAGCATTTTGACACTAGCCCAGCCAAAACTACTGGGTATATTTATTTTTTTTGTCATGATTTTTCTAAACATGTGTAATTTCCAGGGTTAATTTAATAGACCATGTATGTCCCGGTACTGTAAAGATCCCTGATTTGTATTCTGCTACTGTCACCAAGTTCCCCACATCTATATATTGACCTGGTTTGGGGCAATTTATAGAGTCACTTTAGAGATGGTCATTGCTGCTGCCCAGGAGTAATGGGAGTTTGAGTGCAGGAGTAGTTTCTTTGTATTTGTATTCACTTTTGTATCACACAGCTAGGTTGCAATGCTGCTGCCCATCCCATGTGTTCCCTATTAAGGGTTAATAAGCATCTAGGGATGTATATAAAAAATACCCTTTTATGTCTCATTAGAGATATCTTTGCCAGAAGCTCAAGGAAGCAAGGTGAATAGTTAGCGTTAGGACCCACCTAAGAGGTCTGCCTTGACGTGGCAGGTTGGCATTCCCTCTCATGGCCATTGCAGGTTACTGAAAACCTCAATTTTTAAAAAAATACATTGGGATGTGGAAAGAGCGCAGGTAACGTTTTTCTTTGGTTTTTACTGTATGTATTTGGGCTGATGTGTACTATGGCCGTTGCTGCCACCCAGGAGTAATGGGAGTTTGAGCGCAGGACTTGTTTTTTTGTATTTGTATTCACTTTAGAGATTTGCCCTAATTTTGGCATGCTTCTTTTACTTGCTTCCAAGATATGATATTTGGTGTTGGTCCTATCTGTGACACCATACTGACCAGCATCACACTTTGACGCTATTATTAATGCTCCCTAACCCTGATCCTAATTGTAACCCTAGCCTTAGCCTAAACCCTAACTATGTAGTATAGTAGATTGGCCTCTTGGTTGATTGATCACCCTCAAAGGGACATTGTAGGCACTACAACAGGGGTAGGTAACCTTCGGCACTCACGGCGTTGTGGACTACATCGCCCCTGAAACTCTGTCACCAACATAGCTGTAAAAGAATTATAGGAGATGTAATCCACAACATCGGGAGTGTCGTACGTGGTCTACCCCTGCACTATAACCATTTCATCTCATTGAATTGGTTAGTGATTGGAGTCCCTTGGTACTGTCCCTCCATTCAGTGTTAAATTATTTTTGAGAAATACTGAATTGTCTCTGGCAGTCCACAGCCTGGCCCCTACTGAAGTTATGGCTAAGGCAGAGATTACCCACTCCCCTTTAGCCATATTAATTCATACTTGCATTAGGCATAAGCTGAAAGCAGTCAGCTGACACTTTCAGCCAATCACATTCACCTATTGCTGCACAGGCTCATGCTTCCTCAGTAGCACAAGCAGCATTGAGGGGATGGGCTGCTGGGAACCCCATACACCATTATAATGTTAGAATGTCTACAGTGTCCCTTTAACTGATATTTAAGGCATGTTATGTCTGTCATTGGCTTCCAGGATGTTTGGTCAACCTGGAGGCCTATTAGGGAATACTGCTGTACTGCCTCATTGTGAGGTAGTCAGATGTAACCAATTGACAGCTGATCACAGCATGCACTGCGGCAGCCAGTGATTAACTGTCAATCATGCCACTGTGATCAGCACAAATCTGTACACTTCACAACATTCTGCAGAAATAAATGTAACACACTGCCCCAAAAATAGGGATGTGATTCCGTAAAGTGTCACAATTGGGTTTGTTGACTAAACTCTGACTTGTGGCAACATTTTGGCAAATTTGCATGTTTAGAGAGTTTTTCAACTCAGGTGCAGTCATAGCTCTGCTTCTTTCAACCTTCATTTTGCCATTTGGATTTCAAATCCCTACAGTTCATGGTGTCTGTGACTGTATTTTTGCATATGGCCAATGTGCCAATGTGCGATTGCAAGTGTTTATTTGTGCAGAGTGTCAGTTTGTGAATTCAGTGGTGCATTAGTATGGAGCTTTAGCGTGTTTGTGCATACCTGCTCTCCCTACTAGTTCAGTTTGCCACAGCTACCATTTTGTAGATCTCTCCATCCCACTTAACTCATGTATCTCCTTCCCCTTTTCCCCATTTATCTCCATATGTCCCCATTTATCCACCCTTACACCCCCTTTTCCCATATATTTTCCGCTAATAACCTGCTTTTCACCACTTGCGTGCTGCTGCTTATTGTCAGGATTACATGTTGATCCAGCATGCAGTACTGTGTCACACCCAGGACTAAGGATAACGTATAACCGGACCTTAGAATAGTCAGACTTAACGTCTCCAAGAATAGCCAATATACTTGCCGAGGTCAGGGACACAGAATCAGACACAAAGATGAGGGAAAGCCAAAAGTCAAGGGTACCAGAAAATCAAGATCAGGAACACACTCTCGGATAACCATAGGCATGAGCAAAGGGAAACTTGGGTTTAAATACCCCTCCTGTGCATCCGATTGGCTGTAACTGGCCTTTGACTCCAAAGGCAATTACCAAGTGTGCATGATTGCTGCTCAGCACAGATCTTCCTGTGGATTTGATTGGCTATGACTGGCCTTTGACCCCAAATGTAATTACCAAGTTTCCATGTGCATGATTGCCGCTTGGCACAATTTTTCCTGTAAGGACGGTAATGTTGCTTGGCACAACTTTTCCTGTCAGGACAGTAAATGCCATTAACCACATTTTTATGTGCAGATGAATACGTGACACCTATAACCCCCTTCCGCTACTTGTGTCCCTCTGCTCAAGCTCCCGTTCCCCACTTGTGACCTTCTGCCTGTACTCTGTCCATAGCCCCTTTTGCCATCCGAGTCTTTCTGTCCACCCTCTCCCTTTCTCCATTATGTCATATCCCCTTCCGATAGGTCCAAACCACTGTTCTGTACTTTGATCGCTCTGGTTATAACCCCTTCTCCCACTTCTGTCATTAACCTTGTCCAACCTTTCCTTTGTCAGGCCAATGGGATGGGAGCGGAGCCAGAGTCTTGGCTATCTTGCTTTTCCAGGTGGCAGGTGCTGTGTGTAGAAAGTGGTGGTATAATGTAATAGCCCCATGCTCACTATCGGCATTCACATCTCCTGGTACATAACCAAAGACTCCTGCAGAGTATTCTTGATCATTTCCTGGACTCAGATTATATTGCTGACTTCCCACTTGGTCAAACAAATATAATAAAATAAATAACTAAAATGATGATGCCGTCTGGCTCAGTGCCAGGTAATAAAAAAAATGTAAATCACATACAATCTTCACGTGTTCCGGTCTGATCTAGAATTTCAGGGAGAGCCTTTGCCTTGGTGCCCACCTCCCCAGATCAACATCTACTTTGAAGTGGTTTTGTCACCTTCTTGGGTCTATGCCTAATTTGCAAATACCCCCAACAATAACTGCTCTTCTGGGTGGTTGTAGGGTGCGGTGGAAGGTGAGCTATCATGAACCTATCCCTTGCGGCCACTGCCATGGCTTCAACTACTAGAAACCAACGGCAGTATTGTAGTTTAGCAGGAGCACAGCATTGTGGCCCATGGTAGATCCTGCACAGACATGGCCTATTCCATTGGGGGTAATTACAAGACTCGAGAAAGGTAGTTGCACCATATGTCAAGTTTTTTCAACATACGAAAAAGTCCCTAATTTGTCTTGGTATATCTTTTGACTGTGTTAGAATGTCAGTGAAATTCCAACAGTCAATGTGAGTATTTAATAATGTGAGGTTTTATCTCTATGAGATACTCAGTGTAGAGTGAGGGGGTTGACAGTAAGTGCAACATATTTTGTAGTAATTACCAGGTTAAAACAAGGATCACTGACACATTGGTGCAGGACTTTACAGTGCTCTATATTGATACCAAGTCACTTCTCCCTTTCTTCATCTTGTTTCCTGATCCTTATATATGCTCCAGTCCTTTCACAATAAAGGGAATCTTAGGAAACATAGTCTTCAAAAATGTAGGCAAATGTGGTCACTAGTAATTGTGAGTAACTATAACACTGTAGTGGAACACAATAAAAGTGCATCCTTCTAAAAATGTGTGTATATGACTGCATTTGTAATTTATATACACTTGTGCATAACGTGCATATGAGGACCTGTATATAATGTGTGCCTGTACTTGTAGAAAAAGTATGTAGGAAATAGTTGGTCAGTGTTTTGCTGAATTTGACTGCTTTGGAGGATCAATATAAATTGTTGGGTGCAGGGAGCTGGGTGGGTTGGTAGGTGTAGGTGAGTAAATAGGTATTGGTGCGTAAACACAGAAGTGAATGATGTGTAAGGTGTGACAGAGAGGGTGAGTGTGGCTATGGGTAAGCATGTGACTGTGTTGCTAAATATAATTCAGTGGGTGAAAGAGTGTGACTGTATGGGAGTATGTGCCAGGATATGTGACTGGGTGAATGGTATGTAACAGGCTTGGAGTATGTCTCAGGGTGCCTGTTTAGGTGACAATAACTAAATTGGTTCTGGTGAAGGACACCATGCATCTTGTAAACAAGCTAATGGGATGGGCAACTATAAAGAGAATCCACAGGATTTGCAGATAGAGGTAAAGTGCCTGGGTGCACTTCACCCCTGCATCATCTTAGCTCACCCCTGGTAATTTCCAGATCATAGTTCAGTGAATTAACAAAAGCCGTACTGTTTGTACCTGACATTGCATGTATTGATGGCTGGGGAGATGGAAGGGCACGTGGTCCAATTCCTTTTTGTTTAACAGGGTTTGATGTATGCCCAGGAGAGGAGATTTCACTTCTTCTCTCCCGGGTATACTCTGCAGTATTGGGGATTAAATCATATTCTTGTGTGACAACAAACAGGAAAGTACCCAAGTAATTGTTATGCTTTCTGCAGTCTGCCGGGAGCTGCACACACTAGCTTCCTTGTATGAAATTCCTTTCACCAAAATATCCCCAGGGGGTAACAGTATCCAGAAATGCGAGAACTAGAATAAAATAATACAATACTACTGTGACATAATATATTTTAGAAGGTAGTGTATTGTTTCTATTTAGAATTCTCATTTTAATGAATATGCAAAGTCAATTTATGCCTGGGACAAGTCATCTGACACATACTGGATCCAACACTAATATCAGTATACCAGTATCAGTAATTAACTTTTAGTGGAACCGTCAATCACTTCTGCACACTTCATAGACTCTCCTTTATCAGTGGGCTCCTAGTATTTAGTCTAACTGGGCTTATTTTAGCAAATAGAGCAGGGTCCATTTCAATAGTTGACTTGTCAACATATAGAATCCTTAGCAACATGTTCAGTCTTTAGGCCCTCACAGATATACACACACATAGACACTTTACATTATAAGAATATAAAGTCAGTTACTTGGCACCAATTGTAAAATATGTTCTCAGTGCTCCCTATATCCCACTCCCCCGACCACATACCCTGCTCCAAGACTTCCCCTAAAATTTTTATTCTTATTTGTCTAAAAGAGAGATCAGAAAACTGATCTATGAGAATACAGTTTTTACACAAATTGTAAGTACGTAGAAATATAATTGTTAAATAGAATAACAATACACTAACTAAAATGTTAAACAGTATTTGTAAAGCTAATATATTAGCACAACAGGTGCAAACAGATACAAAGTCCTGAATAATTCTGCCATAGCAAGCCAACCTATAAAATCCTAAATCAAAATGGAATGTCCCACTCATTAACAATGACAGGCCTGTATAGATCTACAAAATGTTAAATGAGTAGGACTAGAGTAGATTTGTGGTATTTGGGGAATTAAGTGGGCTATTTACATATCATATCATTAATGGGGAACTCCAGGCACCAATATGACTTTAATAGATTTGATAGGTTAGGGCTTCATTCATATGCTGTATACAAAGGGTATTCCTGACACTACAGTTTGAAAAAAACAAAACAGTTTAGGCCCCTGGCCCCCCTTACCCCTGGTTAAAAAGGGGAGTATTTTCACCTTTTTCCTGCCTGTTGTGGGTCTGTAGCAGCTGCCTCCGCCCACGCTCTATCCCCCATGGCTGAGATCATCAAACTTGATGATATAAGTTAATCTAATGCTTTCCCATAGGAACGCATTGGGAGGCAGTCGCAAATGTGCGGCAAAACACCCTGCTGTGCCAATCACCATCTCCTCATTGAGATGCACTGGATCAATGCATCTCTCTGGGGAGCGTTCAGAAGATGGTTGGATCAGACCATCACAGCGAGTGTGACATCTCCAGGATGACATCGCGCGAGACAGAATGGCAGCAGCACAGGGGGAGCCTCGGCGCTGACGAAAGGTAAGTTAATCCTTTTAAACTATTTTATTGGAGTTGTAGGGGTCATCTAATCTAAATAGAGACTTGGCCACTATAGTTTTAGGAATACAGGTTTGTTCTATTGTAAAAAAGAAACAATATTTTAAAAATGTTGTATTGGGGCATGTTAATAAAAATAATTAAATGGTCAGTATAATGCCTTGATTACTTCCAAATAAAATGTCATTTTCTTTTGTAAACAGGGCATAAGATGGAACCAACAATGGAGTCTCAAATTCGTAAACAGAAGAGACAATCGAAAGAGGAGTTAGTAGGTAAAGAGCATTGCACTAAATACCCTTTAAAATAAATCATAAGTGTAACTTGCATTCATCTGATTAAACCTACAATCATAAGTAAGTGTACTGAGGAGTAAAGCAATATGTTATATTATACTGATTGAATCCATTGAAGCATTAGCAACTGGGATAAAGGATAATAGTTTGATGGACGTGGGTGTCATGCCAACAGATACTGTATTTCTATCCAATCAGGAGTTATGCATATTTGCCAAATTATGGGAAAGCCGTCTGCTGCTGTTTACTCTATTGTCGGTCTACTATCTCACTCACTATGGTCACTGGGTCCACCCTACAGATCTGCACCTCCTGCCCAGTTCCACAAGCCCAGTGGTCCTCCCTTACAGAATAACATAAAAACAATTCTGTGCTACACTATGCAAAAATGCAGTATTGCAGGTTTACTTTAATTGGGTTATTCTCTAAAGTAAGAATTTAAAGTAAATATGAAATTTAAGATCAAAATCGCCAGACCGGATAAATTCTGCTGGATAAAGTCAAAAATTTTTAGTTTGGCCTTAAATTTGAAATTCACTTTGAATTCTCGTATAATTCTCAGTTTAGTGATTAATCATAACATTTTATATGTGTGCTGCAATATATGTTTTTATAGACAAAATTGTATGATTGACTTCTGACTAATTTTGTTGTACCGGATCTGTCATCGTCATTGTTCTAACTTTACAGTTAAAATTAAGGTTAGGGCTATCATATTGATAATTCTAATTTCTAGAAAGCATGTGTATAAATAAAACCTCACAAAGTCACATTATTCCAGATTGATCAGCAGGACAGCACCTGTTTTCTTGTCCTCTCGGTGACATAAAAGGCAGTAGGTATTTCGGTTGTTGTCAATGCAGGTATTCAAGAAACAATGTGGGTTTTCAAGAATTTCCTGCTTTTCAGCATTGTTTGAAAAATCTCTCATGTATCTAGTTTTAAAATGAAAAATGATCATGATTGAAAAAGCGACAAAAAACACATACTTGCCTATGGCGTGTTACATCTTCTTAAAGAGGAACTGTCATGTTTAAAACAAGCCTATGTATATTTACATTCTCTAATAGATGATGCAATCACAAAATAGTGTTCTCTGTTTGTAAATGTAAGCTTTTTGTAAATAAAACTAAACTAAGTGAGAGAGTAGAGAAGGGAAGGTAAACAGAAAAAACAAAAACATTAGTACTGCCCAATATATTGATTTAAAAGGACATACCAAGCTCCACAGCCACTACAAACTACTGTTATGGTTATGGTGCTAAGACGCTGTCCCCCACAGACATGCATTTTACATTTTCTGTTTTTTTGAGACCTCCCACCCCATCCTTTAACATTATTCAGCTGTATAAGTACTTGTACGGCACGGGCAGGCAGGTATTATTAATTAATGTCGACCTAAGGCTTGTTACGTGTAAGACACCAGAACTACTTTGTTAACATTGGTCTACAAGTAGGATTTCTATCTACACATGTTCAACTCATTACTGCTGCTGTCAAAGAAGACACGAACAAATCCAGTTGGACAGCCATGGTCTGTTGGGCGACCAAGTGTTACCACTACCAGGTCCAGCCAGTCTGTGCTGCGTCTTTCACTAGTGAGAATGACTCATATCCAATGCATCTACCTATAATTGAAAAAAGTCTTTATTTACAGTTTCCGTGCTCAACAAACTGAGTGCACAAGCCGTTTTAAAACTGGTTATCTGATAATACAATGGAAAAGGGTTTGTTAATGGATAAATAAATAAAAGTAAGCATGACTCAGATGTTTGCATAGTGGTTGTAGTCTAGGAACATATTTCCGATAGACATTTTTTCACCTTCGAGATGATGTAACTAGTTGCTCCATTAAGAAGCAACTCTTATAGAGAAGGGAATCTGTCGGAGTTATTGTTGAATATAAAAATGGTAGCTCACAATGGCTTTACTATAGGAAAGTGATGCAAAACAGAGTTACATTTTTAATAAACTGTCCATTCAGAATGTCATAAATCCATATGGATAGAAATATTAGTAACATAAACAAAAGGCAGTATAGACAAATTTATCAAACGCAAACAAAACATTTAAAAAATGACACCTATATTGTCATGTTCACAATAACCAGTTATCTTATTAGAAAGTGGAGGAAGGAGGTTGTCAGAACAGTCATATATTTGTGTGAGGATGGCATTTGTAATTTCAGTTCATACAAATTTCAGAAATGATCAATTCACAATAAAATTGTGTCTGGAAATTTTGTTAAAATTTAGAAGCCCATTATCCCCTATGGGGAATGAATGAATGAATGAAAGTGGTTGTCAAAAAGTTATACAGTATCAATTTAGAGAGTAATATACAAGACTGCTGAAAGATCACAATTAAGAAAAGCCCTTTAATTAAAGGGTTACTCCAACCCTTTTTTTAGTAAACATTTATTGTAGTCAGTAATGCGATAGTGTACATTACTGACTTGTCCCTCCGCATGGTTAAAATTACCCTATTAAAACCAGTAATATTACCTGGAATCCCATGCTGCTTTTCACGCCTCTTATGCTATCACAGCTCCCTCACGCAGTCCAATAAAATGCTTCTCATACAACAGGCATAGGCAACCTTTGGCACTCAATATATTTTGGACTACACCTCCCATGATTCTTTGCCGGCATTATGGGTGTAAGAGGATTATGGGGGATGTAGTCCACAACATCTGGAGTGCTGAAGGTTGCCTATCCCTGTCATAGAGGGTGCTAGCACCCCAGCACAAAAAAAAAATATGTAAATATCTCTGGATGTGCAGTGTTCCAAGCAGAAATGCTGCACATACAGACTCCTACCCCCATGACTACTTCTAAAAGCAGACGTGGTCATAAAGGTTGTTTGTTCTTTTAGATGTTTAGTAGATAACTCTCTAATTTGCCATCCGTCAGATTGTCATAATGATACTGATTGTCAAATAAGGGATATTTTTGCTCTTCTTTGATCTTTCAGTTATTTAGTAGAAAGCTGCCTAATTTGATAGTCTTTATTATTGCAACCCCATGTAAGGATAGCAAACTAGGGGTTTATCTGCTAAACTGTTGAAAGACCAAAATTAAGAAAGCCCTTTTCTTAATTTTGCTCTTTCAGTTGTTTAGTAGATCATTTTAACAGCTTTATTTGCTATCCTTATTAAAACAAATAGATCTCAAATATTATTTTTTATTCATTTCCGTTCCGTTTTATTTCATTTCAGTTTCTGACTTGACAAATTAGGCTGATCAGGCAATCCAGATTAGGGATACAGTTTAGAACACAAAATATGTTGCCAAAAATGTTTGGTCCCAATCATACCCCAACAATGTATGTTAAATGTTACCAAAATCCCCATATGGAACAGAGGGGGAAACTGTGGATTGATATAATTGGAAACTGTGAATTGATATCATAGGATTTAGAACACAAAAGTAAAGGTATAGATGAAATTTCACATATATTTTCAAAGATCCTAGACCATATCTAGATATTGATGACCCTTTTGATTTAAATGAACAGAAGTTCTCAAAAAGGGCTGGTTGAGTGAAAGAACGGGCTCAACGTGTACCTTTCAACAACTTGTCCAAATATCGTCCTTAAAAAATACTTGGAAAAACCATTCAGATGTACCAAAAAAGAAATGTAGAAGTAGGCCAGTTGGTGTACTGCAAAATATATACATATTTGATCAAGTGAGAAAAAGTAATCAGTAGAGGGTAAAAAGTGGGATTCAGAGTACCCTTGGCCCCCCAAAAAAGAGACGATTGATGGGAATAGATATGATTGCTAGCTAGGAGACAGCCACTGCATGTTGTCTTTTATTCCAATTAAAAAAACAAAAATATATATTATATACACTGAACAAAATTATAAACGCAACACTTTTGTTTTTTTGCCCTCATTTTTCATGAGCTGATCTCAAAGATCTAAGACTTTTTCTATGTACACAAAAGGCCTATTTCTCTCAAATATTGTTCACAAATCTGTCTAAATCTGTGTTAGTGATTATTTCTCCTTTGCCAAGATAATCCATCCACCTCACAGGTGTGGCATATCAAGATGCTGATAAGACAGCATGATTATTGCACAGGTGTGCCTTAGGCTGGCCACAATAAAAGCCACAATCACTAATAGCTCAGAAACCGGAAGCCATATTGGGCACGTGGAACACAATGATAAACAATAACTTCTGAATATTTTTTGAATAATTAAACAAAGATCAGATATACTGTCTTGTTTGCTATTTCATTCTGTTCCCCTCCTATGTCCACCCATACCCCTCGCCCCCATGGTGTTGGACCAGAACTGAGCTGTCTTGGTTCCAGTCCTGTGAGAGTCATGGGGTCTGATGTGGGGATCAATGCATCCCAACCCCATTGCCCCATGCCAACCCAATCTCTTTGAAACTGTAGGCCTACCAGGTGTCGGCCATGTGGCCCAGGACGCACAGGATCAATAGGAGGGGAGGTTGGTATCAGGTGAGCAAGTGAGAAAGAGATTTGGAGGGGAATTATTTCTTATTTGGAGGGCCACAGTCGTAACTCTGAACACTGAATCAAATGAAATGTGTTGCCATTGTGCTAATCATTTACTTGGTTATACAACCATATGGCGCTTCGGAGAGACAGAATTCGGCCAGACAGCAGTTGACTGTCCAAAATTCGGACCAATTGCACATTTTGTCCAAAATGAATGCATATGTATATGACATACACATCCATAATGACAGCATAATAATCGAAATGTTAACATTTTTACCAGTAAATTCATAAAATTTTTATATTTGTTATTATATTCCCATCCCTTATTATGTTTCTTGGAATAGAGTTTTTTCTCTCCTATCACTGTGTTGTGGATTGAACAGATTATAGTTATAATACAACCCCATTGGAGTGTTAGCTTGCCTGCTAATGGACGGGCCCATCCTGACAGCATACCAATCTGTCAGAACGATATTGACCTTGTGTGAAAGGAACAGAACAGGATTAAATACAAAGTCATCAGGATTTAAAAGCCATAAATTTCCTTCCCTGTAATTTTAAAATCTGTAGGAATGCAGTCTTGTGCTCCTTCATTTGTAGTAAAAAGTGTTGAAATTCTGTTTGCTCTGCAGATATAATAAGGGAACTAAGTTCCCACAACTCCTTAAAGCACTAGAGTAATTATGCACACATAAAAACAAAACAAAACACAAAAAAGTACAAATAAATGTGTACCCTTCTGCCGATGTGCCTCCAGTTATGCATGACTCGGGTAATGATTGCAATGTATTCATTTTAATATTATTATTTTTTTATTATTATATTATTATTTATAAAGCGCCATCAGATTTTGTAGCACAAAAAATATCAGTTTTGTTGTTGAACAATAATTCTGGAGTTTACCAGACTTTAATGCAAATAATGCAAAAAAATGCAATCTTTCAAATACATTACAGTTGTGATCTAGGTATTGAGTGGGCAAAGTTGTAACACAATTTACAATCAGTTTTATGTGTTATTATAAAGTATTCTAACATCTTTCAAGTGCTTTCTTGGGAGTCTTAGCTCTTAAAAAAATCTCTTCTACATCAGTCTTTCCAGATACCCAGATCCAGGTTCCACTGTTATATTATATTATTATTATTATTATTATTATTATCTTTCACAATTCATTTAATATGTTCCTCTTTTGGTCTCATGCATTACTCGATCTTGTTCTACACGTGTATCTCGTTTGGTTAAATGTGATCATTCTATTAATGTGCAAATGCTCATGCAATATTGTTATACTTTTTCTTATACACTTTATAGTGAATGTTCTATAATCACGTGAGAACATTGAGAATAAACACATTTCTATTTATGTAACTGTAACTATTACCTAGCAACATTTCCATATACTGTACTTTATAATAATGTTTTGCACAAATTTTGTCTGTACAAAATTATTTAAATTCAGGGATATTTTTTTAAAACCAATATTTTGGGTGGAAAGGTTTATAAAAAAGATGTTTCTGTATAATTGTTCATAAAAACATGACCATATAATGGGACTAGGTTTGATCCACACATATCTGTGACCTACAAGACCTGTGTAGTGCCAGAAGTTGATGGGAGTTTAATTGACATTAAAGGACAAGGCACCATAGCCATTTCATCTCATTCAGGTGTTTATCTTGCCTGGAGTTCCCAGATGCCATCCCACTGTTCAATGTAAAACCGTTTTTGAACAGTTTGACACAGGTAATGGGTCGCCCAGCCACCCTGAGAACGCTCAGCTGAACACTGCTTCCAATCACTGGTATGACAATGGTATGGCTAATGTGAAGTGTACCTTGGCATTATTTATATCCTCCAGCAGGGGGCAGGGCCACGGTTGGCTGGGGCTTCTCATTCATTTTTGTGCCTAGAGTGTCCCCTTAATAGTGTATGGAATTTATTAACCACTGAATTAATGGTATATAAAGAGTGATGTAACATTTTGTTCTGTATGATATTTATAGATGTTATGAAAGGAGATATTGGCTTCTGTGGCTGGGTCATACTGATACTGTCAGCGTTCTTGACAGCTATTATGTTCCCTCTTTCCATCTGGTTCTGTGTTAAGGTAAGTTCAGCAAAAAGCTATAAAACAGAATAAAAAAAAAAAAAACCTCTGAAAACACGTGTGATTGCTCATACCCAGCTAATGTCTGATTTGTCATTTTAGGTTGTTAAAGAATATGAGCGTGCTGTCGTCTTTCGTTTGGGACGCATAATTTCAGGAAAAGCAAGGGGACCAGGTAATTTTATGTATGCACAATGTGTGTATGTACAATCAGCATCACCTATTGAAGCACAACTCCACACCCCAAAAGCACGTCAGCTTGCTGAAGTGCTTTACAGGTGAGGAGTATCCTATTTTAAGCCCAATTTATAAAGGTGCACTTTTATAAATAAATTATGGAATATCTCCCTGGTTATCAATCAGTAGCCTCCTTCCATTACCTCCCCTGTTCTAATGGAAGTGGTAGGCGCTCTCTACATGAGCACTCCTGCCTTCTCCCACGCAGGCACACAAGTTGGCGCATGCACGAGTGCACCAATTCAGGGGCTACTCCATGAGACACCCCCTGGCTGTCAGTCAAACTGTTGGTCCTGTTACTTCCCAGTGGATCTAAACTCGAGGCAGTAATTGCCCGGAGCACCTGTCTTGCAAAGACTTCTCATTGAGCAGCATTGCACAGTCTGTGATTGTATAGCCACAGACGGTCTATGCTGGCTTAGAAGGGGAGGATTCAGACAAGAGATCTTCGGTTATTGCAAACTGTGGTTAAATCTATCCCCAATAAAAAAAAAAAAACTAAAAAAAACAATTAAATGCATGCATGTTTTCCTTGGGGTATATCTACTAAACAGTGATTTACATATAAAATTATTTGGACAGTGGAGTGTCTTTTTAAGGATATAATATCATAGGATCATGCTGATCTTTTTTGGTGCTCTGAATTTGAATGTGATTTAGCAGATATTTGAAAATAATAAATTTATCAAACTATTTCACTATCACACATTTCCTGGTATCATTTTCTCATTTTTCAATGTTCGTTCTGTCAGGGTATGACAGATTTTGTGATGCTTTCAACTATGCCATCAGGGTAAATTCATTAAACTCTGGATGGAAGAAAACTGAAATCTGAAAGTGATTAAACAGCCATTTGTTTATTGGCTGAATAATTTATCAAGACCAGCAATTTTTGCCTACATTTACCATTTAATTTACAGATTCAGAGTTTAAATAATAAATAACTAACGCCACATTTAGCTGTGGATGTCAGACACGTTTGGTCTCCATTTTTGTTTTTTTATAGATTCGCTATTCAATATAGTAATTGATTAGTTTTCAATTAGAGTGATCACAAATTGTGTTTAAATATAGGCCAGCACATGCATTACTTGTAAGTAAAGTTATACCTGTCTGTAATACTTTGTTTAAGCATAAATATGATTACATATATAATTATGTATTTTCTTTTATTTTTTGACTGCTTTGTCAATATAAAAGTTATACTATATTATTTTATTTTATGTAAAGGGCTGTTTGCAGTCCATATCCGCTTTCTCAATAAGTGTCTGTGTACATCCCCAATACATTTATATTAATAATAATCTATATTTCAACAGGTTTGATGTTTGTCCTGCCTTGCACAGATACTTTTATTAAGGTAGACCTTCGAGTTCTTTCATTTGCAATTCCTCCTCAAGAGGTAAGAACATATTATCATGTTTTGTACTGTTTATACTGTTACGTACGGGGTCAATATCTAAGCTCAGCAGTCACATGTACATGTCCAAGACTGCCTCAGGGAAAATGGAAGGTTGAAGGTTATTGTTATAATTATCTTCACCTTTTGCTCCCCATTGGAAAATAATGTCATCTCTGCTACCTGGAGATATTTTTGGGTCTAGTGGTTAAATCTCCATTCCCATGTAGTGGTATTGTTTTTCGTAACATGCACAAAATTATATAGTAACATAATATCCTGTGATACCTATTTTTTGTTGGACTTATTACTGATTGGCAACATAAGAAGTGAATAACCGTTACCTGTACATTTTTATAGATCTGTTGTATCTGATTGCCTGGCTTAGTACACTTTGGGACATATTACAATCGCATATTTTATTTTTGATCTATATTAATGACTTCTGACAATTTTGAAAAATACTTTGACTAAAATCGGTTCCATTCTTCTATTTTATTCTGCTAAAAGCAACATTGAGTTCCCTTGTCACACAATGTTTACTTTGTATTTTAGATCCTTACTAAGGATTCTGTGACTACGACAGTGGATGGAGTTGTCTACTACAAGATTGATAATGCAATAAGTTCTGTGGCCAATGTAAGCAATGTCCATTTAGCGACCCAACAACTGGCTCAAACTACTCTAAGAAATATTTTGGGAACACAGAGCCTTAGCAGCATCTTGTCGAACCGTGAGGAGATCGCCCACAATATTCAGGTAAATGTGAATTATTATAATAATAATTTATGACATACCAGTATAATCAAAAGGGCAGCACAATCGGTGGACAAGAAAATACAAATAAATTGATACGTGGCTGCAAGCCTGCTATAAAAAACAAACATATATTCTGTTGTATTAAATAACTTTACTTCATAAGGGTTAAGTTCTCCTTTTAGCTCTGGAAGTATGCGATCTGCCATCACTTCCTCTCTGTAATGCTGTGCAGGTGGATAATGGGGGCAATGTGTGGAGCCCAGTAAGGGGCCTGGACCATCATACATCCACCAAGCAGTTCAGTCCCCAACTGGTCCCTTACCTGCCCCAGAGCCTGACCCTTAAAAGCGTACTTGCTGTATCAACCAATGACAGTGTCTCGAATTCCGCAATTTCTGCCATGACCATGTGCTCATAAAATAATAAAAATGAAAGTTCAGTGGTGATGTGCATGTAAAGAACAACCTTCAACTGCCTAATGAATCTTCAAATAATAATGGTTTGTAAATTAGAGTTTTGCCTTAGTTTCATTGTCTCAAAGTAATAGTGGAAAGATCTCTAGTATTAATTGTTTAAAAAAAATAGACTAAATTTTTTTAATTAGTATTTTTTGCATCATTATTATTATTGTTATTTCTAAAGTGCCAACACATTTTTATTCTTAGGGGATTAAAGTGACAAATTGAAGTGCCAGGTGCTCTCTTTTTTGGGGTTTTCACTAAAGTTAGCAATGTCCGAAATTCCAAGTGAATTCCAAGTGAATTTGAAATTTAAGGCCAAAGTAGACATTTTGTCTACTTTGACCTTAATATTGAAATTTACTTGGGATTCACTTACAATTCCTGACAATTCTCATTTTAGTGAAAAACCCTGTTAATATATTTAGGTGTTGCCGATTTTATTTAAGTAGAAAGTAGTGCAGAATTATGCAATTACCTATATTAACCCCTTAAGGACACATGACGTGTGATATGTCATGATTCCCTTTTATTCCAGAAGTTTGGTCCTCAAGGTGTTAAAGCTTTCAAGACAATTCTGGTAATAGTTATGTATAAGTTGTGGTCCAGGAACAAATAGTCCCTAGAACACTAGAGGGATAACTCAGAGTCTAGATTTAACTAAATATAAAACCATACTTTATTAGAATCCAAATAGAAGAAAAATAATGATGATAACGAAATGGACAGACCCTTTCCTCATATATAAACGGTACTGGGAACTAGACGGATTATTGCCTTTGATAAAGGCGCTTTTGCAGCGCTGAAACACGTTAGGCGTTATGATTTTCTTTTTATTTACCAAGTCACTTTTATTTGAGTTGAGCACTTTTCTTTCTGTTTGAGGGTTTACTTTAAACTTTATGCTGGCGATATGATCATCTATTAGGGACAGACAGCGAGATACCCATGTAGCATGGCTGATCATTGAGTCAGGACGGCAGCACTATCCACCTATAGTCAGTTGCTTATGAGACAGTGGATGTACTACTCAGTATATGACATTTGTTTGGGTAGGATTTTGACTGCTTGGCTACACAGCTCCTAGATAGAGTACTAATGGGAAGAATACTTTAGTCCATAGACTCAGTGATTGAGCAGCATAGAGGTTCTACATCAGTAATGGCCCGAGTGCCCAAACCGCAATACATGCCAACTTTTGTTTCCTCAAAGTGCCAACAAGGCAATTAAACCTGAATACTGAGGTTTAAATTTAGAAAAAAACAACTCGTACAGTTGTCGAACTAATTAACAACTTTTGTTTTAAAAAACGAACACAACAGAGAGTTCAATGATACAAATTTTAAATAATAATATAAATAGATAAATTTAAGCTTATATTTATTAGTATCTCCAACAAATGCAATACACACACACACACACACACACACAGACTGCTGAATACACACACACAGACTGCTGAGTACACAGACTGCTGAATACACACACACACACAGACTGCTGAACACACACACACAGACTGCTGAGTACACACACAGACTGCTGAATACACACACACACAGACTGCTGAACACACGCGTGCACACACAGACTGCTGAATACACACACATACTGCATTGAGGGATGCAGTGTATGTGTTTGTGTGTGGGGTGCTGTGTGTGTCTGAGGGGTGTTGTGTGTGTGTGAAAGGGGTGTTGTGTGTGAGGGGTTTGTGTGTGAGGAGTGTGTGTGTGTGGGTGTGTGTGTGTGTGTGTTGTGTGTGAGGGGTGCTGTGTGTGTGAGGAGGTAGGAGTGCTGTGTGTGTTGGGGTGGGGTGTTGTGTGCTGTGGGGTAGGGGTGCTGTGTGTGGGAGGTAGGGGTGCTCTGTGCTGGTGGGGTGGGTGCAGTGCTGTGTGTAGGGTGCTCTGTGTGGGTACTGTGTGGGTGCTAGGGGTACACTGTGTGTGGGGGTAGGGGTTCTGTGTGTGTAGGGGTACTGTGTGTGAGTGTGTGTGTGGGGTGCTGTGTGTGTGTGTGTGAGGGTGTTGTGTGTGTGTGTGTGTGTGTGTGGGGGGGTGGGGGTGCTATGTGTTGGGGTACTGTGTGTGTGTGTGTGTGGAGATGTGTGTGTGTGTGGGGAGGTAGGGATGCTGTGCTGTGTGGGGGTAGCATGCTGGGCTGGGGTAAGGGTGCTGTGCTGTGGGGGTAGGGGTGCTGTGTGTGGGAGAGGGGTGCTCTGAGTGGGTGCTAGGGGTACTGTGTGTGTGGGGGTTAGGGGTTCTGTGTGGGTAGGGGTTCTGTGTGGGTGGTAGGGGTACTGTGTGGGTGGTAGGGGTACTGTGTGGGTGGTAGGGGTGCTCTGTGTGGGTGGGGGTGCTGTGTGGGGAGTAGGGGTGCTGTGGGGGGTAGGGGTATTGTGTGTGTGTGGGGGGTGCTCTGTGTGTGGGGGTAGGGGTGCTCTGTGTGGGTAGGGTGCTGTGTGTGGGGGAGGTGCTGTGGGGGGTAAGAGGGTGGTTAAAAAGGAATGCTAAATCTGTATCTCCCTCTCTTAGCTTTAATGAAGGCACAGCCATCCCTAGTGGTCCGGTGGTGGTAAGTACTGCTTCCGGGTTGGGAGGCAGGGGGAGGGATCTGTGAAGCAGCTCTCCTGTCCTCCCGTGCGATGCTTTGTGGAGCGTTGCCATGGTAGCACGCGGCAACGCTCCATACAGATTGCTCGTGGGAGGACAGGGGAGATGCTTCACAGATCCCTCCCCCTGCCTTCCGACCCATGCAATAGGTTCGCCATCACTGTTCTACATTATAGCCTCCTGTCTTGCATAAATTTGTCTGCTCCTACTATTAGAGTGGGTTACTTTGTAACTACGGCTCATTTCCACATTATAGTATCTAGTTAACATTCTGATACATATTTGTTATTTGTAACTTAATCGTATTTGGTGGATATTTCAAATCCACCTCTATTTTGTTGCCTACTCTTTCTATCATTTCCTCTCCAGCCTATATTATTATTAGAATATTTGAAGCTTATCTAGCTCCCCTCTAGGAGGTTATTTTTCTGTTTTATTTAAATTTAAATGATTTGTGTTTTTTCTATTTTCGTTATCATCATTATTTTTCTTCTATTTGGATTCTAATAAAGTATGGTTTTATATTTAGTTAAATCTAGACTCTGAGTTATCCCTCTAGTGTTCTAGGGACTATTTCTAAAATTATTATTATTATTTGTAAAGCGCCAATAAGTTCCCTAGCGCTGTACAATGGGTGGACTAACAGACACATATTTGTAACCAGACAAGTTTGACGCACAAGAACAGAGGGATTGAGGGCCCTGCTCAATAAGCTTACATGCTAGAGGGAATGGGTAATGTGACACAAAAGGTAAGGGAAGGGTAGAAAAGAAAGTTGTAAGGATAGTATTCATTGAGGGCTTAGTGTTTTGTTTTGATTAGTTTCAGGAGAGGAGTCAGGGTGTGGGGAGGGAAAGCTTTTCACAGTTTAATATGCTTTCCTAAAGAAGTAAGTTTTCAAAGATTTTTTTTGAAGGAGTGGAGATTGGGTGAGAGTCTAACAAAGAGGGGAAGGGCATTCCATAGGAATGGTACAGCCCTAGAGAAGTCTTTAAGGTAAGCATCAGAGGTAGGAGTACGAACAGAGGTTAGACGTAGTTCTCCAGCAGAGTATAGGAGCCTAGATGGGACATATTTGTGTATTAGTGAGGATAAGTAGGTGACAGCAGCATTGTGTAAAGATTTGTAAGCAAGTGTCAGGATCTTAAATTGAGCCCTGTATCTAACGGGAAGCCAATGGAGGGACTGACAAAGGGGAAAAGCATGGTAGGTGCAGGCGGACAGGAAGATGAGCCTCGCTGCCGCATTCATTTTAGACTGTAACAGGGCAAGTTGGGAACACGTAAAACCACTGAGAAGCAGATTACAGTAGTCAAGGCGAGAGAGGATTGCAGCAAGGACAAGCACCTTTGCCATATCAGGTGTTACATCGGGTCGGATGCGTGCAATGTTTTTGAGATGGAAGTGGCAAAGAGAACACCTAGGCAGTGAGCCTTAGAGGTAGAGCAGATTATAGCGTCATTGACTTGGAGGGACACAAACAAGGGAGTAGCAACACTTGAGAGAGGGAAGACCAGAAGTACTGTTTTGGACAGGTTCAGTTTAAGGAGATGAGCAGCCATCCAGTTGGAAATAGCAGAGGGGCAGTCAGAGACACGAGTCAAGAGGGGTGGTGAGAAATCAGGGGAGGACAGATAAATTTGTGTGTCATCTGCATAGAAATGATACTGGAAGCAGAAGGAGTTGGAGTTTACCAAGGAGGCAGTGTAGATTGAGAACAATAGGGGACCAAGGACAGAACCTTGGGGAACACCAACAGAGAGGGATTGGGGAGAAGAGTCAGAGTCAGAGAAAGAAGTACTGAATGAGCTCTGGGAGAGGTAGGAAGAGCACCAGGAGAGAGCGATATCTCGTAGACCGAGATTACGGAGGATGAGAAGTAGCTGTTAAAGATCAACAGTGTCAAAAGCAGCAGAAAGGTCGAGGAGAATTAAGATAGAGTAGTGGCCATGAGATTTTTCAGTGATAAGATCATTGTATGCTTTGGTCACAGCTGTTTCAACAGAGTGATGAACGCGGAATCCAGATTGAAGCGGGTCAAGCATAGAGTTGGATTTGAGGAAATCTGTCAATCTCGCATGCACAACTCACTCAAGGATCTTTGAGACAAATGGCAGTAGCGAGATAGGGAAGTAGTTGGATGGGGAATTAGAGTCAAGGTTGGGCTTTTTCAGAATTGGGGTTATGGTTGCGTTTTTGAAGGGTAGAGGCAATGTGCCAGAGGAGAGGGAGAGATTGAAAATGTTAGTGAGAGGCAAAGCAAGAGAAAGAGACAAAGTGCGGATGAGATACAAGGGAATAGAATCAAGGGAACAGGTGGTGGGGCAGGAGGAACGGAGCAGAGCAGAAACCTCTTCTGCTGTAGCGGGTGCAAATGTGCGTAGGACAGCTGAGGGAGTGTGGTTAGGGGAAAAGTTTGTAGTGGATGGAGAGAGATGAGAGTTCACTTCCCTGATTGTAGAAATCTTCTCAGTGAAGTGAGTTGCAAAGTTTGTGGGGGTCAAGTTGGTAGGAGTAGGAGGCACGACAGGGCAAAGAAGAGAATTAACAGCATGAAACAGTTGTTTGGGCTCGCCGGAGAGTGTGGTTATGAGTGTATTGAAGTACTTTTCTTTTGAAGAGGAATGAGCCAGACTGTAGGAGCACAGCATAAATTTATAGTGGAGGAAGTCAGAAATAGAGTAAGACTTTCTCCAGCAGTATTCAGCAGTTCTGGAACATTTTTGGAGGTATCGGGTCAGCTTGGTATGCCAGGGTTGTAACTAGGAGCACTTGCTGCATTTAAATGTAGGAGGTGCCATGATGTCTAGTTGAGAGGAGAGAGTGAAGTAGTAGAGGCAGGTTGCAGTGTTAGGGCAGGTGAGATTTGAGATTGTTAAAAGGAGACTTTGGAGGTTTATGGAGAATTGCTGTAGGTCAAGACAGTGGAGGTTTCTGCAAGATTGATATGGTGAGGTACTTTGGGTACAGGGTATGCGGATGTCAGTGGACAGCAGATGGTGGTCAGAGGAAATTGAACATTGGAGAGATTAGAGGTGGTACAGAAATTGGTGAAGATGAGGACAAGAGTGTTTCCTGCTCTATGAGTTGATGAATTAGACCACTGTGTGAGTCCAACGGAGGAGGTTATAGAGAGCAGACGAGAGGCATCAGGGCAGTTACAGTTGTTGATTGGGATAGTAAAGCCCCCAGGAATGAGGGAAGGAGTGCAAGAGGAGAGGAAATTGGGTAGCCAGGAAGAAAAGTGTTCAATAAAGAGCCTAGGATGACTGGGGGGAAGGGGGGGAATGTGTCACTTGGTCTTGTCTGGCTCAGTAGAACTTACATAGTCTGCATAAACTGGAACACTGAGTTACTATATTTTTGGATCGGTTTAATTTCTCTATTTTTTCCAGGCAATACTTGACACAGCGACTCATGAGTGGGGTGTAAATGTGGAGCGTGTAGAGATGAGAGACGTGCGTCTCCCTGTACAGATGCAAAGAGCCATGGCTGCGGAAGCAGAAGCTGTAAGAGAAGCTCGTGCGAAGGTAAAACATCACTTTTTTTTTTCATTATACTTGAGGTTTGCATAGCAATAGAATGCTGAATTCTTTCCTTAAAACACAAAATAGAATGATGGTGATTTATAGAGAAAGAGAAAAAAAAAACTAGTGTGAGTGTTTGTTAAACAAAAATAAAAACAATTTGTAAGATTAAAGTGGTTTTGGTGCATAGGTGGTGTTCCCATTTTGGACAATGCCAAACCTTTCCATTTCAGGGAAACAGCAATATTTACATTTGTCCAATACTAGCCCTCTAGTGGTATTGAGGATCTTCCTAATGAAGACCTTCACATTCACAGTTTTATTCACTAAAGTGTGAATTTTAAGGTCATAACAGCTGAAATGAAACCATAGCTGACTTAGGGAATTTCTCCAGTTTGGCTATGGTGTTAATCTTTCGCAAGTCCTGACTGACAATCAAACATCAAAATTAGATACTCTTCATCCAGAAAGCACTTAAGCTTGCTTAATTTCTGGAGTGCTTGCTTTATTTTTGCTTGACGGCCAGGAGGTGTTCTGTGATTTTATTATAAAAATGCAGATTTCTCATTAAAATCGAAACTTTTATAGACTGGAAGTAAAACAAGATACTCCACTCATAAAGCACATCAGCAAGCTGAAATGCTTTATGGGTATGAAGTGATTTTTTATTGAACTCTAGTCTCATGTCTTTATTGCACGACTATCTTGGGCATTACATAAATTCAAGGGTTCTTCTGATAGGGCCTGCGAGAAGAAAATAATGACCACAAAAAATAGTGTAATTAATGAACAGGATTTGGCTTTATTAAATGTTTCCTAACATTTAATACCCATGCAATCAGCATTTCTAACACTGTATACTGAGTAGTGGGGTCTCACCTGGCGTATCGTGGTCTGATTAACCTACTGAAATCCTTTTTCTGGATGGCATTAATTACCAGCTGCCTTCACCTACATCCAGTTTCAAATGGATATCTGCTAATAAAGCATTGTAGATGGTATAAACATTTTTAAAGCACATGCTTCGGATGTGCATAAGGCTATTTTGAATAAATAAATGATCTGCAATCACAATCTAGATTTCTGTAGAATCTGTAAAAGTAGAAATAATATCCGTTGGATAACTTTTTTGTATTGCTATAGGTCGTAGCGGCAGAAGGTGAGATGAATGCATCCCGAGCTTTGAAAGAGGCCTCCATGGTGATGATGGAATCTCCAGCGGCACTGCAACTGCGTTACCTGCAGACACTAAATACAATCGCAGCTGAGAACAACTCTACAATTGTATTCCCTCTGCCAGTTGACCTGTTTCAAGGTCTGCTTAACAAAAAGTGAGCAGATTTAAAGAATCGGCTCTAAAATTATAAGAAATGCAATAGACAAATCCTTAACCTTAGTTACGACAAAACTATATTTTAGCATCATCAATGGATTCTGGATGATACTGTTTTCATTAATGGCTGACTCACTTAACTCTGAAATTTAAAAAGGTAAATCAAATTAAAGCCAAAATCAGAGCAATCCCAGTTTCCATTTGCAATATATTTGTTCATATATATAATGTGAAGATTTTCCATAACATTTCCTCACAATCAACATTTGGGTATTTGGGGAGGTTGATCAGGCAAGAGGTTGGTTATCTGTTTAACATAACAAATATTAACATTCTCCTAAGATCTGGTGATTTTATAGAATTTATGATACTTAAGGACGAGAGGTGAGTCTGGGGAGTCATTTTCCCCAGGTGTCCTTTCATAGTTTTATAGTATTATTGTTGTATAGGACTGTATATAAAATAGTGTTTTAAAATGTGTTTTCATTAAGTCAAATCATTTGTCAGCTCCTCTACAGCTGGCCTGGTGTCTTGATTGAGTTGTTCTCTGAATCAGGGTCAAACTCAATCTCAGGGTTAAACTCAATCTCAGAGACTAACATTTAATGGCCAATTGGTTATGAGAGTTCTATAATGGATTATGTTAAAACAGTAAGAGTTTTGCTAAATAGAGTCACAAGGTGTGGATTTGTCAACCAACCCCAAAGCTTAATAAGAACATCAGGAGTATCTTAAATGATTGTCCATCACTCACGCACAGCTTTCTTTTTTCACCATGGGGGTGTGACCTGCTCTTCAAATGAAGGAACTTCATCAATATTAAGACCTGCTATGGGATCCAAACATTGGCCACTAAAACTGTCCCTAAACTGTGCCCCCCTCCAAATAAAATTTCAAATATTATTTCCCCTGTGTTAGGTGTTTTTCTAAGTGGGTTGAAATTGAGGAAACTCTATAATTTAAAGCCATGGAGCATGTGTCCCTTTGCGCTTTAATGGAGTTGTCATTGATTTCAGGTATTTCAGGTCCTGCAAAATGCACTTTATTGACTGTCCAGTCTACATAAATATAACCATATTCCTTAGCCTTTTCAGTCTAGCAGCTCTCACACAAATGTGTATTTTTTTACTATACCAAACCAAGTTAATGGCAAAGAACAGAAGCACAGTAGAAATAAGCAAGTGAATGCATTGAACATTAAAATTGCTTATTTTTTGGAATTTCCACCAGTCTCTGACTAGCACTGGAAGCAACATCATGAGCCACTGACTACATGTCCCCATCTAACCCAATATAGTTATTTATTACCCAATCTTTGAGTAACATAAGACAGTAAAAGTTTTAATTTTTTTTTTCTACCAGTTAATAGTTTATTTTTAATATTCCAGAAATATTGTTCTGTTCTATAAATGTTGTTTCATGCAAGCAAACAATGAGTGTGTGTAGGCTGCTTATACGAAGCTACAAATTACAAAAAAAAAAACAATAAAATAACGTGAAATAATATAAAGGAAAGTACTTTAAGACCCATTTGTATTGCTTCAATTGAGAAGTTTGACTTTTTATCCAATAAAAATGTGATTTTCTTTTTTGGTATAAAATCAGTGTCTCTTTAATATTTTTTGCATATGCTTAGTCACAGCATTTTTGGTAAATAAGTAATTTTGTTATTTATTTTTAATATAAATTTATGGTTATATATAACTCCTGATCAAATGTTTAAACACTGTTTCCACTGACAGTTTGTATGTTTGAACTTCTTTAACAGGTGAAATTACTAAAAATAGAAATGGTTGGGTTTTATTTCATTATGCATCAAATTAAAGTCTTAGACTGTAAAATCTCATTGTATATTGACATGTGCAGGGTTATTATTGTAAGTACTGTATGTGGATCTCTGTACCTGTTTAAGTGTGTCTGCTTGAGTGTGTACCTATGTATGTGTGCCAGAATTTGTCTGTGTCTGTATAGCTGTTTGTAAATGGCTTGTTATGTATGTGTTATTAACCATGTATGTGTTTTTGTGAATGGGAGGGTATGGCACAAAATTATTTTGCCTGAGCCCTGCAAATTGTAAAAGCAGACCTGCGTGTGGTTTTTCTGAATGGACCATTCTTTCAGTGTTTAATCTCTTAAAAACCTTCTTCAAAAACAACCCAAAATGTCCCGATATTGGAACTGTAGTTCTTTAACCTATCCACATTAATAAATTGCATAGTGTTTACTATAATATATAACATTTCAAAGTGTTCACGTTTTAGAGTCAAACAAATACACATAGTTCTCTAGAAAATACAAAGAAAAGAAAAATCCTGAAACAAAAAGCAAAAGTTTATTGCAGACCCCATTGTGACTATAGGTCCATGTTTTGTCATTTTATTTCAGATTTGAACACTGAACATTTTTTGCTTATTACTTTAATTCAGGTTTCTGTTTTCGTCAAGCACTTTAACATGCAATGTATTGAATTATAAAACTGAATATTGTCATACAAATAAAATGAACAATACATCATATATCAAAACTGTAAAAAAAATATTGATACATTTGTTTCTGATCAGGCACATTTTTAAAGGCACTTACTGTAAATGCATAAAGTAAGCATATAAAACATTTATTATGGGGATCCGCATCCTAAGATATTCTGTTTTTTCTTTGGTGTATTCAAATATATACTTTTACGCTAAAAGACAATTATCATCTCAAAACTATGTTTTAATATAATAATTATTTTATCACGTTATGAAAGTAAATAGATGTTGTTTTTCCATGAAGTATATGCAATGAAAACTGAGAAACCCATCCCTAGCTTTAGTATATATCAGGATCCTTCGGTCATATACATACACCTTGGGTTGGACAGTGTTTGAAACTCAACAGTCAATGGTTTTCTTTGCTTCTGTGCAGAGAGTGAAACAGGGATAACTATAGATGTTATTTATATGAGTGAAGAATTCTGTCATATACTAAAGGTATAGATGTGTTATTCTGAATGTTTACATATGCTTAATTTAAAAAAATCTATTTCTTTCAAAACTTCATGAAAGTATTATTATAATAGTTTTAATAAATATAAAATCACTTAAAAAAAAAAGTGGTGTGGAGTTAACTTTTTAAACCTGGGATGCTTATAGGAACAAAACCCAGTCTAGAGTTCACTGACCTGTTTATCTTAATTCTGTCACATAGACATAAAACATAGGTGAACGCTATAGAAAGTGGTCAAACATCTGCAATGGCTGCTAGACATTTGTTCCTGTGGGCATCCTAGGCACAGAAGTTGGCAGCCTTTTCTGCTTTATGGTGTTCAGGAGAATGCTTTTGTCTACAGCCCCATATTCTATCATGTAACAGTGGTGAGGACCGTGTTCTGCCATTTCCTATAAAATCTATGTTTTAAATTGCTACTGTACCTTTAATTTACCAAAATAACACGGAATGGTCAAACTAAAATTCTGTACAATTATATATGGGCGTCTCTTTTTATAGATCCTAATTCCCTTCCCTATCAATCCGCATTCTGTGACAACTGATATCATTGGCAGCGTCTTACCCAATAGATATACAGTTCTATGTAAATTAAATGTGTATGCATAAGAACATAGTGAAGGCATTTCATAAGGTCTTAGCAGAAGCCAATTTTGTATTCTAGCTTATTCCTGAGAATACGACAGTAACCCTACTCATGGCAGGAAAGACTGACAACAATTCCAAGATGAAAGTCAACCGTTCATGGTAGATTGCTCTCCTCTTTAAATACTAAACGGAATTACAGTTTTGAAGTGTTACATTCCTTATACAGAATAACACTTTTCAATCCATATCCTATTAATATTGCACTTTGTGAATAAAATTCACGGAGCACAAGTAGTTAAATAATATCTCATCACTCGATGACAGCAGCACCCATTTGACTACTTATATAGTTGTTGTATCCTCTATTACTGCTAATGTGTTAATAATGCAGTATCACCGTATTAAAAATACTGCATACCTACTTACAGAGTTATTAACTAAAGTGAAAATTCAAAGTAAATATCAAATGTAAGGCCAGAGTAGCCAAACTGAGAGGGTAACTGATATATGATTATTTGCCAATACGTGTACATTAATCTGCCTTAGAAATTCATTTAAAGTTTTAGTATCACACATGAGTTCTTCATACATGATAGAAACTTTGTGGAATAGATCATTTTGTGGCTAATTGTGGCCTTGAATAAACAATAAAAGAAATTTGGTTTTATGGACATTAACTGAACATCCCATGGTCCTAAAACTTAAAACTAAAATAAAATAGCAATGATTATATTCTAGAAAACAGAATAATGGCGACGCAAATAAAAGCATCACCCAGTGTGTGTTTTCTAATACATATGTCAAGGTAGATCTTTCAGGTACCCGCATACAGCTGGACACGTGTTACAAATGTCTTGCTCACTGAAGAGCTAAAGAGTAATACTGGCATTTCATCAAACATTATACTTTATAAAGTTTATACAAGAAAATATCACCCAATGTCTGTTAACATAATATATATATATATGGTTTTAAGGCTTGTTAGATAAAGAGGCAAGGCCTGATCTCTAAATCAACACATTTGAAAACTGAAGATAGGACTTGTGGTGAACATAAAGTTTAGACTTGAAGACTTCTGACACAGGAAACCACGTTGGATCCCAGATACCGGCCTGTTTCTGAAGACCGTGAATTCAGTGAGTTGTTACGTAGATTTATTTTGTATGATGATAGTTGTTTCTACCATTATTTAACCCCTTAAGGACACAACTTCAGAAATAAAAGGGAATCATGACGGAGTATTTCCGTCATGTGTCCTTAAGGCGTCAAATAACCTCTTCAAACAAAACTTACTTAAGGACCAATGATGATCAATGCCATCAAAATGATCCAATCTTTAAGTATCTTATTCTAAAATGGAACGTTCCATTCCTTTAACAGCAGAACAGTATAAAATGGCAAACATGAAATAAGTACGATAATACAAGATCTTCAGATTGTAATGACTGCAAAGAATGCCTTAAACGTTATCTTTTTAGTAGACAAGTAAAAAATCATGACTGTAATGTAGAATAAAAAAAGTATAATTTATGAAAAAAACAACTGTTGGCAAAAAGAACTATGTAACATTTATACCATGATCTGAAACTTTGATTTACATATAAGGAAACATTAAATTTGGGACGTTACATGAAACTGATAACGTAGGCAGTTGGCAAACACAACATATATGAGAAAACTAAATAAATTTGAAGTCTAGATTTATCAGTGTTTAATGCTTAATGCTTTGAATGACAGAGTAGTAAATGTACACCCTTCCCTCCTCTCTGGCACACAATGGGTTAAGAATAAAACCGTACATTCTGGATTCGGTTGTGAATTGGAAGTCTTCTATAGTCACACTGTGCTCTACGAACTTTACACGGAAATCAAACATTTTAAATGACGGCTATATATATTGTGCACATGATAATAAAATAAAATTATATTAAATACCAACATGTCTTTTAAGAGGTTCAGCGATTTCCAAAATAAGTTACTTGTTCCCCAAAAAACTAAATATATGTATTATGCAAATTTCTGCTACTGATGACAAAATTGCTCATCTTTTGTTCATTGAGAATGTGCCATGGTAATCAATTCTACTTTTAGTTCTTCCGAACCTTGTCCTGTGTCTCAAGTAATCATACCTGTTAAATCTAAACTAAATACCTGACATTACAGAAATGTTAGGTGTTATGTATGTGTACATCATGTCTAATTCTATGTTGCATATACAACAATATATTGCGCTAATATTCACAAAATGGTACGTTGATAAACTAGATACAAAATTGTAACCAAATTACTAGAGTTGGAAAAATAAATCTCTAGCTTTACAATTTCAACCTAAAATTACCAATCCACCCGTCAACTTATGACAACCAACCAAAAGGTAGATAAAGAATGATTTTAGGCAATCTGCATTTACCTTTTGAGAACTGTCTTGAGGTATATAGCCTTTTCAAACCAAAGCAGTGCACACTCCCTGGTACTCTAAAGACAAAAAAATTGTTTTGTACCATTCTATGTTTAAATCGACAGTGACCAAAGTAGATGCTTTGTGCTTTAAAGACTTATCAGTATTCAATGGGACATTTGATTGCAGGTTTTGATTAGAATCACTACTGAGAAGGTATTTGACATTCAAATTACTTAGAAACAGTTATGCGATAGCTATAATAATATAATAGCATTGTCAGTATTTTCACCCCAAAAAAAGGAGATCCTGTTTAATTAGAAGTATTTCTTTGTCCTAAAATATTGGCATTGGCCAAGGTATACATATCTGGAATACAGGCATCAAAGGCCATAAAACTATGAAACTTGCCTCCAAAATGGGACCTGTTTGTAATAAAAATCAAAAGTGTCTTTGACATAAAAAATGTTTAAACAAAAATGTTTAAAGTAATGCTCTGTGTTTGACAGCAGCAGAGGGACTTTGTGCAAAGTAAATAAATCATGCCCCTTATACAAATTAGCAACACACTCCCCTTACAAAATAGATGGAAGGGTTAGTAAGCTTTGTAATAAACAAAAAAATATTCCTTTAGCCATGAAAGAGTTACCAGCATGAATTACAGTACATCCATTTCATAAGCTCATTTTCAATTACAGTTTGTTTTTACAGCATTGTTTTATAGTTTAGATAGCTACAAGTACCACCTAGCAATAGTATTTTTTGGATGAGGATATAAAAAAAAGCAAAAATTTGATTTACTTAACATTTTACCAATACTGAGAAAAAGACAGACATATCCGTTGCATGGTTTCTTGTAGATATATTTCAAAGTTTAAAGTTGAAAGTGATAGTAAAAAAAATGCTGATACAGAAAAACAAAAAAGTTACAGAAAAGAGCTTTTACTTAGACAATTACATGTATGGTGGTAGTACACTAAATGCTTTGAGTAATTAGAGGTGTGCAACGGATTGAGTATAGACAAAATATGAATCCTTGCAGTCCCTGGACGTAGACTTATCAATGAACAATTATTGTAATTTAATTCATTTATCTATTCACGGGATATGTAAATGTAACCCAGGCATTGACTAAATATGCCTAATGATATCTTTCTCTGTGCAAACACTTTTTATGTTTGTTATCGATTTTACTAAAAAAAAACATACAAAAACATACCTATGATTCTTCATTCCAACATCAAGTTCCTTAGCAGAAAATAATTACTTTTCGAAATGTATAGTTTCATCATTGAACCTCCAAAGTTAACACGATATTGCTAAACATAAATCCTCTCTCTCTCTCTCTCTGTGAGTTTGAGAGATGAGTTAGACAGCACCATTGCATTTTTTTAAATTTAAATAATACAAAAAGAAAAAGATAGAAATACAAGAGCACATTTCACGTATAAAGTTTCTATTCAGCTCCTCTCCATGTGCAGTGCATGATATAAGGTTGTCACGATTGCTTTAATACAAACTTGGTTATTTGGAGTGAGAGCCCCAATTGTACGTCTCATGGTTGGAACTCTTCACATATGTACAAGGTGTTCAACACAAGATTAACAAAGAGGCAATGTGTGTAAAGAAAACAATGTTATTTTTTTCTGAATAGAATGGGGTTTGCTGCAAGATATTTGCACTTTGTCTCTTGAGGCCCTCATGTTTGACTTGATCATAAGTCCATGATCATCAAACCTCTGAGCTGTCTGTACTATATCCCCGAGGAGACATCATGGGCTCACTGCTCCCTGACTCTCTTCCTTCTTCATTCTTTTTGGACTTCTTATGCTTCACAAGTAAAACAGCAATTGTAATCAAAGAGATTGCTAGAAGAAGTATTGCTGCAATGACCACCATAATGGTGACAATGCTGACCTTATCTTCTTTGTTATTAACCTCTCTTGGGATTGTTCCATCAATGTTCACCTCTTTTTGAAGGTTTTGCTTTTTGTTGTTGTATTCCAATGCAATATGTTGAATGTTGGTTCCTCGATTATTTTCAACACCAATTTCTTCAGCGACTTGAGGAGCTTCGTTGATATCTCTCCTCCTGCGCTTATTCGTTGAAAGTTCTGAAGAAGCAGCAACACTTATTGAATGGTATTGAGTGTCTAGACTTCTTTTTCCAATGCCTCTGTTGGCATTTTCCTTTGATCTTACTGTATAGATTGCATGAATATACCATTCTCGACCTAAGGACACCTGAAAACCCAAGACAAACGTTTTAAAATACAAAAAAAAAAGAAATCAAATATTGATACTCTGCAAAGCACCTCACAAGAACAAAACCCAGAAATACATTTTGTTAGCTGGTAAAAATATCAATGCATTAATATGAAAACCACAATTTAATAGTTTTTTTTCCCTTTAAGATGTGCTGAATCTCTCATTTTTAGTTCATTCCTGATTTCTTCTAGACACTGATGGCAAAATAAAAAAATTGTATGTTGTAAAAATGACATCGCGCAGAGATTGACTTCTGAACCAAACCTTGACCAGCTACCTCTGTGCTCAAGAGTGTAAGCGGCTGATATATCACATGCCTATACATATATTTCTAGGAGAACCTATTTTGAAATGCGGAAAAATTATGTAACATTCCCTATGTCTTAATACATGCTACCCAAATACTTATTGCTGGATATGCTTGAATTATAAATAGTTGTTCGTGAGATAGTAGCAGAGTAAGGTCAAGGAGACAGTCACTCTGATTTATCCTGCTTGAAAGCTTTTGGTTTTGAAGGAAGTACTCGGCAATAAGGCTTTGGATTACAGATTATATGTTCCTGCTCTTTATCTGTAAGTGGGTTGGAGGTACTTAAACAGGCACAATGGTTTTTGCAGTGATGTTTGTCAAATACCACATACCTGAAAAAGAGGTGAAGAATCAACCTTAAATCCATCAGAACCAGGTTGTTTGACTAATGGTAAAGCTTCAGGATCATCCACCGCCAATCTAGCGTTAAACTGCACACTTCCAAATCTTATAGCTTGAGTCTCTGGCTGAGCTTTATCCTACATTAAAGAAGAGCTAGCATTAATACATACACACACACACACACACACAAAACTAAACAAGAAAACATCAATAAAACATTAATTTATCTCTACATAAGGATTCTACATTGATACAGTGATACAATACTAATGTAGAAGCTACTAGTTTATAAGAAGATCTTCTATGAATACTTCAAACAGTAAACTCACAGACCTCACCACCACATTCCGTTTGGGTTATATAGCGTGAGAATACCTGGAAACTATACAGATTTGGCAAGAAACTCTACAGGGGACAACAGTAAGAAATATAGTTTGTGGGACGTATCAGATAACTCTGGGTGCTCACCAATTGGTTATTCCAACTCTGACCATTTTTAAGCATCTCATATTAATACAACACGCTTACTAAATGGCTTTATGAAGAAATAGTGTGTCCTCTTTTTTCGTTTCACAAAAACGTGCAGATTTCTATCAAAATTGGCACTTTTATAAATTAACCTTGTTACACTCTTCTGACTTTCAAGCAGAAAACTGGTCCTGCAATGTCCTGGTTTGCTTAGCTCGGTGGAGCTGAACTCAATAGGCAGCAATTGCTCAGATCACCAGCCTTGCAAAGGGGACAGTCACAGGGTTAGAAGGGGAGGACATACAAAAGCAATGGACAAGAGATCTACATCTTTTATAAGCTGTTTTTAGATATATCCCCAATGAAAGAAACTAAACCATAATTAAATGCATGTTTTAATATGTGACATATTTACTTGACAGTGACTTTTTATTTTGGCAGAGGAGGGTCCCTTACACTATTAACTTTCAAATGTATTTCCACTTCAGAATAACAAGTAGATGGCGGATATGTCCATGGATCATTCTTTCAAATATTTTTTATTAATACATTTTTCAATAACAATTCAAAAGAGAAAATGATTATAATATGTTCATGGATTATTCAATGTTAATATATGAATTTTAGTTAAGGAAATTATAGAAAGTAATGTCTTACCAAAATCTTAAACTGATGCAACAGAGAAGATGAATCAGCTAGGCAGCCATATTCATTGTTGGCTGGACTGAATTTTGGAACGTATCCATCAGCGCCTGTGCACAGGAACACCTTCTCAATACTGCAGTAAAAGGAATTTCCCAAGTTCTGTACGGGGTCCACCATTACGCGGCCATAAATTACATCACCTGCCACAGAATGAAATATACAAATTCAATGTCAGGAGAGATCCACCCATCCAAATCTAGATTTTATCTTTCAACTTCTATTCTATGGGAATGATTAGAACTTAGCAACACATTGTGTGATTCTGCAAGGTTTTTTAGATTTCAGCCGAATGTAAAATATTTTTTTTCTTTGCTTTTCACCTAAACAGTTCCCACTACATTTGCTCGATAACAGTGAGCTTTTTTTACGTTATGGGTGCAAAATCAATGCATGCCCTCCTGCCTGTTAGAAATATGCTGATTACTTTAAATATCTAATGTTTGGCTAAAAAGCAGAACATTTATCATAAGTTTGTTAAATGGACTTCTGTAAAAGGACACCAGGAATTTTTTTGTGTTTTATAAAAGCATTAGAAAAAGAATACTTTGCATAGTAACATAAATTATAGCTTACTACAGACACAACTGCAAAACATGAAATGTTTAGTAATAATTTTACTAGAAACAAAGAAATTGTTATATAGACAATAAACAACCTCAGAATTTACGGTCAATGCTACGTGATGATGTGGCACACTAACTATACAATTGTCCGTATTTTTATTTTAAAAATCTTTAGAATATATATTATTCTTGGACACAGATGTATACTATATCATTAAAAACATATGCTAGCCAGTACATAGGGTATTGAGAGACATTTTTTTTTCTGACAAAGGTCTTGATTTAATATTTTGTGGATACGCTTTTCAAATGAACGCAATCTGTTAGAAAAACTTTTCAAATGAATTATGTACAAACATTCCTATAGACGTTAACAGTGACTTCTGTAGCTAAAATAATGGAAATGTGTATATAATGTGTATAGATTGTGACAGGGCCGGCCTTAGGCCTTCAGGCGCCCTGTGCGAAAAATCTTAACAGCGCCCCCCCCCCCCCGCGCCATCCATGTGTATAGGGGATTTATTAAATGAAAATTTAACAATTAACAAATATTTATCACCTCTTCCCTGTCATTACCTTGCATGGAGGGAGGGCATGCTGATCTCTGGTGATCAGAGCTTTCCTGTGGTAATCCGCGGCAACGTTCTGATTGGCCGGAACTCGGAAGACAGCTACTTATCATGTGTGTGTCAGACGTGATTGTGTGATGTGTTCTCTGTGTGCCATATTTGTAATGGGTGTATTGACTGTGTCTGATATGTGTGTGTATTGACCGTGTGTGATTTTTGTTCACTATAGCAGTAGATGGGGGGAGCAGGGGCACTGGGGTAGATGTGGGAGCAATGCACTATAGCAGTAGATAAGGGGAGCAGTGTCACTAGGGTAGACAGGGAACAATGGCGATATAGGGGGAGCATGGGCACAATAGGGATGGATAAGGAGCATGGGCACTATAGGGGTAGATGGAGGGATCAGGTACACTATAGGGGTAAATGGGGAAGCACTATAGGGGTAGATGGGGAGCAGGGGTGCTATAGTGGTAGATCGAGGAGCAGGGGCAGTATAGAGGTAGATAGGGGGAACTATAGAGATAGATGGGGAACATGGGTACTATAGGAGTAGAGGGGGCACTATAGGAGTAGAGGGGGCACTATAGGGGTAGAGGGGGGCACTATAGGGATAGATGGGGAACAGGTGTACTATAGGGGGAGCAGGGGCACTATAGGGGTAGAGGGGGAACAGGGGTACTATAGTGGGAGCAGGGGCACTGTATGGATAGATGGGAACAGGGGTACTATAGGTGTAGATGGGGGCACTATAGGGATAGATGGGGAACAGGGGTACTATAGGGGGAGCAGGGGCACTGTAGGGATAGATGGGAACAGGGGTACTATAAGGGGAGCAGGGGCACTATAGGTGTAGATGGGGGCACTATAGGGATAGATGGGGAACAGGGGTACTATAAGGGGAGCAGGGGCACTATAGGTGTAGATGGGGGCACTATAGGGGTAGAGGGGGCACTATAGGTATATATGGGGAACAGGGGTACTATAGGGGTAGAGGGGGCACTATAGGGAACAGGGGTACTATAGGGGTAGAGGGGGTCACTTTAGTGGTAGAGGGGGAACAGGGTTACTATAGGGGTAGAGGGGGGCCCTATAGGGATAGGGAGCACTATAGGGGTAGATGGGGAACAGGGTTACTATAAGAGTAGAGGGGGCACTATAGGGATAGATGGGGAACAGGGTTACTATAGGGGTAAAGGGTGCACTATAGGGGAAGAGGGATAGATGGGGAACAGGGTTACTATAGGGGTAGAGGGTGCACTATAGGGGAAGAGGGGGGCACTATAGGGATAGATGGGGAACAGGGTTACTATAGGGGAAGAGGGGGGCACTATAGGGATAGATGGGGAACAGGATTACTATAGGGGAAGAGGGGGGCACTATAGGGATAGATGGGGAACAGGGTTACTATAGGGGTAGAGGGGGGCACTATAGAGATAGATGGGGAACAGGATTACTATAGGGGAAGAGGGGGGCACTATAGAGATAGATGGGGAACAGGATTACTATAGGGGAAGAGGGGGGCACTATAGGGATAGATGGGGAACAGGGGTACTATAGGGGAAGAGGGGGGCACTATAGGGATAGATGGGGAACAGGGTTACTATAGGGGTAGAGGGGGGCACTATAGGGATAGATGGGGAACAGGGTTACGATAGGGAAGAGGGGGCACTATAGGGGAAGAGGGGGGCACTATAGGGATAGATGGGGAACAGGGGTACTATAGGGGTAGAGGGTGCACTATAGGGGAAGAGGGGGGCACTATAGGGATAGATGGGGAACAGGGTTACTATAGGGGTAGAGGGGGGGGCACTATAGAGATAGATGGGGAACAGGATTACTATAGGGGAAGAGGGGGGCACTATAGGGATAGATGGGGAACAGGGGGACTATAGGGGGAGCAGGGGCACTATGGTCTCACTTACCAGGCAGCAGATTCAGGCCTCGGTTAGCTCCGCCCCCGCCGACCACTTGGCTCCGCCCCATCGGCTGCTTGGCTCCGCCTCCTACAGTCTCTTTCGCTGCTAAGCCCTGGTAGAGGGCAGGGGGTGTGCAAGCTGTCAGCCATAGGGCGCCCCCTGCTGCCATGGCGCCCTGTGCGGCCGCACAGCTCGCACACCCCTAAGGCCGGCCCTGGATTGTGATCATTTGAAAACCGTATCCAAAAATATTAAATCGAAGTCAAAGAACATTAAAAAGTTCATAAATTTTTTCCCTGACAATTGTTTATCTTACACATTTTACACAGCTAAATAAAGCTTACAAAGTACCAAAGGGAAGTAAACAACGTGAAGCTATTTTATCATAAAGTTCTGAATATTGTTTTCTTGTGACATACCTTCTAAAAATGCTATGTCGCTCTCCTGTCCGAATCCCATGGACCCATCAGACAACCACAAAGATTTCTTTGAGAGAAGCAACATCAGTGTATTCAAGCTGAACTCCGTGGCCACTGGATCACTCACCTAGAAGATATTAGAGGAATTATAAATTATGTTGGTTCTCCCTTTATGGTCTGAAGACCATCATTGACAACTTGAACTTACAATATGATCCTTCAAGTTTTAATAAACAAGTAATAAAATCCCTATGAACTTACATGAGTAAGGTGTGTGGGCACAAGATAGTAAATCATTTACTTTAACCTTTGTATTACATTAATGTTGTTATATGTCTATTGACGTATGTTGTTCATTTTTGAGGAAAATAAATGTTATTGAATTTGAAGAGGTCTTTGGGTCCTCTTTTTTTATTGAGTGGTTTTTCAGATGTTTAAAAAGCTCTCTGGGAGACAATAAACAATAATATGAATAGGACGTTGTATGTGGTTTAGATCTTATGATCTACAGAAGAGCCATATAGTTTGATATGAGGCTATTATAAAGCATCAACCACCGTGCCTATCCATTTATTGCTAAAGAGCATTTTACAAGCTTGTCTTAATGTGACCCATGGTTGTCTAGATCACCATCTGCTTCAGTAAGCAGATGTGGAACAACTGAATCTATTAAAGTATAATTTATAATAAATCATGCCCCGTTGCTTGACGTTTAAATCCTATAATCCAGAAGAAGTTCTATTTTTCTTTGCTGTACCTGTTGGAATCGGATATCAACATCAAAGGTTATAGGCTCCCGTGGATTGCAGGTAGGTGGTAAATTGTATTCCTGATATGGAGCAGTAGTGCAGGCAATGAGCTTCACAGTGTATGTACCGGAGTAGTCTCTGACCTATTGATGACAAAACAACAATTTTCAACATCTTTTTGGTGGGTATTACTCATACTTCTATATGGTTTCACACAATAAAGAAGTTGCCTGACTTGGATGAACTTGGGGAATGGAAGCAGCCATGATGTAAGAAGACTTTTATTTTCGGTGTATCCACTCAACTGTATAGATTATAGATATCCCTTACAATATAATTATACTTTTTTTGTAGCATAAAATAATGATACCTTTATTTTCCGCAATAAAATATTACCAATATTAAACATGTTATCACATTAAAATAACTTAATTAAGTGAAAAATGAATGCGAAAATGGGCCAGTCTAAATGCGTTACTTGAATGGAGAGCGACTATAATTAATCATAACTTTAAATATGAACAATTAGACAAATGATAAATTACAATTGAGGAAATCTACGAATTTGAAAATGAGTACATCCTGGGTAATATTGCGTTGCTACAATGGAGATTATTATTAGCATTTATTTAGCGCCAACATATTTTGCAGTGGTTTACAGTTATAGAAAAGGTGTGTTTGGGGGTAAAGAAATAAGCTTACAATCTATGACTATTTGAAGTATATAATATGGCCAGCGACACTTACCAGTAACGTGGAATGACCAGGAGTCGAACCTGGACTTTCCAGTACCAACCAGCTGATTTTATAATCATTACCTTTTCTAATTCTTAATGATGTACCATACAAAAATAGAATTTTTTTTATTTTTGCATACACCCGTATTTACATTATCTATTCCGTTATTGATTATGAAAATGGTGCCAGTGAGTAAAGACATGAACCCAGTCATCATAAGAATAAAGCTCAGATTATGTCCTGACACACTTTCACGCATGTTTGCACAGTGAACCTCCAATTTTATCTCACCAGGTTCATTCAATTACTTTATAACAGATGAAGATACTATCAGAAAAGAAGATAAAATCCCAAAATGTTTGGGAAGTAAAATATATATTATGATTTGCTTTACTTATTTTAGAAAAAAATATGTAACTTTTTCATACATGAATAGCTATTCTCTTCCTTATGCCCCAATACAATGTTCTTTTTTGACTGCTTATTTAAATACTATTTAAAATATTTGTAATTGTAGTGTCATATCTGGTGGAGTATGATGGGATCATAGCGTATAGGTTCTTTATCTGTGCTACTGAAGACAAAAGCAAGTATTGGTCATCTACTTACAGCAAAATCAGAGACGAAGCTCCACTGCTGAATAGGCTGGTTAAAAGTTGGCTCACTCCGCACAAGGCTGAGGGTAAATGTAAGACCTGGATGATCTACTGACATGATCATTGAACTCATCAATGTGGCTAGATAAAAGAAGACACCATTATTGCTAAATATCCACCTAAAATACATAAATACAATGTCTGTCCATTTTAATGGTTGAAAAGCATAAAAGTAATAGAGAATGACAATTTTTAAGAAACCCTCCAATATGGAATGATCATTGGGAAACATTCCAATATGAAAAGGTCATTGAGAAACACTTCAATATGGAATGATCATTGGTAAATAGTGATGTCCCGAACGGTTCGCCGAAACGGTTTGCGAACGGTTCGCCACGAACGGTTTGCCGCGGACTCATCATTGAGTAAACTTTGACCCTGTACCTCACAGTCAGCAGACACATTCCAGCCAATCAGCAGCAGAACCTCCCTCCCAGACCTTCCCACCTCCTGGACAGCATCCATTTTGAAGCTGCATTCTTAGTGAGCTGTCCAAGAGGTGGGAGGGTCTGGGAGGGAGGGTCTGCTGCTGATTGGCTGGAATGTGTCTGCTGACTGTGAGGTACAGGGTCAAAGTTTACTCAATGATGAGTCCGTGGCGAACCGTTCGCGAACCGTTCGGGACATCACTATTGGTAAACACTCCAATATGGAATGATCATTGGGAAACACTCCAATATGGAATGATCATTGAGAAACACTCCAATATAGAATGATCATTGGGAAACACTTCAATATGGAATGATCATTGGGAAACACTCCAATATGGAATGATCGTTGGGAAACACTCCAATATAGAATGATCGTTGGGAAACAATCTAAAATTGAAAGGTCCCTTGGTAACATTACAATATGCGATGGTAATTCAGTAACACTTTAATATGTAATAATCACTTGAGTAACACTCCATTTTGGAATGATCATTCCGTAACACACTAATTTGGACTGGCTGACACTCGATTAGAGAATGGTCATTTAATATATTTTTTTCTATACTGAATGGTCATTTTGTAACACACCAAAATGCAGTGGTTATTCAGAATATAGACTGATCACATGATAGCATTTCAATATGGAATAGTCTTTTTGGTAACACTCTAATATGGAATGGTCACTTTAGTAATACTCCATTTTGGTCACTCAGTAACATATCAATATAGAATGGTCATTCGGTAACATTCCATATTGAATCTTGATTAACACTCCAATGTGAAATGATCATTCAGTAATATTAGAAAATAGAAAAAGTCAATGCACTCCATTACAGATTGGTTACACCACAGTACATAATGACACTTTACTACAGAATGGTAATTTGGTAACATCGATAAATAAATATAATATATTATTCCTGTAATACAGCATTTTGGCATTTGGGGGTGAAATAGATTTTCTTTGCATCTTTTTAAGCTACCCATAGTAATCACTATCACCTCCATACTCACAATATAACATATCCATAGCAATGTTTCTCTTCAGACTTATCAGAAACTTTGTGTAAAGTGCCAACATGCTTGATGTGATTCTTGGATTCAATAATTCATGGATTTACCATTTAGTTTTATAGGCAAGAATACAACTGTAATATGCTTGCCGATTCTAATTGGCAAAATCACTATATATGTGCCATTTCCTTAACATGCTCCTTACTTTCACAAACATCCATATATTGACAAAACTATGCATTCTATTGTTGACTTAATGGAATCACCTTACTGGTGTTTTCTATTTAAGAAACATTCCAGACTACAGATATTGTTTTATATTCTAAGGCAAAATAAGAGAGATAACATTTGTATTTCAAACTCTGTCATGTAAATCAGGAGACACATACCTTTTCAGTGTCTGGAACAGGAGGACAATGGGAGTTGGGGCCGACATAGTATCACTCCAACCTGCACACTAGTACATGCTTGTATAAAGTCCATAGTTCTGGTTTTTTTTTTTAAATTTCCCTTTGTTTTGCATTTAAATATCTACAGCTATGACAAACTGAGTAATTTAAAAGCCTTATTAGTTTCCTTTTATACACTTTATTAAAGTTAAAATATACTTACCAGAATGTGACATAACAAACAGACCATTAAATCGAGCTTCCGTTTTAAAATTAACCACCAGGCGCCCTTCATCATTAATACGCATGCTGGTTGGGTACAAAGATCCTAAAAAGAATAATTAAAAAAAATCAATTAGTACGTTTGGTAACACTGCGCTCAATATTGCACTATACCAATAATTATTCATTTAAGAAAGTATAACATTTAGAATTATTTTAGATTTACAATCATTTTCTGTAATATCAAGATCAATGACTTAATTCTGACTTCTTCAGAATTAAAGTAATTTTCATGTTGACAGAGTATTTTAAGGAACGTATTATTTTAGCTAATACTTATTGTATCTTCCTATTTATATTTACATTTTATATTTAAGTAAGCAAAGTTACACTTCAATATAATTTTGACATCAGCAGCTACTTTGACAGCTACCTTCTTAAAGGTCACGCTAATATTACGTTTCCCATAATATCCAATACAGTGAATTAATATCAGTGAACATGTCTGGCTTATTTTAAAAAGGCAGCTGTTTTCGATTCGAATATATTGAAGAATGCTACTCTTTAGCTACTCTAATGAAAGTGCTAAAAAAATAAAAATCTAGAATAATAATGTTATCTTCACAGTGCCTCTTTATGCAGAAGCTAAGTATTCTTTATTTAAAAAAACAAAAAACCTATGCTGATCATCACAGTATGTTACAGACTTTCCTGTTAGTTCCATATTTGTACCTTGTAGTTCAGCTTCAGGAGGGCTGCCAATTCCATCTTTCCACAAGATGGCAGTGTCGTACACAAATGTCAGACGAAGCTCAGAATGTAGGTCAAAGTGCTGCCATCCTCCAACACCCACCGGAGAGTGGAATACATAAGATACATACAACGGTACCCGCAAGGTCACGTAGGACTGTACGAGATTCAGGACCTTTAAACAAAAGAGACAATTTCATTACTGCCGCAATTTAACTGTGATAGCAATAGGCTTCTTATAGTCTAATATTAGATATAGTTGAAAGAAAATAATTGGTATTTTAATAAAGAGTGTGGCATTTTATACAATTGAACCATTGCCAATTATTTGAGTAACAATATATTTCAACATTCTGCAAAGGATTTGACAGGAATACAAGTTAGAATTTTGAAGAACCTAACACTTCGGGTCGGATTCTCTAAGAAAAGTAATGGTTTACTCTTCTTACTGAATGTCAATTCATGCATTAAAATATATAGAAAAAATACCATTCAGTAGTAAATCATTACTCTGTTAAGAGAATCAAGCATTTCAATTGATACTCCTAAATAGGTTTCTTATAAGATTACTTCAAGAACCATGACCACTTCAGTGAATTCAATTGAAACTCTGCACATTCAGAGATCTATGAGGTGCTGCCACAGGTTTACCTCTGGCAGCATCATTAGCCAGCCTGGAATGGTAGTTATGGTTGGTTAATGTTAAAGATACACTGAGCGCTATAGCGTTAGGAATACTGATTCATTTTGGTTCCCCCCTTAGCACCGCCTCTTGTGCCTCCTTCCACATCATCATCTCGCCAATGGCCAATCCAATGCAGAGAAACATTGAAAACTGATGAGAATGCGTGGCAAGTTCCACCAGGGCAACCATATGCTTTTTAGAGGAAAGCACTGAATTGAATGCATTTTTCTAAGTAGCATTGGTCATATTACTCAGTTGTTCCTGTAGAAGCGCCTCTAGTGGTTCTACAAGTTGTTCTACAAAACTGTAATGCTTTACATTGCGGATTAAAACTACAGGGCCACTGAACCCAGAACACTTCATATCGATGAAGTGGTCTGGGTGACTTTAGTTGTCCTTTACATCTGTGCATATTGGCTGGTTGTCAGCATGCATAACATTCTGGCGACAGATGACCAATGGTGTCAAGGCCCCCCAAGTCTTCACTTCAATAAAATTACTTCATTATGTAAAAATATTACATAAATACGCACGTAGAATTTAAATATATATGCTCCGAGACATGCATCCCTATGCAGTGAGTGTAGAGACATCCCCAGAGGAAGACCAGGCTACAGAAAGTGAGGGAGTGAGGTGTTGCAGATAAATTTACCCTTTGCTTCTTTATATATATATATATATATATATTTATTTTTTACAGGGGAAGTCATGCTACCTACTACAATCAAAAACACTTTTTTATGAAAATACTTTTTTAAGTTGTAGTACTAACCCATAAAGCAGAACATTCTTTGTCAATGATACTTGAAAATATCAGTTGACAAACTTTAGATTCCAGTAATATGTCTTTTTTTTTTGGACTTCCCGTGAAATCGTTTGTCAGCAACAGTAACAGTAATTTTAATTGATGAAAAGACTGAAGCCCTTCAGGTTGTTTAATTCATACACCCCTTTTGCTGTTATTCATTCATAAAATGGCAGAAATTCAATTGTTTACTACAACACTAAAAAAAATAAGCAAGGATTGAAATACAGGTATTCAGGTGTACACTCAATTAATGAAGTCTTGTTTAGCAGTTACTTGACTTTACATCAAGGAGCATTTATATCACACAGAAGTTAACGGCAAAGATACAATATTGCGTATCCATTAAATAATCTACTGACATCTTGACAGACAAAGAAACAAATCCGCGTTGCACTGTTCCCCTGAAGCCCACAGAGAGATGTGATAAAATGAGGCTACCGTTCGTTACCATTTAATCTTTTTCTATTTTCTATGTGCTTTCAGAAACCCTAGTGAATAGGATCACAGCTGTTCCTGCTTTAAAATGATGACTGAATGTGTAAACAGAACAGACTGTTTGGAGACTCTACTCTTTAAACAGCTTTACTGCTAATCATACACAGCACAGGTGCAATGCATCCGTACGGAGACTGCATTCTTTCAATGGCTTGCGTGAAACTGTGATCTGTACACACTTTAAGAGCTGCCAAGTTCATGGTTGCCAAGATTTACAAAATAAATATAAAATGAATGATTCTGTTGAACTGTCAGATATATCATCAATATATAATCTTGAGTTTCTGATGTGCACTTTTTTGTATACAGAGATCAAATCAGTCAGTAGGTCTGCATTAGCACAGGGCTATTAATACAATATATACATATTCTATAATAATGTGTGTGTGTGTGTGCACAATTTGGATCTATTGACCTCTTTTGTTTACTTTCTTTAGAATTTTGATGTTATAGATAGAGATGTCGCGAACCGTCCACGAACTTCTCGCGAACGGTTCGCCACGGTTCGCCACGAGCTGTTCGCGGCGAACTCCGGTCAGCTGACACATCCCGGCCAATCCCCAGCAGACCCTGGATGGATGCTGTCCAGGAAGTAGGAGGGTCTGGGAGGGAGGGTCTGCTGGAGATTGGCCGGGAAGTGTCAGCTGACCGGAGTTCGCCGTGAACAGCTCGTGGCGAACCGCGGCGAACCGTTCGCGAGAAGTTCGCGGACGGTTCGCGACATCTCTAGTTATAGACTGGGTAGTTTACATAGTTACATAGCTGAAAAGAGACTTGCGTCCATCAAGTTCAGCCTTCCTCACATATGTTTTTGCTGTTGATCCAAAAAAGTTGTGGGTATTTGATCATAGTCGGTTAACGGCTGGTTAGTTGATCATAGGTTTCCACAACATTTCAAGTTTAATCACTGCTTGCTGTATTTTACAAATTACATATTTTGTCTACTCAGTAAGATAAAGAAACATAGATCAGGAGATTAATTCATAACCTGCTCCAACTTATCTCTAAAGTCAGCCATAAAAGTATTTTAAACTAAAATACTTATAGTGATATTTTACCTTCCAACATTTCAAATATCTAAAGGAAGAGCACTTATTTTGGGGGTTATACATAGAGGGTCATTGAATTACCAAGAACTCATATGTCACCTTGCGTGGAATAGCTTGTTGTTAATGTATTAAAAAAATGCATTTATAAAGATATTTTGCTGTCTCCAGGATTCGGAGATAAGTAAGGAGTAATCTATAACTGGACCAGGACAGTTTGAAGATGATTGTATATTGTCAGGTTTACTACAGAGAGCTAGCTTACTTTCCACTTAATATTGGAGCACATCGGTCACGTTAACATAATTCAGGTAATAAAAAGACGGAGTCTGAGAAATTATTCTCCCACCAGCACTCACATTCAAACAATATTAGACTCTGCCTTTCATGATGTCATTAGCTCACTATCACAAGCTACCAGCGAGGACCTTTTTGCACTCTAACTATCATTTTTTGCATGTGCACCATTTTTTGCTGATACAGCAGAATTATGAATGTTTCCTGATACTTTTTCCGACAGAAAAGTGGCATAAGTTTTTTGCTGCTATAAATCCGTAAATCGAAATTTCTGTGAAAACTGTTGAAATGTATAATGAAGAAAGCCATCACTTTTTGATCACTTTAATAACTATGATCCAACTAATGACTGCATTTAGAATACTTTGATAAACATACTCCATTATATCCCTCTTACACATTATGGCTACTAGGACCCAATGAATGTAAGTAATATGATTGCACAATGTTACAGTTCACTGCTCATCCAATAATCTCAGTGCAATCAGGTAGATTGAAAGTGAAGAGCCGTTAATGCTACTTATGGTACTTAAAGAACTGAGGTGTACCCTATGACCACTTTAATATGGGGACTGCAAGTTAAAACAAACAAAAAAAAACAAAAAAAAAACCAAACCTGCTGCTGAACAGTACAGTCCTAGTTTGAGGATAAAGCCAGCACTGTAACTTTGAATAGAATATTACATGCATGCGTCCCTATGCATGTGCTGCCCCCCAGCTGTCAATGGCATTACTGCACATCTACTGAGTTATGCAATGCAATGCTTCTTCACCAGTTATCCAGGTTGGGGCCACTGAATTGTGTTCTAGTACTCATATAAATATGACATAGACAAAGCACTGAGAAAAAACTAATAAAAACAATTAGTAATAACTTATTAAATATGACTTAATTAACAATTCTGCAACCTGCGCTGAAAATATACATTCCTAAATGTTCTACCTGTTAGTTGTCTCTGTCTAATCTATCTGTTCTATGCTGCTACCTACATTACACCACAGCAGATATAACAACCTAGAAAATCTATCAAGCTCTTGTCTTTTGGGATGGGGAGGGGGGGGGAGTTTTTTAGCATCCCCCAATCCTTTCAAATGTATGAGCGACTTCAGACCTTCTGCTAAGCAGAAGCCCACATCCTCCAGTTATGATAATTAGGAGATCTCTGTAAAAACCCATTCATTTTCTCAGATAAGAAATTAAAAATAAAAATTCAAAGAAAATAAAATTACAATAACGGTTCCGTAATAAAAATGAATATATATACTCAATATTCATTTGGATTAAATGGTCCAAGTGTTATGCCACCAGTCTGCTCCAGATAAGAAGGAATGTAGAAATGTAAATATGACATTGAATTCTGTTTCAAAATCAATCTTGTATTTGAAAAGTAAATGGTAAAATTAGACAGGAGACCACCCAAGGGGCTGAAACTTGCAAATTTGCAGCCCCAAAAACATAGTGTCATTATTAAAGCATACGCAATGACAGCACTCTACAACATAGAGATGTAGGTATTGTCTAGAGTGCAGGGTTTAAAGAGACTCTGTAGCTACAAATGCACTTTGGCCATTGGTGGGTTGCACTGAGCAGTTACTAAATCAAACAGACTGACATCAACGTTTATTGATATATGCAGAAGTGACTTGTTCACAAGGGTCACTGTATAAGTGCCCAGGCATTCCTAGCAAAACATGTGCAGTATGATAGCTCGCTAATGAGAAATCCTACTGCATTAGTTAAAAGTGCGAACAACTGCAAAGCTTCAGGTGCTGATTGATCAACAGCAACACTGCTAGGAAACAGCTAAATGTATGCAGTTAAATGGGGCACTGCAACCTGTATTTGATCCATTCTTGCTGTATGGATTGTATAGCTAGTACATGAAAGTCTATGGAAGAACCCCCCCATTTCAATTTAGAAAAATAGAAGATACATTTGAATGTTCCTGCACATATTAAAAATCTACAGGTTTTGCAGCATCTGAAGTAAGAACTACAGAGACCAGGAAGAGGTTCATCCAATCTTGACACACATTTAAAGGATTAAATTAAGCGGGCTGTAGTGGTTATGATGCGAGGAGTACCCTGGCCTCGTTCTGTTGTCATGGGGCAAACAAGCCAAGTATCCTTGGTGACGTGTTTCTGATTCCACAGAGCTTCAGAAACCCAATTCAGTTTCCATTCATTGGCTGAGAGTGTCAGCTGACTGCAAGCAAATGAAAATTTGCACAGAATTGACATGCCCCAATGAGGCTGCCGGAGTTGGAGTTGCACCTTCAACAGCAAATGGGCAAAACTGAAATACTGAAATGCAGCACATACATTTTTTGTCTATACTCTTATGCCGACCTTACTTTAGCTATTGGCTGAACACGTGTCCGTGGTTATTGCTTTATGCTTTGTCACGGCATCCAGCAATCTCTCCAATCTGCTACATTACGCCAAGAACTTATTGGGTTAATGTGCATAAACTGGAGGACTGGGCAGGCGAGTGGCAGATGAGATTCAATACTATTACTAATAAATGCAAAATCATGAATTGTGGAATAAGGAAGCCACCCACAAGCAACTTCTACATTAAAGAAATCAATCTACATTAGATTCATGTGATCAAAATATAATTTTGCCCCTTTGTATAACAATGGTAAGATCTAACTTTAAATATGTGGTGCAATTCTAGACACCAGTTTTTAAGAATTATTTTGCAGAACTAGAAAAAGTACAAAGGTGAGCATCAGAATTAACAAGGGGATGGAAAACATTAGTTATGAAAAATGGCAATTGTTTTCTTTAGAAAAATAGGCACCCCAGAGGGGCTATGATAGCACTATGCAAATATAAACATGGTCAGTACAAACCACTCTGTGCTAACCTGTTCATTAGCACAGACAAAAGGTTATCCATTGAGACTGGAAGAAAGGAGTTTTTGTTTAAAGCAGAGAAAAATGTTCTTTACAGAAAGAACAATAAATATGTGGAACTATTTATTTAAAGAGGTTGTCTTATCAGATTCTGTAGATATTTTTTTAAAAACAGGCCTACAGAATATTCAAGGTTATAATTAATATGCATGTGAGCAAGTTTTTGACCCAAGAAAAATATCTGATTGTCATTATGAAGTCCCCTTCCTCCTTTTTGTGGCATAATTGACTGTCACTTCAAATTGGGTTTTGCCTTATTTTGGATCAACGGCATAACAATGTGTTTTAAAGGTTGAACTTCGTGGACTTGAATATTTTTTCAACCTAGATTACTGTATAACTATGTAACCCAACTACTTGCAAGATTTACACCAAATTATTGCAGTTGGAAAATGTCTCGGCTTTATAATTTAACAATATGAAATAACCAGGCAGTTTTGGCCTAAATATTGTTAGGTGTGATCCCATCACAAAACACTGTTTAGGGACTCAGTTTAGTATGATTCTCTGCATTACATTCCACCAGCATTTATTTCCCCTTGTGTCCATGCCAAGACTGGAACCACTTACTCCCAACAATTGGCATAGCTGTCAGGAGTCAGAAGAGATATATTGCTTGCCAAATGGAAGCACCTTGATAAAGGAACAATAGAATTATCTAAAAATTATTCATTAAATGGCCAGCTTGCACTTCAAGGCACGCAGAATAAACCTAATTAATAACCTGAGCTGCAATTACTTCAAATTAATTCTTATAAATAATTCAGCTGCATTAGCCTTTTCTAAGGTTGGTTGATTAGAAACAATGCACAATTTATAATTTAGTGTTTGAAAGCTGTTAATTCCTTAAGAAAAACGTTAAGCTTTAGCCCTTCAGGCACCTATCATGAAAACGACTCCAAGGTTAGTGTATCAGAATTTGCATTAAATCTCCATTTATATAAATAGGAACGGAAATAACTATGTGACAATTCCAGGAGGCATGTACCATACCTTGTTATTTAACTGCACATATAATATTACTAACAATGCTGGTAATGCATATAAAATATACAAACTAGATTTTCTCACACATTGTATTTTCTTTTCTTTTGTTATTAACATAACCTTACCCATCACATTCTCTCAGTCAGCCCCAGCCAAAATCATCATCACTCTAACTATTCTAGCCGATCTGCAGAGTGTTTGTAATGCATGCAGTGTGTGTGCGGTGAATGCATTGTGTGTGTAGTGCATGCATTGTGTTGTGGTGTCGAATAAGTTTAATGTGAGGGGTGAACAGTGTTTTTTAAATTGAACAATCTGTTTATTCCTCCTCCCCTACCTCTTACATGTGGGCAGGGAGGGGGACACATGATTCCCTGGTGGTCCAGTGGCTCGGTGGACTGGAAGATTTTGAAGATACTCCTCTAGCAGCAGGTGCTGTCCTCTCCTCCCTCGAGCTGCGAGAGCACAGCTGGGGGTTGCAATGGTAATGCTCTGGCATGCATTGCATTCCATGGTAACCCTTGGCAATGCTCTAACCCTTGGCAATGCTCTCTCGGGTCGAGGGAAAAGAGGACAGCACCTGTTGCTGGAGGGGGAGATTAGACTTCTGGCCACCTCTTCATTAGTCGAGGCTGCAGGGGCCAGGAACAGCATATATCTATAGCAGTAATTGCTACATATATGCATAGGTGGCCCGGGCCCCTTAAGCAGTGTAAGTGTACAGGGGCAGGTCCTGCATTTAATCTGTCCTAACAGACTACAGAAGCTAGATGATCAGGTGGGTTGAAATCCTGGAACATGACTCAACCACTGTATCTACAAATGCCAAATGACTGGGGGTAGGAGCATGGACACATACTAGCAATGTGTGTATTATGGGAAAATCTTGTCTTTTGTGAAGTTCGGGTTATAATTTCCATAAAGAAGGACTTTCGTGTAGTCTTTATGTTGATGTACTTAGTGAGTTATAGCTTTACACACAAACACGCAGAATATTAGTAATATCTAAAAGTGGTTTGTCCAGACAGCTCTTGAAGGTAAGTCCAAATGCTCGTTTCACAGTGCAAAGCCTAGACTTATAGCATGGCATGCCATAAAGGTCTATTAATTATTTTTCAAAGAATGAGACTGTCAGTGCATGGTCACAATATAGATTCTCTCATAGAACGAATATAAAACTTGTTATTGTAAATTAGAATTTGTACAGTTTAGCACATTTGTATTCGCACCATGCTAGAAAAAGAACGGGTAGAAAGAAGCTAGACTTTGAATGCTTCATGAGGGAATTTGCATATATTACATAAGTAGTTATGGTACTTAGTGTCTTCCTTTAAATAATTGTTTATTGCAACAACATTCAAGACTTTTTTGAAGACTACTCTACCGCAAGAAACTTTAGTGAAAAGTAACTTTTTCACAATAATGTATATTAAGTTACCCAACATTTAGGTATTAAGGTATCCAACTTTTATTAGTAATTGCTACTTAACTCTTCATACATATAAGTCAAATTCTTCTCACCTAAATAGTTTAAACTTTAACAAACAAACAAAATCATTAATAATACAGATAGTTATTTTTTTTTACCCTATTTAGTTGTTGATTGACGAGAATTGTTACGGTTTGAAAAGAATTGTGACCCCATTAAGATTTCTATTGCCAAGTAAACAATGGCTTTATAGATAATGCCCATCACTGAATCTATCACAGCTTGACAAGGTCATTAGAAGATGCAAACCTTACTGATGTGTGAATGAAGGTCTAGAGATTGAAACTGCGGCAGTTGAGGAGGTAAGCTTTGACATGTAAAACAGACCATTTTAAAGTCACTAAACACATCTAAACTCTATCTATAGAAGACATCACCCACCCTTACTCTACAATGGTAGTTACTTTGTTCACTGACTTTCAAATTGTTTCCACTAAGTGTTTCTAAAATCATCATCAAAACTCTAGAGTAGTGATGGCTAATATTCGGTTGTACTTTGTAGGCAATGGACATGTATCCTAAATTATCCGTAATGCCAAAGCATAGGCAGGTTACATTGCTGATCTAGAACACAGCTCTCAGGGTTATAGAAATTAGCAGCATGTTATTCTTTCTCTGGGTATCCTAAAGTGTGTGGATTATTAATATGTGTTTGTATTTTTCACATTTTATTGTAATAGTTAAGCTTTAAAATTGTCATTTTTGTTGGACAGAAGGTATATTATAGTATGTAAAAATGTTAATTTACTGGATTTATTGTTTTCATGATTGGTCAGAGGACATCCCTGTAAATAAATACTAGTGTGGGGGAGTGGTGTGAACATGTACCATTTCACATACTTTTTCTGATGTCTACAAATTAACTAGATGGTGAAGGGATTGCAAACCTTTTCTATATTTCCAGGCAGGGCCAGTGCAAGGATTTTTGCCGCCCTAAGCAAACAAAAATTTGCCACCCCCATATGTTCTGCCCACCATGTGACATCACAATGCCCCACCCATATGATCTGTAACGTTAGGACTAAGGAATAACTTTTCTCCCTCCGATGCTGGTCTCCACACTGCTGTCCCATCTCCTCGGCTGATATAATCAAGATCAATGATCTCAGCCAACCCAATGCTTTCCCATAGTCTCTATAAAACCATCTGATTGAATAGCAGTTTCTTAGTCTGTGTGCCAACCACTAGAGGCATTTAAACCTTGTAATGAAAGCATTACTGTTCTGCATAATGGCAATATATTCACTTGCAAACTGGGTGGAAGGAGGGGCGGCATGTCACCCAGACTACTTCATTGAGATGAAGTGGTTTAGGTGATGATAGTATCCCTATAAGTAGTAATATATACTGGTAAACCAGGATTTCACGTTGCACACATGTAACAATAACAATACTATGCCCAGTGCTTATGTCCAAAGTTTCCAACACTGCTTTATCCTTCAAATGACCTTTTACACCCATGTAAAGAGATGGAGAGATGCGGCTGGAGCACTAGTCAACTGCCTCTTGGCAATTACTTTAGAGATATTTAAATCAATGCCACAGAACCTAGCCTGTATTAATGTCTCACTTGATGGATTTGGGTGCAATTCTGTTATGAGTTAGAGCTTCATTAATATTCAATTTGCTACGATTCCTACATAAGTTCTCCTCATTTCTACACAAGCTTTAATGTTACTGACAAGATTATTAAAACAATGCCAACTGTTATTGTCTTTTGTGGACAGATAAACTGTAATTTATTTGTCCATTTTAAATATTGTACCTAAGTTTGAGCATTTTGTTTATAATATAGAGTTTAGTATATAACCCTATGATCTTCTTAATGTGGTAAAATCTGGGAACAATATGTGGAAAACATTCCTTAATGAGTTCAAAATTACTAGTAAATATCATACTTTTGCTTATAAAAATAATTGGCAAATAATGATTGCTTGATTGGTTGTCACTAGAGATGTTGCGAACCGTCCGCAAATTTCTCGCGAACGGTTCGCCTTCTCGCCGAGCTGTTCGTGGCGAACTCCGGTCAGCTGACACGTCCCGGCCAATCTCCAGCAGACCCTCCCTCCCAGACCCTCCTACTTCCTGGACAGCATCCATGTCGAAACATGGATGCTGTCCAGGAAGTAGGAGAGTCTGGGAGGGTCTGGGAGGGAGGGTCTGCTGGAGATTGGCCGGGACGTGTCAGCTGACCGGAGTTCGCCGCGAACAGCTCGTGGCGACCCGTGGCGAACCGTTCACGAGAAGTTCGCGGACGGTTCGCGACATCTCTAGTTGTCACCAGTATTGCCAGCTAGAATATATTAAAAAGCACCGACCAACTATTTAAAACAAAATCAAGAAAATATGTTTTCAGAAAAAATATCTAGTACACAAGAGTTCTGTCATATGAAAAATCAAATGTTACTAAAGGGATCTGTATCAGGGATTAATTGTGTTCCACTGCGATTTTCTCAGTATATGTACGGGTCACAAATATCAAAACCCGGTCATTATGAGAAGTAACATAAATGACTGAATTTCAGTTGAACACCTTTTATTTTATATTTGTATATCTGTTTTGGAATTATTAGTAGTTTAAAAAAGAATCTAAATTTTGCTAAATGCAAAATACCTGTCCATCTGTACCAATTGTTCCTCCACATTCAGTCAAGAGCTCCGACATGTCATAGTAGCTGGTAAATTCCCACAAGCAAGCCTCCAAGTTAAGGTTCTTGTAGAAACGTAGAGCATTAACTCCTCTGATCTGTGGACTATATTGGTAAGGAGAGGTCTCCCCAATTAAATCTGGATTCTTGGTGGAATTTGTTAAGAATCCATAGCGAGTTCTAACTTCATTGTAATCCAGAAGGTTGGAACACTTGTGGTTTCCAGCTCTTGTACCATCAGGGCTCAGAGTAAGTTCAAAGTTAGACAGTTCTCTTGTAGATATCACCGGGAGCATACCTTAAAAACATGATGGAAAAAAAATATATATCTGTATAGTAGTAATAATGGCCAGTCCCTAGCCAAGTTAATGAGCTATCTCCAGCTATTCTACTACAAGTTATACATTCATATATTATCTTTGTTTAATTGATACAATCACTTTGACTAATAAACCTTTTAGAATGGCTGGATGGTGGATTAAAAATAAAACAAAGTGTATAAGCAACATTAGGAAATGGGATCATTCTGAGTATAATTTTATGATTAACTAAGGATTATGTTTAGAATTCTCATTGGCCCTGCTCCTATGTACAACATCAAAGCTTGAAGGAGTCAAACAGCCAATTGGCACTATAATGTATAAACAAGCTGTCTTGGATTACCATCAATGTGAGGGAGTGTAACGGTCACTTTAATAAGGTTTGGGTGATCTGAATCTTCTGATCCAGTGTAGCGCATTTTAGCAGAAAATGGTTCAGCACCAACAACTCCAGGCACTCTAGGGTGGCAAAGTCCTAGGGATAAAGATTATAAAATTAAAAATATGATACCATAAAACACAGAAATAATGAGTTATATCTTAGAGTTGACAAGAAGCAAAGGAAATACACTCAAATATGCCTTCAACCATAACCACTACAATGAACCATAGTAGTTATAGTGCTTAGAGTGCCTCTTTATGTAGTTCTTTATTTTCAATTTTTTTGTTCTTTTTCACTCTGCTAGCTGATTTATAGATAAGTGAAAAAAGTCCAATTTTGTTAAAATTGTGCAATAATTTATTCATTATATCAAAGAACGCAAATATGTGTGCTAGATTCAGCTTCCATTGACAAATGTATACACGGTTTTATCAATTTTACCTACAGATGGAAAAAGGTAACTAGAAAAATAAGTAATTAAACTTTGAGAAAGAACCTGTGTATTTAGGCCTGTGTACCTCCTTTTATAATGTTGCCATATTCTATCACCTGATGACCTACCTTCATCTATACTAACAGTTATTATAGGACTCATGAGTTCCAGGCCTTCACTTCCATCAGAGTTCACGGCACGAGCTGCACATTGCACACGAGAACCAGCTTGAAAGTATATGGAATCCAAAGAAATAAGTTTGGAAGAGGTGAAAAATGTGTCAAAGTCCACCTCTCTCAAGGGACTGGTAACTCCATCCGGGCTGGTGGGGGCACTCACCAGCCAGCGATAACGAGTCAGGGTGTCATTAATATTCTCACTAGAACATATGGAACCCGTTTTGTCATAGTCAGAGTATTTCGGGTTGCATGCCTGTAAGAAGAAACAAACAAGCAAAAAAATTAATCCACCCAGCACACAAACAAATTTAATATCATCCAGATTGTGAGAAAATGTAATTGATAATATGAAAGTGTTAAGTACACTTTGTCATTGAGGCTGAAAAGAACCCCCTTGCTTGGTTTTATGAAATTGTTCCTAAATAGTTTAATATTAAACCAAAGGTTAAAGGGCAATTCCATCAGAAAACATGTTAATAGATGGGGTAGAAGATGTATTATATATTATTATACTTATCTTCTTCCTTGATTGTGCTGATGTCAGTAATCAGTATTTTTATTGGAACTTATAAATTTATAGAATCATTTAAACAGATCACAGAGTTTTTTTTAATGATTTAAACTTCAAACTGCCTACTAAGACTTCAGACTTTTCTCCAACCAGAGACTTAAAGAAGTGGGAATCACCTATCCATAGTCGCAGTACTGTAATGCTTGTTCACTACTATCAGGTAGTCTAGGAATCTGTGTCATCTCAGAAGGCATATAATATATCAGCAGTGGTAGACAACATGTTGCCTTCTGTCTCCATTTGCCATGTATCAACTATCAGGCTGTATTTCATCAGGCAGTTGGAGAGTTCTTGTTGATGGCCACTAGAATGCCTAAATGCAATGATTGAAAGCACTGATAGCCTCCTGCATGTAATACTCACTGTAATACAGACAACTGGATAGCCAGCCACAGGATTGGGATTATCTTTAACTCTTGAAGTATCATCATATATCAAAAGTGAGACCACTTGAGGGACGGAGGGGAATGTAACATCCGCCATGCTGTTTATTTCCTCAATGTACACAATGGCTTTGGCCATCTGAAAAGGATTATAAAAAAGACAAGTAGTTAAGCAAGTGATTTATGATATGAACAGTGATGTTGTCAGTGGCAACTGTGTTTCTATTCATGTACCTACTAAAAATAAATGGAGAATCTTGACCATATCAATGTATTTATGACAGCAGCAGATTAGTGACAATGACATAAGATGACACATGGCCATAAAGTGGCCTCGCTCTGTGACTGGTCATTGGTAATCTGTTTAATAGAAGGGACTTAGCACTTCAGCAAAACCAGTCATTTCGTTCATCTTGGTTTCTTTAAATAATATTTTGAAGTAGACCTCATTGCCTTTAATCTCGGAGCTGGGTGGAAGAGTGTTACACATTAATACACATTTATATTTAAACTTATTAATGGAAGCAGATGCAATTTGAAAGGCAAAATCCAGAGCATGTAAGCTATCATGGAGTTAGGTCCTATTATATTGTGTGTATCGTATCACTTGTAGGAATGCATCCAGAAACACGAAAGAAATCAATTTGCTGGTTTCCCTCTGATACCTGTATTTCGGCGACCATATTCTCATCGGGTTTCAGATGTATCGTGAAAGCTTCCCTCATCTCTCGAGCTCCATCATAAAGAACTTCAATCTCTACAACATGCTTGGTTTCACCTTCCTTAAATTCAATTTCTGTAAAATAAAACGCAGTGCATTTCATGAAAAAAAATAGTTCTATCTATTCCACGGAGTTCTGAAAATACAATGGGTTTCTAAGTAGAAGATGTGCCATCGCAGATATTTCCTATCTGTCAAAATGGATGTTCACTTTAAAGCAGTCTGTGGGCTTTACCACCAACATGTAACCTTTTTAAAGGTTTAATATGGTTTAATATGGTTAATGAAAGGTGCAATTCAATTTGATTTTAGATCTGGGGTGCCCAAAAAATAGATCCCCAGATGTGATGCTTTGCATACCTTTGGAATGCTTTTAGAATGACAAATCATTGTGGAAGCTGCAGTTTTAGAACATCTGGGGATCTACCTTTTGGTCACCACTGATCTATATGGTTCCAGATATCCTATTGCACTATTGTAATTATGACAGAATGTCCACGTACACACCATAACCCTCATATTCAAAGGAGGCTTTAAAAAAAAAAAAAAAAAAAAAGGAATATCATTTTAATAAAAGCAGCTCGGAAGCTTTTTAGATCACTGCCTTAATTAAAGTCGCCCTTAAATGCTAGCAATATTTTCTATCTTTGTTTTCCAAACAATCTAAAATAAATTTTGGCTCTCTAGTGATGCCAAAAATTTGCCTTTCACAAAAAAAAGCAACAAAAATCTCAGTGACTATAGAAAATGGTAACAAAGTGAAATTCTTGTACATTTCTTATTATATTCCAGACTTGCGCAGCTTCTCAACTTTGCAATAATGCAAATATAAAAAATATAGCAGGGAAAATAACTTGCATGTTAAATTTGTAATTGTGTATTCCCTCTCATGTACATTATTATGGTAAATATACTTTTCTTGCAAATCTTACCCTGGCGTCATGTTTAATAGTATATTTATTAAGGACATATTTGCATACCCTTTTCATATATTGGCTTGTTTATTAAAATGTTTGAGTATGCTCCCAGAATAAAACAGTAAAACACTGCGCTAATGTATGCCAAGAGTACACACGCTTTGTCTATTTTTACATATACCGGTAGCTATATTGAAAAATAAAACTTGAATTGTGGTGGATATTAGAAAAAAAGATCGGGCAATATAATATACCAATAAAATGTGGGCTGCATACAAAAATGGCATGAATTAAAACAGTGATAAATTACATGGCCCAATTATTAAAATCTTAATTCTTTCATGAGATCTTTAAAAAGAGATGAATTACATAGAATGTGCTGATGTATGTTTTCTCTGTGTTTTATTGAATTCTGTAAGTTTTATTGTACTGTATATGTCTACTGCAAGAAATAACGTAACGAAAGAGAGCCCAGAAGCATTTAAAACAGTTAGATTCCTGCATATTTGTGCTCTGCTTTGCAGCCTAAAGGCCTCATTCATTGCATCACAGAATCAATATGTGCGTCATTGATAAATACCAACAGGTTGCTAGGTCTTCAAGGTATTGATTGAAACACTATAAATTAAGTCAGGGATACCTTCTGACACGGGGTTGTAGTCTTCACCGGAAATAGCAGAACCATCTTTTGTGTGCACTCGCACAATTGAAACCTTTGATGTGTCTCCCAGACGAATAACTGGAATTTTTACAATGACTATCTGTCCCGGTTCTTTTGGCTCGCTCACACTGAACTTGGTGTCTCCAAATTTAATTATTGCTTCTGAAAAAGTAAAAAGAGATTTAGAAAGAAGGAATGCTAGTATGATCCTTGGGAATAGCATTCTGTTTTTAAGGTTAGAAGTATCTTACTGTCTGCATCGTCTTTGATCTTGATCAAGGTTTCATTCATCTCACCGATGGAGGCTCCAAATGGAGACTCACTTTTTGGGGTACCAAGAACTAACCGAAGTTCTTCCTCCTCCTCATGAATGGAGTCATCCACCAGCACAAGAACACATGGACGCTCTGACTGTCCTGGAATACAATATGAAAAACTCACTAAATAAAAAAAAATATTTAATTTAAGCTAAGAGTTAACTTAGTATTTTTAAATCTTTTAGACCCTGGAGTATGTTTTTTAGAGAATTTACATTTCACACAATTAATTCACAACCGATAATAGGTGACCCACCTGTATTTTTTATTAGCATGCAAACCATAGGCATTACATTCTAGAAAAATAGTAAATCCAGCAGTTTTTATTTCTTTTCTTTTTTTTTTTAAGTTAAGGGTTAGTGCATATAGGTAAACCAATTACCCACCTAGCTCATTAATAAAAAAACAAACTACTAATTATTGCTAAATAATTATTTATATTTATCAAACTAGAAGAGGCTGTGATGGAGTGTTTCACAGACATGTTTAACTGAGACAGTGCGGTTTTTTAGAATACTTTAAGCTTTTGTGAACCAAAGAGACCGGTAAATATTATTTATTCTTTAACGGTCAAAGCTATTTAAAGCATTTTATTGCACAAAGAAGACAGTGAATCAAGGTATATATATATTTTTTTTCCTTGACAGAGCGTGCTCGTAGGATCCGTGTTGATCAAAGCTATTTTATTTGTGCAGTTTGTACAAAATGTGTAAGTCGACGTTTCAGACTAAAACTTACATATTTTGTACAATCTGCACAAATAAAGCAGCTTTGATTAACACTGAAACAAGTCCTACAAGTGCGGTCTGTCCAGGAAAATCAGAGTTAAGGCTGGAGCCTGGCACAGAGGCATCGACAAAACCAGGAAAAGTGAGTATACCTTATGTATATTTAAGGTAACTCAGGTTCAAGGGAGTGAGTCATGACTCCAGACATGGTACCTCTGCAGGTTTATTTAAATGTACATATTGGTCAGACACCACAGGGGACACACCAAATTAACAGAGCATCACCCTGCAAGATAAACTGGTCGCTTATCCAATGGTCAAACTTATTTTCTCCGAATGGTTAAAATTTGATTGTAACTCTGCCCATTAACTCCATCTCCATCACTACTTAATTTTAGAAGTATGGTCTTCCTTTCTGAATGATTATACCCCATTCCCATGTGATCATATCTGTGACAAAGTGCCCTTCGCTACTTGTGCCTGGAGGTGACTACTGGCTAGCCTCCTGCGTCCGACTATGGCCCCTGTGCTGATAGCTGTATTTTACCCTGCAAAAAAGGTTTATTTGTGTATTTCTGCCGGGGCGTTCGGGACTTTCAGTATGTGAGTAGTGCTACCCCAGATAGCTATGCCATGGAGCCTATTCGTGTAATGAAAGACTATGTTAAAGACTTTGGCTCCATGGCGATTGAATTGTATGTAGGTGATCGGAGCGCCATTTGGTAATAATGTGCGCTCAGATCTAAGCTATCTGGGGATATGTTGCATGTATATGTTTTATGTAGTAATTGTAATTTTATGTCTTTTTGTAACCATGTAGTTAATGGAGTCTTGCCTCTGTCCTGGAATTTGATTACTTCCCAATTATCTCCAGGATAGAAAGGAGGGATTGTGATGTCAATGTGGGAGTGTTTTGTTTGTATTGTCTATGATTGGCTAATATCCAATATGTGTCCCATTGTTCCATCAGGTCCCCTAGGGGAGTGTCCACGTGGTGGACACTTGCATAAATACCGGGCAAGTAATCCTCAATAAATCAGACCTACTTGCACCTTTCTTGAAGCCTTGGCTCATGCTTGGGGGAAGGGATACCTACACTCTGGGGATTGCTATAATCACTTACTCCCCAGAGTAAGCTCTCGTAAGAGCTTGATTTGTTCCTGCCACGCTCTCTAGATTTAGGAGAGGTTCACCCACTGGGAGCTGGATCCTGGTCGTGGATCCAGGGTGGGTGAGAGACGGCGAGACCCCGGCACAGCTGCATAGCTGGAAGTGGGGTCCGCAGTGCTGATAGTGTCGGTTGGAGTGCTCGGAGTCCTCAGCAAGCGCTAGGAGCATCAATTGGCGGAGGTACTCAGTCGGAGTGCCAGCGGTCCGTTACAATATCTATGGCAAGGACCTCTCCCCATCTTGCCCAAGAAATCTTTGAGGAAGATAAAATAAAAAAGTTGACACGTTTTAGAGTTCTGCATGTCCTCCTGCAAATCTTGCATGTCCATGCTTTGGAATGTTTGTGCAGTCCTGGAGCAAATTATACTAGGGCAACTCCCAGTCACATGAGAGATTTCAAAATTCTCTTCAGTGGGCTCTGGACACATAACCATTACCTGAATTGTCTTGAAGGCTTTAGGATAGGTAATTGCATATTTACGGAAAGATTCTGAACAATAAGTTATCTGCACCTAGATGGTGAATTATGTGGATTGTGAAAACGCTTACTTGTAAATTCTACAATGCTACCTATTTAAATAAAATCCGCAATACCTAAATATATTAACAGGGTTTTGCACTAAAATGAGAATTGTCAGGAATTGTAAGTGAATCCCAAGTAAATTTTAATATTAAGGTCAAAGTAGACAAAGTGTCTACTTTGGCCTTCAATGTCAAATTCACTTGGAATTCACTTGCAATTTTGGACAATGCTAGCTTTAGTGAAAACACAGAAAAGAGAGCACCTGGCACTTCAATTTGTCACTTTAATCCCCGAAGAATTAAAATAAAAAGTGATAGGTCAACATAGTCAGAGTAGCCAGAAAACAAACTATGTACCTGGAAGGAATGTGATGATTGAATTATCAGTGTTTGGACGTTCTTCAAAGTCCATCATTACTTGGGCAGATCCCTGCCTTGTATAACAGCGCACAGTAGACTTGTAATTAATGTCTCCGCTCCTGTACACCATTGCAGAAATCTGTCCATCATTTTCATTGCCCATGTACATTGGCTCTCTAAACTGTACCTTTGGCACTGAAATAAAATACATCAGGATTACAATATAATATGTTCTCATAAAGTTAATGTTGGGCTTCAACCATTATTTCTGAAGAAATGTGTCATGCTATAACATCTGGGTTTCCAGAGCTCAACCCAAGGTAAAAGAAGCGGACAGTTAGAGAGGCTAAATCATCAGTGCAGTGGTGATGGTTCTATAATATTTTTCAGATTAAAATGTGCTTGTGAGATTTTACAATAATGCATTTGTGCTATAAACTACTTACAGTCCGAAACGGTGTCATTGATAAAAACAGTGGCTTTGCTTGGCTCCCCGAGTACAGCATTCATTGGCATTCGTAATACTAGTTCAAACTTCTCTATTCCTTCCAGTACTGGCTGCCCCAAATCATCTAGGATAATTACACGGAATGTTTGCATGTTCACACCAGGGGCAAAATCCAGGTTCCGACTTATACCAACGTAGTCTATACCAGCTAAAAAAAAAAAAAAGTGTAAAAATAAGCATAGAATAATTCACGATTAAAGTAATGTGACACATTGTACATTCCTATTAGTATTATTTTTGGATTTCATTCTTTAATTAAAGAATTAATTGAGAGCATTTCCTGTATTTGTAATGCAAGAAAAACTTTGAATATAGGAAAAAGGTACTAAGGCCACAAAACCCCCTTGAAATGTTTCTCTCAGACAGGTAACTACCAATTATTACTCAAAGAGTCGTCCAATGCATAAATTAATGTTAGATGTATTATGATAGTTTTGCAGTACTGATGTGTTACTGAATTCAATATTGTATCATATGTGAGACACATGGCTTCAACAACAGCATTTTATTATTATTATTTCTAAAGCGCCAACAAATTCCGTAGTGCTGTACAATGGATGGACTAACAGACGTATTTCTAACCAGACAAGTTGGACACACAGGAACAGAGGGATTGATGGCCCTGCTCAATGAGCTTACATGCTAGAGGGAGTGGGGTAAAGTGACACAAAAGGTAAGGGTAGGGTAGAAAAGTAGGTCGATAGGAATTTGCTATATTTCAGTTGATGTTTCAGTTGATGGACTAACAGACGTATTTCTAACCAGACAAGTTGGACACACAGGAACAGAGGGATTGATGGTCCTGCTCAATGAGCTTACATGCTAGAGGGAGTGGGGTAAAGTGACACAAAAGGTAAGGGTAGGGTAGAAAAGTAGGTCGATAGGATAGTATTCATTGAGGGTTTAGTGTTTTGTTTTGATGACAGTTGCAGGAGAGGAATCAGTGTGCGGGGAGGGAAAGTTGTTCACATTTTAATTGATATGCTTTCCTGAAGAAGTACGTTTTCAAAGATTTTTTGAAGGGGTGGAGATTGGGTGAAAGTCTTACAGAGAAGGGAAGGGCATTCCATAGGAATGGTACAGCCCTAGAGAAGTCATTAAGGTGAGCATCAGAGGTAGGAGTACGAACAGAAGTTAGATGTAGGTCTCCGGCAGAGCGTAGGGGCCTAGATGGGACATATTTGTGTATTAGTAAGGATAAGTAGGTCAGAGCAGCATTGTGTAGAGATTTGTAAGCAAGTATCAGGATTTTAAATTGAGTCCTGTATCTTACGGCAAGCTAATGTAGGCACTGACAAAGGGGGGAGGCATGGGAGGTGCGGGCGGACAGGAATATGAGCCATATGACATCACAGGACAAATCTTCATATGGCTCATTTGAGATAGGATTGTAACTTTTCTGGAGTTTTTTCCATGTATGTCTAGGGACATCAGAAGTATGATATACTGAAGACATTTGTAACTTGCCTTGGCCCTTAATATGCACTTACTGGATATATAGAAATATCACAATGCTTTTGTACACATTTAGATACATAAAATGATGAAACCATAATTTAGCATTACACTTTCTTTGTATGTCATAATCCAAATCAATGTTAGTCCTTTTAATCACTGCAAATATATTATTCACTGGGTTGACTCAACCGGCAGTATTGCAGTAGTTCCACTAACTACAGAACTGTCTGAGTATAGGAGACACCACTTTCAAATGTATATTTTCCCCAAACTTTTTAATAGCAGGCTATTAATTAAACTCCAGAGACTTTGTGTCACACATCAATATCTTTGTATGTAGCTTTCTCACCTATTGCTGAAAGGGGTTCGGTCTTCTGTGATCGAACTGTAATAGTGGCAGTTTTTGAAAGATCTGTTCCAGTTCTCCAAACACGCACTTCAATGAATCCAGCACTTTCATCAACATGGTATTCCAGTTCTCCAAAGTAGAATGCAGGTTCTGGTAAATGAGGATTATACAAGTTTTATTCATCTTTTAAGATTTTCAGCATTCAACAATGTTTATTTCTCTGGAATTTGTTTAGAGAACAATTTTTCTTCATCATTTCATGATCATGGAGGTAAAGGGTACAGAAAGCCAAGGAGGAGGATATGGCAAACATCAACAATACAGTAATCTAATTTACCTCTAGCTTCTGGGTCAGTATTGTTCATACATTTAGGGGAACACAAGGAAAGAGATAAATAAGTTCCTCAACAGGTGAAAAATATGATACTTCCATTTATACCCAGTGACACATTTTCTGGTGGTGGTGAGCACTCATTGCAAAATGTTGGCCATGTCAGGATTTGCCCATTAATTCTATGATTATTCGTTTATTATTACTGATTTGTAACTTTTTCACCATGATGAGGTGGGATCATTTTATAATTAAGGGATGGAATGCTGACCTGGAAAGTCATACTGTATTGGATGAAATATAAAAATTTTTGCAGTGAATAAAAAAAATAAGTTAGTGGTGGTGAGTTGACAATAACGGTTTTGGCCTAAACTGGTTGTAAACTAAATATTTAATTAATGGAGTTACAAAGCCCAAAAGGTAGATCCCCAGATGTTGTAAAACTACAACTCCTTCAGTGATTTGTGGCACTGAAGACTTAATTTTCACCTTTACTGTAATTTTCTTTGGCAATGTATCTTATGTAGAGTAAATGTAACTTATCTCTTTAAGTAATGCATTTCACACCGTGTCACACAATACTTCAATATATAAACTTCATTGTCTGGGATTAGGATCAAAGGCAACTGAATAGATAAGGTTTTGCACTAATGATAAGCATTGGGGTTTCAGACTTATTGGAGCGCAATCAGGAGGAAGTAAATGCTACAGAAGAGTGACTCTGGCAAAGTTATTTTAAATGATTCAGCAACTGTAATCTGAGATTGCTAAAATTTAGGATGAAAATGTTGCATTAAATGCCAGAAATCAACATCTTCTTCTTGGCTTGAACTCAGGATTTTCACTAACAAGGTGTAGGCTAGCATGTAAAAATTCTCAAGGTTAATTGGGTTTAAAAGTCAGATTTTTGTATTTCTGAGATTTTGTTCTTGAACAGGATCTCCAACTTTAAAATACAGGCTCCAAGGCAGAGATATAAAAAGAAATGAGCTGAAGCCATCTCCAATATAAATCTAAAGTTTAATTTGAATATAATTTAATGTTCTGAACACCCTGAATTAAATATGAATTTACTATACTTTATTTCCATTAAATTGTAGATTACTGACTTTTTTTTTCAACTTTCATTCCTTCCATAGTGCTAGCATTCCCTTTAATCCATGTTTTTTGACAGGGATAACATTTATGTTCATGACACTGGCTTGGTGATACATCCTTTGGTTATAAAATCAGTTTTGTTGACTCATTTTCCTATTGTAATATAATATAATATAATATATACAAAAATGAATCATGTAAAATAGCTTCATTATATCATTCCCAGTTTCAAAAGACTTTCCATTTGCTCTAGGGAGGGCTGTGCCACTAAAGCAAACAGTCTATTTTTGGCAGTTATCTGGGGCCAGACTTGGGATAATTAATTGAATGCCAGTAGCATGAATTAAAGTAACAGAGCAAACCCCATACTTTATTTAATTGTATTGAAAAAAAAAAATATATCCATTAAGATATGCTTGTAAATGACAAGAATTTGATTGGACCAATGTCCTGGGACTTTATTACATCACAAGGGGCAGAGGTGAAAGCTGCAAGGAGACTACTAACGGTGCTGGAATAAAAGTGAGAATTTTTTTATTTTACACCTAATTCATTAGTAAATTTGCTGCGTTGCTCCTTGAGAATACAGTAGAAGTGATTATTTTAAAATAACTGTACAGCATTCCTTTAATTACGTACATTTACATCCAAAAACATGCAAGGCACCAATCCATCCTTTCCTGCAAGTCTAGTTAATATGTATACACAGCACAAATATGGGATTTCGGCTCTGGATATTAAACAAATATATATATATCATAGCGTAACACTGTTCAGTAGATACAGTTTACAAATGCTGGAAGATTCTAATATACACATATAAAGAAAAAAGTGTGAGCACTTCTCCTTTGCCGAAATAATCCATCCACCCCACAGGTGTAGCAGATCAAGATGCTGATTATTGCAAAGGTGTGCCTTAGGCTGACCACAATAAAAGGCCACTCTAAAATGTGCAGTTTTATCACACAGCACAATGCCACAGATGTCGCAAGTTATGAGGGAGCATGCAATTGCCCATTAATTGAATGTTCATTTCTCTACCAAAAGCCGTCTCCAAAGGCGTTTCAGAGAATTTGGCAGTACATCCAACCGGCCTCACAATCGCAGCCCACGTGTAACCACACCAGCCCAGGACCTCCACATCCAGCATCTTTACCTCCAAGATCGCCTGAGACCAGCCACCAGGACAGCTGCTGTAACAATTGGTTTGCATAACCAAATAATTTCTGCACAAACTGTCAGAAACCATCTCAGGGAAGCTCATATGCATGCTCGTGGTCCTCATCAGGGTCTCGACCTGACTGCAGTTTGTCATTGTAACTGACTTCAGTGGGCAAATGCTCACATTCGATGGTGTCTGGCACTTTGGAGACGTGTTCTCTTTACGGATGATTCACGTTTTTTACTGTACTGGGAAGATGGCAGACAACGTGTTGTGTGGGTGAGCGGTTTGCTGATGTCAGCGTTGTGGTTTGAGTGGCCCATGGTGGCGGTGGGGTTATGGGATGGGCAGGCGTATGTTATAGACAACGAACACAGGTGCATTTTATTGATGGCATTTTGAATGCATAGAGATACCGTGATGAGATCCAGAGACCCATTGTTGTGCCATTCATCCACAACCATCACCTCATGTTGCAACATGATAATGCATTGCCCCATGTTGCAAGGATCTGTACACAAATCCTGGCATCTGAAAACATCTCAGTTCTTGCATGGCCAGCATACTCACCGGAGATGTCCCCGATTGAGCATGTTTGGGATGCTCTGGATCGGCGTATATGACAGCATGTTCCAGGTCCTGCCAATATCCTGCACCTTAGCACAGCCACTGAAGAGGAGTTGACCAACATTCCACAGGCCACAATCAACAACCTGATCAACTCTATGCGATGAAGATGTGTTGCACAGCGTGAGGCAAATGGTGGTCACACCAGATTCTGACTGGTTTTCTGCCCCCCAATACAGTAAAACTGCACATTTTAGAGTGGCCTTTTATTGTGGCCCACCTAAGGCACACCTATGTAATAATCATGCTGTCTAATCAGCATCTTGATTTGCCACACCTGTGAGGTGGATGGATTATCTCAGCAAAGGAGAAGTGCTCACTAATGTAGCGGAACGCCAATATTAAATCCACGAATTCCGCTGGTTCAGGAAATAATCCACAGTCAAGCGCTGAAACAACAAGGCAATATCCCCAACCTTCCAGTAACCGGACGAAACACAGTTCTGAGAGTCAACTGAAATCCTTTAATTCGGCTGCACAATTTATACAAGTCCCCATGCAAGGGGTTTCCTGAGTCCCTTCCAAGGGGCACTCCCAGAGGGGACTACATGGGGGACTTACATTACAAGGCATTTTTCCCATCAGGCACTGCTGCACGAGAGGGATCCTCCCACTGGAATATACCGTTAAGTGGATTATCCCTCCGTGCAGCAGAACTTACAATTCGTATAAAAATACATAACTTTATGAATATGCAGTCTATTTAAACGAATGGACGTTCGGTAGATAGCTGGGGTCTGAGCGCATCATTCGTGAGATTACCGCTCAGATCCCAGCTAAAATAACCGAACGCCGCACGAAAAACACATTCATTACAAAATATATTAAAAGAACCGATTGCCTTCCAGGGAATAAAATACCGAACGGCCTGAAACTCCCGAACATCCTGGAGGCTCAGTGGTGTTCGTGCCGTCGAGTAGCCGTTTTTAGTACCATGCGCTCGAAGACCTAACACCGCTGAGGGAACAAAGGATCCAAGATGGCCGACCGCCGCATGGTCGGTAGTCGAACGACGGCCACCCAGGAGAGCCTCTAATTACCGATTGCAACATTGTTGCAATCGGTTAACCAGCGCCACACGCCTCTCAGTGTGTGGGCTATTAGGGGTAGTGTTTTCGGTTCACGAACGGCCTTCCAAAGTGCCGTTCGTGAAACGAAAGGAAAACCCCATACAAACTGCTATCTGCATTCGGCGGATAGCAAATACAGGCAATCTAATACAGTACAGTCAGCATACAAATACATGGATTAAAACACATATCTCCCCATACATATAGGCAACCCTTAAAGGTATAGTCCCAGGTTATAGTCCAAGTGGCTAGGTTTGCCACAACTAACACAGATTTAGACAGATTTGTGAACAATATTTGAGAGAAATAGGCCTTTTGTGTACATAGAAAAAGTCTTAGATCTTTGAGTTCAACTCATGAAAAAATCGGGGCAAAAACAAAAGTGTTGCGTTTATAATTTTGTTTAGTGTATATATTATTACCGAAAGCCACAAGAAAAGCAAGAAAAAGTTTGCTTTCCAGCGCTAGAACATTTCTTTGTATATTTTCGCTTAACATTATTACTGTGTACGGTATGCATTCTGTAAAAATCTGGTAAAATTAGAAACATTTGTCTTTTTACTGAATGCACTACATTGATTTAGATTTTAAATACTGTGAATTAGGCTGTGCTAGTAACAAATAATTTAATAATATTTAATAAGAAACAGTTAACCACAGCTCACAGTTTAGTGAATATCCCCCCAAAATTCATAGATGTACACCAAGAATGATATGCAGAATCTTGTTTTATTTTTTCTTATTTTTATATTTTAGAAATCTTTCCCTCATTCCTGCATTATCAGCTTCTGCACTTCTTGCGGGTTGGTACCAACGTAGTAGAGAATGTATATACAAATATGATCTTATTATCTTAATACGCGATGAGAAACTCATGACTCAGTGAAATCTTGCAAATTCCTTACATTATTCACTTCATTTTCATGTGAGCTTGAAAGAGCAAGATATGTAATGAGAGAACTTAAAATGTAACTGGAGTGGAATACAAATGCAGAAGTAAAACATAACATATTCATTTTAGCCGATGAAATTACCCTAGTTCAACTTGTAGGATTTCATGCAAATCATTTATTTATGTAACAGGGTTTACATTAATTTAATAAAGGCACTGGTATAATCATAGGAAAAATAAAACCAAAACAATGATCATTTCCAAATGGGGACTTTCTAGGCACCAAAATGACTTCATCTTAAAGAAGTCCTCTTGAAGCATAAGTGCTACCCCTTGCAAATGCAAGTTTTTTCATTTAATACATTTAATAGACCAGGGATTGCCAACCATGTCCGCAAGGTGCAAGATTAAGGCTTTTCCCAATTCTGTCTCTAGGGAATATAGACAAGATTACTGGCCTGTCTTTGGGGCTAGGCTGGGGACCACTTACATTGCTAACGAAAAGAAAATATGGAAAATACTTACCATCATCATACGGCAGTCTCCACCCAGATCATGAAAAGGCTTCAATAGATACCTATGATGTATGAGCTCATTGAATACACAAATGTCTGGAAGGATTTATGATTGAACAAAATTGTGGTCCAGGCACTCAAGGATCAGTTAAACAGCAGGTTTATTGCGAAAAGTGCAAGGTTTTCGATCTCCAAGAGATCTTTCTCAAGCTAACACTAGCTTGTATATCGTACCCTATATCGTATAATATAATGGTTCTCCTTCTAAATGACATTTTAGCTGCATTAGTGGTTATTAGTAAGCCACCTAGAATGTCTCAGTACAGCTCTGCTTCTGTCTACAACCCCACTGATACTGGTAAAATTAAAGAGTCTATCACTGTCCATTTGTAGTGTTGGGAGGTATGAGATAGAGAAACCAAGATATATGTCTAGGACTAGGTCTACCATATTTCCACACTGCGATGTAGACCTTTTATACCTCTAGGCACAGTGTGTGAGAGATCCATGTTCTTGGTTGCAGATGGCATGCTGCCTAAAGACCATATCAGCTTGGTCTGAATTCAGTCATGTCTTGCATATCTGCCAACTGTCCCATTTTTGATAGAACAGTCAGCACTTTTGGATTCAAATGGTTTTCTAGCACACCTAAAAGTCCATCAAGGTACTACATAAATAGACTTGTTGCTGCTATTAATTATAATAACTTTCTTTTCTTTATCTTTTGGAAGGTAAAACTAAGGAAGGATGAAGATTGTATTTGTACAACCTGCTTAAAAGGTATTTAAAGGTCTTATAGTAAGTTCCATGCATAGCGTTCCATATCGGGATGAAAGCAGATACACCACATTAGAAATGGATGATATAATCCGTGCTTTTATGTGATATGCTCCGTGAGTAACAGATGAGAGTTTAACCACCTGTCAAATGTATATGCTTGTCATTATGCTATTATGTGACTGCAGTTTTAACTAGGACAATGATTTAAGATTTATTGGGACTTCATTTACGAGATTAATGCAAAAAAAACAGATTAATAAGGTTTATCCACAAAACTATTAAATGTAGAAAATGACAAGAAATTTTATATTTTAGGCTTAGTTGGAGAATTTTTCAAGTTTGTCAATTATATCCTAACATTTCAAACTCCTTAGTTAATTCTGTACAATCCTGGTTTAGTAAATAAATCCCATTGTGTTATCAATGCACTTGTCTATAAATCCACAAGACTTTTTTTTTTTTTTACTAATCTATGAACTGTGAAGACTTGGCAAGGGTTTTAGGGTTTTACAACATTTGCCAAAAATTGTTTAAATTTCTATTGCAGATATTTTGGCCTCTTATTTCCAAATCAATTTCACTTCCCAGTTTAGGGACTGATGTTTTACATGCAATAGTGTAAACAATGATATCAATATTGTATTACACTACTTTGCGATCAGATTATAATTCTTTCTATTACTGAGTGATACAAGCAAAGCCCCTTGACTTTCTATGTTAAGGCTTGCAAATTGTCCTTACAGGGACACTATAGTCATCAAGACAAGCTTAGCTTAATGAAGCAGTTTTGGTGTACAAATCATGTCCCTGCAGTCTCACTGCTCAATTCTCTGCCATTTAGGAGTTAAATTACTTTGTTTATGAACCTTAGTCACACCTCCCTGCATGTGACTTGCACAGCCTTCCTAAACACGTCCTGTAAAGAGTCATCTAAAGTTTATCCTTCCTTTATTGCAAGTTCTGTTTAATTTAGATTTTCTTATGCCCTGCTATGTTAATAGCTTGTTAGACCCTGCAAGAGCCTCCTGTAAGTGATTAAAGGACCTCTCTAGGCACCCAGACCACTTCAGCTTAATGAAGTGGTCTGGGTGCCAGGTCCAGCTAGGGTTAACCCATTTTTTTATACACATAGCAGTTTCAGAGAAACTGCTATGTTTATAAATGGGTTAATGCAGCCCTCAAATCCTCTAGTGGCTGTCTCATTGACAGCCGCTAGAGGCGCTTGCGTGATTCTCACTGTGAAAATCACAGTGAGAACACACAAGCGTCCATAGGAGACCGGCTGAATGTGCGCGCAGCTCTTGCTGCACGTGCGCATTCAGCTGAAAGGGAGGAGAGGAGGCGGAGAGGAGGAGGAGAGCTCCCCGCCCGGCGCTGGAGAAAGGTAAGATTTAACCCCTTTCCTCCCCCCCAGAGCCCGGCGGGAGTGGGACCCTGTGGGTGGGGGCACCCTCAGGGCACTATAGTGCCAGGAAAACAAGTATGTTTTCCTGGCACTATAGTGGTCCTTTAAAGTTCAATTTACAGAGAAAGAGATACAATTGTTTAAGGGAAATTACATCTGATTGAAAGTGAAGCCAGTTTTTTTTCATGCAGGCTGTGTCAATCAGAGCCAGGGGAGGTGTGACGAGGGCTGCATAAACAGAAACAAAGTGATTTAACTCCTAAATGGCAGTGAATTGAGCAGTGAAACCTGAGAAGCATGATCTACACACAAAAACTGCTTCATTTAGCTAAAGTTGTTTAGGTGACTATGGTGTTCCTTTAATGTCTAATGCTCCAGAATCCTGTTACTTCTGCACATAATAGGACTCAGAAATTATCAGTTACATATTTTGTATTCAATCATGTGTATGTGCTTAGTGAAACGATCAGCCATTTCATGCATGATATCATACAGTTTTCTCAGCAAAGCAGATAGTTTTAGTATTATGGAACTAGACTAACCAAGCACTTTCATCATGATACACTCCAAATGCTTGATACCAAATATCAAGACACTGTAATCCACCAATATTTTATGTTTTGTTTGTAAGGAAATATAGCTATCGAACGAGAACAGTAAGGAGAAGGCATCTATTCTATTTACAGATGATGAGATCTCTCTGGACTTTTCAGAATTGGCAAGACAGCTTCCAGCCATGTTTACTAAAATAGCTTATAGAGAACTTGTCATACCAGACATGACTTGGCTCAGTTTATAGGGAATAACATTAATCTGCACATTGTACAAAGTAAATTCATGGGTGAACTAAATGTATGGCTCACAGAATTTAAAGGGACACTATAGCCACTAAAAACCTTTAACTTAATGAATAATTTTTTGTGTATAGATCATGTCCATGCAGTGCCACTGCTAAATTCTTTGTCATTTAGGAGTTAAATCCCTTTATTTATGCAGTCTCAGCCACACCTGCTTGCATGTGACTTACACAGCCTCCCTAATTACTTCCTTTACAAGAAAGATCTAATGTTAAACTTCCTGTATTGCACACTATGTTTAATTTAGAATTTATGTTCCCCTGCTCTGTTAAAGCTTTGTAGATACTGCAGGGGCCTCCTGTGTGTGATCAAAGTTCGATTTACAGAGCAGAAGATAAAAACTACTAAAGTAAGTTAATGTCTTATTGCAATTGAAACTATTTTGATTTTAATTCCTAAATGGCAGAGAATTGAGCAGTGAGACTGCATGGGCATGATCTACACATTACACATTTCATTAAACTGAAGTTGTTTTGATGCCTATATGAAATGTGAAGTCCCAAGGCCTACTATTGCTAGCATGCATGCTCTGCTATTAATTAGTAGCATGCATGCATCCTTTAAGTTTTTATGAGGTACTATGCACATTGTACATCAAGGCCTTTAAAGGAACTATCAAAGCACCATAACCACTGCAGTCTAATTGCATCAGTTTTAGTAAATTTACACCACTTTGTGGAACAGAAAACTATGAGGAATCTCACCTATCGTGTCTACTTTACATATTTGTTACAATTTTCTTTGAAGAACAAAAACAAACAAACAATAAAATGAAATACTTATAATTCTAAGATTTGTGACAAAAACATGTATTTGTACTTTATAAATAATTTTTCTTTAGTGCATGTTACTTTGAGCAAGAAAATTTGATTAGCTGTTAGATAACAAGGAACTACGAATAGAATTTTACACATACGAGGCCCTTTGTTTGGATATTAGAGATACATTGTACAAGATTGCTTATCCTAAATGTTAGCTCAGTACCTAACCCTTACTTCTGTTTCATAGCTAATTTCCTGAAAGCTTCTTTCGGAGATCTACAGGGGGAAGTTTAAAAGCCATGATTAGTATAGAGTGGCATTGTTCTTCATGGGTCACAAACAGAGCACCGTACAATGAATTTGGCTTTAGACTCGGCAGATCTTTAATCTAGTAAACCGTCTAAATGAATAAAGTTCAAATATTAATGACCTTCCATTATAAATAAAGTTAAAAAAAAACTTTCTAAGTATTTAAACTAGATTTGTCAGGGAAGCAAGAATGGAAGTGCTAGCTTAAAGCAGAGCCAATTAGTAAACTGAGAAGGAAGGTGCTTTGTGTTAACTACGATAAAGAACCAAAGTCTTTCCTTTGTTTACCCATATCCTGTCCTCGTTTTCTTGCAAAAAGCAACTAACCCCTTATCTTGTACAACATGTAATCATAAAACCACCTTCCTTTGCCCCAACAACATAATAATAGAATTTCATGCTTATTTAAAAACCTGTGACTCACTGTGGGGAAATTGAAAGAGAAAACTTTGTTTTGACTGGCATTTCTTTAAATATGGAGGAAAATACGGAAATCTATTGCCCCCTTTCATGAGAGAGCATACATCAAGCCATATGGTATTGTGTGAGCAGGACTAACTGGGTCAGATTCAAATTGGTGATTTGAATCTGCTTTGAGGATAAACATTCTACATGCTGAGGACTATGGCTCCATTGAATCTTCAGAAGCCTTATATATTCCCCCTGCAGAACTTGGTGACAATCTGGGAGATAGACCTTTCTCTTCTTTATCGGGAGGTTTTTCTTCTATTTATACCTTTTTTCCCACTGTTCGTGTACTCACAAGTTCAGTGTAAATTCCTTAGTACGGGAGTTTGTTCTTGTTCACATGTGAGTAATGCTTGCATTCTGGTAAATGATTCCCTGTTCGTCTCTTTCATTCGTACAAACACTGCGGCGTACAAACTCCTGAACGATCTGCACATGGGCGAACCTCATCAATCACTTAAAGATACAGGTTTTATGTTCGGTTCTTAAAGTGACAAGTGCTTCCGTTCCTAAAGGAATATCTTTTTCGTTATTGTCAGTATAATTTCTTCTTGCCTTAAGGTAAGAAGGTATTTCTTTATCTCGCATTTTTCAATGTTATGTCTGAGGAAATAAATTAATTTCCTTAGGGAAAAAAATATTGAATTTTGTCTTCTCACGACTGGATGCTAACTCACTTCGCACCTTTTTTCTTTATAGATGTCTTCTCCCTCTGCCTCCCACCGCTCAAGTTCAAAGAAATATAGGTGAGACAAAGTTTATAGGGGAATAAAAGAGTGCCATGCGGGCCCCATAGTTACTTACATGGCCTTTCATTTTTGCAGCCCAAGCATGAGCCGGGATAGATCCCCCAGGAAAAACAAGGAAAAATCTAATCACTGCTTGGCCTGCAATAAGACTGCTCTAGAGGTTAAAAACCTATGCCTCACCTGTAGGACAGAAGTGGCAGCATCCAGCCAGAAAGATTTCTCCTTAAGAAGAACTTAAAACCTGGATATCCCAAGCCATTGCTGAAGGCTTCAAGCCTTCTACTAAAAACACCACCTCCAAAAAACATCAAAGAGCTGGATCCTCTTCTCCTTCATCTGAGTCTGAGCTGGAATCCTTTGAGGATATTACTGAAGAAGAGGATGAGAATACAGAGTATGGGCCTACATCCTTAGACTCCAAATCTGTTGAAAAAAGTATCTTTCGAATAAGAAATACCCTAAAATTACAGGAAGAAAAGACAGAATCCCTAGAATCTGACAAATATTTTGAAGACCTCAGATCTTTCAAACCATTGTTTCCTGTGCATCGTTCTATCAAGGATATGACCCTTAATGAATGGGCCAGGCCAGAGAAAAAAAGGTTACCGTAAAAAATAAGAATCCTAGGATCTACCCCTTTGACTCCAAAGGTTGCAAAACTTGGACTGCAATCCCCAAAATTGATGCGGCTGTGATAAAAATTGCAAAATGTACTATGCTTCCCATTGACTCTATGGCATATTTACAGGAACCTATGGAGAAATGACTGGATGCTAACCTTATAAAAGCTTAACAATCTCTGGGCTCAGCTCTACACCCAGCCATAGCTCTTACCACCTTGTCCAGAGCCATAGAAGTATGGTTAGACAACCTGGAAGAAGATCTCCAAAGAGGTGTGAGAAGAGAACACCTCCTGGACAATATTAGGGATTTCAGACTCGCAGCAGACTTCAGCTCTGAAGCATCCCTGGATATCTCCATGATGATTGCCAACAGCATGGCATTATCTGCCTCAGTCAGAAGAGCCCTGTGGTTACACTCTTGGGAAGCTGACTACTCTTCAAAATCCTCCCTTTGCGTTCTTCCCTTCCAGGGTGATCTCTTTTTTGGAAAAGTCCTAGATGAGGCTATCCAAAAAGCAGCAGACAGCAAGAAATCTTTCCTACCTCAAGAGAAAAGAACCCCATACTCAACCTCATGGAAAAACAAGAGGTTTCATGACAGGTCCTTTCGAGACAATAGATCATACCGTCCAGGTAAAGAGTATAACAGATATGCGTCTTGCAGAACCTATCAGCCTCCTTCATCTTCCTCTAAATCCAACAGGGGAAGGGGATTGAGAGTCCCTACTAAAAACTTCTGAAGGTTTACAGGCCCATCTTCATCATTTCCTATCTGTCTGGGCCACAAATATATCAGACTCCTATGTCATATCTATCCTCGATCAGGGCTACAGAATCAAATTTGACTCCTTTCCTCCAAACAACTCCTTCATAAAGTCAAGAAAACCTTTGGGGAAAAAGGGGAAGCCATGATATCTGGTGTCAAAAAACTACTTCTCCAAGGTGTCATAGATGAGGTGCCTCTTTCAGAAAGATACAAAGGTTTCTATTCAACAGTATTCTTGGACCCAAAACCCAACGGAAAATGGAGACTGATTATAGATCTGGAAAAAAACCAACATATTCCTGAAACACCTATCATTCACAATGAAATCCATATCCACTATTATTCCCAACTTGAACAAAGGGGATTGGCTAACATCCATAGACCTAAAGGATGCATATTACCACGGTCCCATCTACCCTCTTCATCACAAGTTCTTCTGATTTCCCATTATGGGACAGCATTTTCAATTCAGAGGCCTCCCTTTTGGCTTAAGCCTTGCTCCAAGGACCTTCTCAAAAGTCTTAGTGGTCCTGATTGCACATCTGAGGAAAAACAGGCAAGTTATCTTTCAATACCTAGACGACATTTTAATAGTTGCTCCAAAGTAAGGATAAGCAGACTGAGCAAGGATAAGCAGACTGGAATACAAGATTCTCTCGGTCCTCCCCAAACCTTCCATCACAGCCAAGGAGTACATGAGCATTCTGGGCTCACTAACCTCAACTATAGGATTAGTCCGCTGGGCTCAATGGAACTCAAGAACAATCCAATTTCCTGAATCAGTTCAATCACTATCGCAACAACTGGAAGCAAATGATTCAAATTCCTCGAGTAGTAAAAGATCAATTGGTGTGGTGGCTACAGCGAGACAATCTTTAGAGAGTTTTTCCTATAGAAGAATCCCCTTGGCAAGTTATCACCACAGATGCGAGCATGACAGGATGGGGTGCTCACACAGAATCAATTTGAATTCAAGGCACTTGAAACCCATGAGTAAGATGACTTCACTCAAACCTGTGGGAATTGAGGACCATTTACATTGCAATACAGAAACTCCACAGAGCTCTCAGGAGTCCTTGGCTATCAATACGGACAGACAACAGAGCAGTGACTGCATATATAAATCACCAAGAAAGGCACAAGAAGAAATCTTCTCTTACAAGAAAAAACTCCACCAATATCCTGGGTGCAACTTCATATCAAGGGTCCCAGGGTCGGAAAACATTCTGGCAGATTTCCTCAGAAGAACTCATATATCGCCAGGTGAGTGGAGCTTAAATCCCAGAGTTTTACAGGTTCTGACAAAGAGGTGAGGCATACCCCAGGTAGACCTAATGGCCAACAGATGGAATGCTCAGGTGGCAGCCTACTTTTCCCTCTACAAGGACCCTCTAGCTTTGGGTCAAGATGCCCTTTCTCATCCTTGGAACTTCGAACTTGGATATGTGTTCCCTCCCCTGCCTCTGATTCCCCGGGTACTGAGGAAAATTTGGAAAGAAGGTGATAGCCATTATTCCGATCTGGCCCAGGAGACTTTGGTATTTCCATCTAATGAGAATTTCTATGACCCATCCTTGGTTACTCCCCAGACCTTCTAATCCAGGGACCAGCAACTCATCCCAACCCATCCAGCTGGAACCTGGGGGCCTGGCTGTTGAAAGGAGATCCCTCCTTAACCAAGGCCTATCCAAGGCAGTGATTGATACTCTCCTTAAAGCAAGGAAACAGTCTACATCTTCCTGCTATTACAGAATTTGGAAAACCTTTCAAAAATGGTCAATAGCAAAAAAATCTTTGGATTCTCAACACCCTACTCACCTACATATTCAGGAATTTCTACAGGAAGGCCTTGGCAAATGCCTCAGCCTCAGCACTTTGAAGGTGCAGTCCTCAGCTCTAGCTGCCCTTTGCAATACTTCATGGGCATCTCACCCTCTCATCTCAAGGTTCATTAAGGCAGCTTTACGCTTACGCCCTTGAGCCAGAAACCATGGGATTTACCAATGGTCCTGAATGCCTTAAACAGAATATCCATATGCACCTCTGGAGGATCTCTCTATTCAACACCTCTCTTATAAAACAGTGTTCCTGGTGGCGGTCTCCATGGCCAAGAGAATCTTGGAACTCCAGGCATTCTCTAATGATGAGTCACACACCCATATATTTCATGATCAGGTGATCCTGAGACCTAGTGAAGACTTCCTTCCAAAAGTCATAATTAGATTTTATCTACTCCAGAAAGTGGTTCTCCCTTCCTTCTCTTTCTCCCCATCTTTTCCAGAGGAAGAGCGATGCCATGAACTTGATGTAAGAGAACTTCTAATCAAATACCTAGCTGTTACTTCTGCCTTCAGGAAAACCAAAAAATTATTAATCATTCCTTCTGGCCAAGGGAGAAGCAGCCTCTTCCTCTACCTTAAGGAGATGGATAGCTTTGGTCATAACGGACTCCTACCTGTGGAAAAAGTTGACTCACTCCACCAGATCCCTGGCTACATCTTGGGCTAATTGGGTAGAGGTTCCTACGGATGACTTCTGCAGGGCAACTACTTGGTCCACTCCTACAACCTTTATTAAGCACTACAAACTGGATCTTCATTCTACGACTATTTCCTTTGGAAGAGGAGTCTTATTGGCTGTTAATATGCATAATGAAAATTAGATGTCCTTTGCAGCACTCATTGTCCAGTGTCTATTCACTGTACCGTTTTTCACCTTCCTTTTAAGTATTTTTTGCTTGGGTATTACCCACAAGTGATGCTGCCATGATTAGCCAGGAATATGGAAAATTAAATTACATACTTACCTAGTAATTTTCTTTCCCTGGTTATTTATCATGGCAGTATCAGTCACCCACCCTTCTTTCTTTTTAACTGGACTGATGTATTGAAGAAGGAGGTACCTTTTATGCCTCCAGTCTCTTTCTCTCTTTTTCATTGGTTGATCCTGTCCTGATCTGGTTAGGGACGAAGCTACCCATAAATGATGCTGCCATGATAAATAGCCAGAAGAAGAAAATGACTAGGTAAGTATGTAATTTAATTTCCCATAATTTAAAATGTAATATTTTATTATTTGTTTAACCCCTTAAGGACCAAACTTCTGGAATAAAAGGGAATCATGACATGTCACACATGTCATTTGTCCTTAAGGTGTTAAACAGTAAAGCATACACTGGGTTTTTCCACATAAAATTGGACTTATGGGTGATTTAAAGTGAAATCAAAGTTCAAGATTTAGGCCAAAATAACTGAATTAGAAAAATTATCCATACCAATTTTGTTTTCAGTTTGGCTATTTAGGTGTTCAATTTGAAATTCCCTTCAAATTTAGTCCTTGAGTTAATATTTTTACACAAGCTTTTCAAATAGTTTAATATTTTTGAAAAAACTTTTAAAAATATTTTTTTTTCAAAATGCTAAATTATTTTTTTTTAAATAGCATTTCTAATAAACAAATATCAATATATAAAAACATTATCAAAATATTAAAACATGTATCCAAAAATAATGAATCACTCGAAAAGTTTATTAAAAAAATATGAAATTGAGGCCTTAGTTTGAATTCCCACGAATGATCACTTTAGAGAATAACTCTGATAGTAAACAGCTGAACACCTCTTTCACAAAATTATCTAGGGACGTATCCCTTCATCCCCCCATTTGATATTAATGATGTAATTCATCCCAGGACATTCTTTGTGCTGAAGAATATTGCACATTATTGGATCATTTGATCTCTGCACTATGACAGGTCAGGCAAGTTTCTGAGAATGGTGTATATAACATGTGCTGATAAGGTCACGAAATTGTGCCCCGATTCATTTTTCTATACTTTGCTAGATAAATTATAACATTGAACAGAAAGCATTTCAACACTTCACTGACTAGAACGTGACAAATTAGAGATCTGAGCTTTCACCCATGTGTCCGTCTTCATCTTGACGCACACATGAACATTTATCAGATTACGGATTTGTAATAAAAATAAAAATTCCTGAAAAACAATGTGTACGGCCTGTATAAGTGTACACACTTTTCAAAAGTTTAAGTTAAGTATTAAGAATTAAGAAATGATTTTCTCTACTTCATGATGTTTTTGTATTGGTACCAGAAGGCAAGACAATCATTTAACAACTTTTGTTTACTGTGATTTCAATCTCTCTTTGGTTATAGTAAATTTGATGTAATTTTTATTTTCTCTTAATAAATGTTATTATACTATGTGAATACCTCTTTTCTTATTTGGATCCTAGTACTGACATTTTGATCTGGAAAATGTTCTGAAGTTAAGCTCTCAAAAGCCTTTATAATAACATGAGTGTTTTTTTAAATGTGTTTTAATTACCTTTCTAAGTGTTAGATTTTTTTTGTCTTATTTGTATCTCTAAATTTGTTTGCTTACTATAAAATTTCATAACATTAGTGCCTGGTATTGTCTTTCTTCCTGCAATAAAAGATATATATTTTCAAATATGAATGTGTGCTTTGCAAGAAGTGGAAAGTTCAGTATATAAACTCAAAACTAGATCAAGGAAACAACTACAGGAATATCCTTAAAAGATACAAAAACTATGCACTCTATAATATATATATACAACAGTTGTTAAGATCCTGATGAAAGCCATCAAGTTTGGCTGAAACGTCGATCAAGTTTTAACCTATGAAATAAAGAAAATCCTTTTAAAGAGACCACAAGACCGTGAGTGCTTGCCTTCTGTTACCTATACTTTTGTATATTTTTGGCATTGGCTTGAAAGCACCAGGCAGAAAATTATTGAAGTGTGTGTGCAAGGAGACAACAGGACTTTATATATATATATATATATATATATATATAAAACCCTAACAATTATTTAAAATGGCACTGCACTGCCAAACTAAAACCAAAAAAAAGCCCACAATTTAGTAGGTGTATCCGCAATGAAAAAATGCATTTAATTATTCATTCTTTTTTCCATTTGATGTTTAGCTAAAACAGCTTGCAAAAGCTGCAGATCTCATGTCTGCAGCCTTTGCAAACCCTCCACTTTTTCTCAAGCCCTGACGTTCTGTGGCTGTCCAATTATAGGCTCACAATGCAGCTCGTTGAGATGGAATTGGCAAGTGCTCTGGGCAATTGACGCCTCCTGAGTTTAGCTTCACTGAGCTAAACAACTAGGAAGTAACAGGCCGGTTGTCTGACAGCCATAGGTGTGTAACAAGGTTAATTCTGAGGAGTGGGTAAAATGGAAATGAGATAGGAACATGTCTAAATGATTTTGATCTGAATAAGTTCCTGCAGATTTATAAATACATTGCTCGACACACTGTAGCGGTTACACTGCTTTGAATGTTCCTTAAAAATATATATATATATTACATACGTTAAGAAAGGAAAAAAAATTCAGCTGGACAAGCACACATTAAACCCCATTCATGATTGATTTATCATTCATGTCCTCATGGGTACATCTATAGATTGGCATGCAGTAGGAACGTGTGTGTGTGGGGGCGAGAGAATTTGTTGGTCTATACAGAATAAAATAAAGAAAACAAACTATAAACCTTTTTACATTTTGACTCAAATGATAAAAGAAAAAAAACAACAACAAACATTCTTAATCACATGATTCTTTGCACCAACATAACATATCCACAACATTGTGGCAAATTTCCAGCAACATTTGAAAGTTATCTGTAAATGTACCCTTACATGTAACCAATACAGCTAACACCAAGCCATGGATTGCGCATCAACAATTCAATGGACTTGTCCAAAGTCGGCTCGGAAGGAGGTAAAAGTGGTCCCCTTTAACCAAATTAAATAACTTGAGATATTATTAAACTAGGCATGCATAACACTGCTATTGCTGTCAAGATATCTTGGCAAATAAGGCTTCCACATTCCTTGCAAATTAAAGCAATACAAAGCAGCTGTCCACTTGCCAAGACGAGTGGCCCGGAACAAGTAGTGCGCCACCAGTAAAGGGTTAACGGAGATTAACATATTGCAAACTACTTAACGTCTTGTCTGTTTTATGTAAGGCAGGAGAGATGAGACATATACATAGCTTTACATTCCGATGGACTAATTGGAGTAAAATACATTTACAATAATCAGTACAGATAGGACATTTGTGATTTTTTTTGTGTTTCTTAATCAACTAAAAGATTAACGTTGCTGATTTGTAAAACGCATTAGCCTTCCTCTTGGCAATTCCTGGAATACACTAACTAAATATTGCTGAACTGAGAGGTCATTACTGGAGTCAGTCTATAGTTAGAGAGTGCAAACCTTTTGTTACATTGCCAAGGAAGTTTTGTTTGATGTAGTTTAAATTAGCTTCTGAGGTCCTGGGCAGTAATCTTAGCACCTTTCATCTTCTCTTCAATGTTGGCATAACTTGAACAATCAAATAGTAAATTAATCTTGCTATCTGTGTTGCCAGGTATTGAAATGAAAAATCTACATGTAACGTCTTCCCAAAGAAGAATACCAGACAAGATTAGCTCTTTGTTTTCGGAAAATGTTACATTTCACATTCTTGCTTAGCTGTATCAAATTTGTAATAACTGTATATATTATGTATTCATTTTATAGGAGCAAATGTGACCTCAGAGAGCCACAATTCTACTAGAGTAAGTCAGTTTTACTCCGTAACATGCAAGAACTAAAAATGAGCTGCACCATAGCCGATCAATATGTATGAATGTGGCCAAGTAGTATCCTGAAAATGAAGGGATAATTTCCATGATTGCCATTAAAGAGTTGGCTTCAGCCCCAATAGCAGGCAGATCATTGCGGCTAAAAAATATCAACATATTTCAATGCTTCGCCCCTTCATGAAGCGACTACATGTTGTTCAAGTCATCAACCTATCGTTTATCCCTTTTAGCTAAAATGTGGAAGTATTCAAGAGAGAATGAGATAGAAACTATGCTTCCATTAGCAGGTAACAAATCCCCTACTTCTACACATGACAATAATAAATCTCCTGCTTTTACCCAGGACGTGATAGGATAAATCGTCAAATAAGAGAAGGCATATATTAGTAAATAGAACAGTTCTAGTGAATTATTAGTGGATGCAAAAATAATGAAACCTATGATTTATATGTAGTCTATATGTGGTAAACAATAACACATATCTAACCTTAGTTTATAAGGAGGAGGGAGGGAAGAGGGGTTTTATGCACTTTGTATTTTGTATTTTGTCTTCACCTGAGAAACTGTCGCCAAGGAAGTCCCTAACTGGGACGAAACGCGTAGGACTTACCCTGTGAATCTTTGGTGACAAGTTTCACCTGCCACTGTTAACTTCTGTGTAAGTAAATACATTTGCATTGTGCACTTTATTTTCATGGTTATCTTATTTTGTTGCCCTTAATCTTTTCTCTTCATGAAGGAGACTGACATCAATAAAGTCAGAGATTTGAGAAGATTAACATCAACTATTTTCTGAAGGCTCTTTATTTGACTCTAAAGTGTGAGTGGCCAATTGGCACTTAATATAAACCACTATTTTATTATACAGGTTTGCACTATGTTGTGCTGTTCTTGTCACCCCTAGCCGGACAAACCCTATATATTGCACTTGTAATGATTGAAGATTTAAGGAGATTGTCGGGTAACTCCATTGCTAGAAGGGAAGTTAAGTTTATAAATACATGCACCTTAGTTCACTCAAGCACTTTATCTTTAAGGAGTGAAAGTGTCATTAAACATATGCACTTTTTTCCATTTAAGCACTTTATTTTGCGATACTGTGAAAAACACTGTTTTGTTGTAACCTTACTTTCTACCTGTGCATGACATACAGAATTCAAGTGAACTGCTCATAACCTTTTAAGATGTAGAGAGATGGTGCTGGGTACCAGTAATGTTACAATGGAAAACTAATAAATCATTTAGGTTATCAATTACAATCTAGACATATCCACTCAAAATAAGGTACATTTGTTTTAGTTTTCAACATACTCACTGCCTCAAATAGAAACGTTACATTAATACAAAGCATACAAAATGTATGTTTGTAGGTGAGAAGATTATTTTAGTAGACAGTCTTAGTATTTTTATGGACATGTAGGCACTAATCTCTTATTACCTTCTGCTACATTTTACACAGTATCTTATAAAGAGTGGGAAAATATGCAAACATGAACAGTCAATCGGGAAAGGGAGTTTATGGTGTATTTTGGGAAAAATCGTGAAAAAAGGGAAATTGTATTAGAAGATATGTTAGAATAAAAGGATATCTAGAAATACATAAATAATAATTTACAGTAACATATGGCTGATTTATTTGTGCTGTAGTAATATAACTAAGGTATTATTTGGATGACAGGTCCGCTTTAAAGTTATTTTGGTTTTGCCACATCAATTAGTTAGGCACACACACACAGCAGTTGTCAGCATCAACACTAACACAGAGGACTGGATTTACATGGCGTCCTTCTATTCTGTATTTGTAATGTACACCTGTGCGCTAAGTTATGAATGACTGGAGAAAATTTACTTTGTAGTGTACGGATTAGATCCTCCAAATGTAGATCTGAATATTTGTGGGTACACTGTGTCTAACAGGTGCCAGAAAATATGGTGATACTTTACAAACAATATGAGGATATTGATATCTACCACCTTCTATCTTTCACTAAGTTTTAGTACTATAACAATTCATTATTATTATTATCATGTTGTTTGCTCTTAAAAGCTGTCACTAGTAACTTTATGATGCATGACTCCAAAATTTCCTTTATACAGGTTTGCATTTTGTAATGTTCAGGTGTACATTGTAAACACAAAGTGTTAGGGCCCACTTTATCATTACTTGGTAGCAGGGCTCCGTAATACTTGGAATGAAGCAGTAGGAATAGCTCTGTCCCATTGCTCTGCCAAGCTGCTTCTCAGAATAAAGATAAAATGTATAAGGATGCAATGCTACATTGCAGATACTTGAGATAACTTATTACTGGGGGCAGCTAGTGGGGTGCAGGGCTCCTACATTTTTAAGAACTCAGGGATTCAGTAGCCACTTCCATCCCCATGATTCAGTTATCATAATTGTATCTCTTATTTAAAAGAATCACATGCATATCTCCATATTCCCAGGATTACAGGAATGGGACAACATAATTTAGGCACAGTTACAGTTACGATGACATGCAATGCCAGTCACTGCACCAACTAACCAACTGCACATATGTAGAACCCGAGCAAGATACCTAAGTAAGCAGGGCTGTGATACACAGGTTCCAAATTGGACAGTACTAGTTCAGGTATATAAGCCAGCGATTATACAGTCACACAAATGATTTTTATTTGTGCAAGATTTTCAGCATAATTGTAGAAAATCATCGTTGTTTGAAGTGACATTCCAAAAGTTGGGCATTTCAGATACTGAAAAGCATGATAAAAAAAACCAAAAAAGCAAAAACACAGACAAAAGAAAATCCCGAAACAAATAAAACAACAGGTGTTAATGTACCGTTACTTAGTAAAAGCTACTCTAGTATTTAGACTTGCGCATTGGGGAGAAATTTTGGTTCTGACAAATTTTCTTAGTATACATTTTTTTATGTAATAAAATGTTCACACTATTTGGTTACAGATCAGTTGAGAAAAAGTAAGACGAGTAAAAAAAATAAACAAATGATTATATATATATATATATATATAATCATTTGTTTATTTTTTACTTGTCTTACTTTTTCTCAACTGATCTGTAACCAAATAGTTTGAACATTGTATTACATAAAAAAAGTATATTAAAAAAATTACATATTACTGATATATTTTACTGATACTCTATTGCTCCTTTTTTTTTAACTTGATCTGTGAATAAAACAACAGTTAATGATTGTCCTCTATCCATGAACCATCTTTTTTTCTCCATCACTCTATTCTTTGTTTAGTGTCCCAGGTGGAATTCAGATTATTGACTCTCTCAAACATGTTCGGCATTGTGCATTTGGTTAGTTCATAATTGAGGAATATTTCAGCTTGGAATTCGGCTAGACAACAAATCAGCCCAAATTCGGCCAAATTGCAATTGGGTTCAAAATGATTCTCCACATCTACTAGTATTCTTGCCAAGTGTAAGTGTCTTCTGTGAAAATCTTGGCAGATAACATGTTAAAGAATGCTTACAGCAGCCTAGCATTGTATCTACTCAAGTAATGAGGATTTTGGATACCAATTAAATTAATTAAGCGGTCTTGGACTACAACCTGGTTTTATGATGTGCCAGTACATTACTGATTGTGAAGGAGTTACTCTATGTTTTTGTAAATACACAAAAAAGTTTGTGAAAACAACAATACCTGAATAGCACCTAAAATACCTTAGTGACTAAAACCTTAAAAAAATTGTTTTTTTAAAAGTGCGCTTACAGCATAACAAGTGATAGAACAATTATTGTGATGGGGGCATATATAAAAATATATAAAAACGACTAGTAATAAAAATGACTGATAATGAAAATGACTGGTAATTTGAGAATGATGTGGAAGAAGTGTATTTATTGTTAATCTTGCTGCTAACAGTATGAGATTTCAACACGTCTGGTAGGGTATATGATTGAACTCTGCGAGGTTCCAACATCACCCAGCAGGATGTAATTGAGCAAAAAGCACATTCCAAGCACACACGTTATAGTAATACTAGCGATATTAAGTACTCTGAGAAATACATGTATTCGGTACAGAAAGACATGGATGGTTTCCTGATGGGTGAACTACCTAACATAGCCATTCACTAAACATTAAAGTGCTAGAAATTTACTAGGTAATTGCAATTTAGTCTGAAACTGATGACATGGAAACATAGCGTACTTGGAGATTTTATTTTTTCAGTTTGGTTATTTTGGAACAATATTTTCCAAGTCCACAATAAATTCTGAACAACTTACTATGTAGTTAATACACTACAGGCAATTTGTAAACCAATCTCAGGGTGATTTACAGGTTTATAGAACTCATACAATCATCAATTGCAAATATATTAAGCCAGAACAGACAAATTTGGCCCAACATTTAGCATTCCATAGATATTTATGTGGACAATTCCCAAGAATTCACAGTTTAGTTAAAAACCCTGTATGATTCCAGTCTTCCCCTGAAATCAGGAAAAAGCCCAAATTACACACTATGTGCCAATTCTCATACAAATACATGCTCGAAATGCAACGTGTTGCATGATAAAATAAATCACATTTGTATATAAAATCCACATTGTTGAGAATGTTCAGGGTTTGACCTGAGCTCTTAGGAATTATTTTCCAGTGACAGGTATCACTCATGGTCATACTATCTGGAGTTGACACCTGTTGTCTAATGCATTATACATAACACACCTATCCCTGAATGACAACGCTAACTGGAAGTGCCTCATGTCACTGGTCAGGGTAATGGTGTAACCTTTTATCAAGCTCAAATGCAAGGCTCATGTCCTTTTTGACCACTTTCTCCATTTGCTTGAGACAGAATCCCCATTCCTGTATATGTGATATTCCTACCCTATCATTTTCCTATTAATCAAAGTAAACGTATTCATCATCCTCTATAATTGAGAATGAGGTCATGGTTGTGTTTTATTTCCAAAGCAATAACAATTCTCTTCACGCACCATTGCTACAACAAAAACAAAGAGACATACCCCGTGCCATGAAAAACACTGCTTGAATTGCCAACCCAGATTGCAAATAAATTAGCTGCACATTTGAAAATTAGTTGCAAAGCTATTGCTAGATTCAAAACTTCGTTGCACCTTTGTATCAAGTCTGCATTGAAAGTCCCCGATAAGCTTACTTTACATATTTGCTGCAAGTCTGCTGCAAAATTTTAATTTCAAACTTTATGTGAAATATAGTCTTCCAACCACAGAGTTTGCTGTGGCATAATTTTGGTCTCAGTGCTGTGTGTTCTTCACTCTGGTACTGGCAGCCATTTTGTAATCATTTTGGAGCCTGTGTGAAGACAGGTGATTGGGAGTCATGAGTTCTGTTACAGAGGGATTCCAGGGAGGACAGAACTCACGCTGTAAGTGATTACAGTCCAGTGATCTGCTGCTATCAGACAAAGAAAACTCCTGGGACATTTATCTAGTCTAGTAACATGCTGCCAGGAGTAAACTTTAAAAATCACTGCAAAGAAGCCATCTTAATCTCAAAATGAATAAAACGTTTGTTTTAAAACGTTTAATCTTATTAACTTTACTTCACTACAACAAAATTAACACATTAAATTACATATTGCATTTTTTCTGCAATGCAACACCATAAATTCATATATATATGTATGTGACAATACGGCCCTGGCATCTCCTGTACTGAAGATAACTTAACCTACAAAATACATTTCACTTTAGCAATATAACACAGCACCAAAATGGTCACCCTGTGCCCATTATAGGTGCAGGGTGTTTATAAGGTGTTTGTATATTGTTAATTTTTTTGTGTGCTCTCCTGTCCTGCTGATGCTGCTTACCAACAAAGTGGATTTGGCTATGGAGCCTGTATAGCACACTCTATTGGTATCAACATCAATATACACATACATACACAGTTGTAATCAACATTATTCAACTCTCATTGAAAATCAGGTTTCTCATTGAAAATCATTGTAAAAATTTACAGACGTCTAGCTGTTCGCAATGAACAAATCAAATCAAAACAAATACCTCAACTCTACAAATGCTTCAAGTGGTTTTCCCACATTCAACTGAACATGCAACCTATAACTTCTCCAGTCTCAAAATTATTCAATCCCTTCATGGCAAGCATCTTTAGTACTTAGTAGAGCACCATTTTGCTGTTATGACCCGCTGAAAACAAGATACATAGCCAGACAGTAGCTTCTGGCAGCCTTCCTGAGGAATCTTAGCCCACTGCTCATGAGCAATGGCCTCTAGTTCAGCTATATACTTGGGTTTGCGTGTGGCAACCGCCTACTTCAAATCCTACAAAAGATTGTATATTGGCTTCAAGCCAGGTGACTGTGATGGCCACTGTAGAATTTTCCAGGACATCTTCAACCAAGGTTTGGTGGAAGTTGATGTATGCTTGGGATCATTGTCTTGTTAGAAGGTCCAATGACTCCAAGCTAGGGGGTGGGGGTGGGGAGTGTAACAAGGTTAATTTTATTAAAGGTCAATTTCTACTGAAATCTGCACTTATTGTAAAATGAAAAAAAAGAGGACACACTCTTCACATATTAAGCATTTTAGCAAGCTGAAGTGCTTTAGGGGACCAGAGCATTCCTTTAAATTTAGAAATCCAACCTTTCAATCTATGTATTGACATATAACTGAATGCAGTTGTTTACCATATCTTTTCTTCTTTCACTGTAACAATAATAGATTGATGGGTCATGAAAGAATGTTAAAGTGAACCTGTTGCCCATTGCTAAACAAGAGTTAAATATAATTATTAACATAATAAATACCAAAACTGTTTCTTTTTCCATGTCTTGTAATGGAGAATTAGCATTTTCTCAGGCTACTTACCTTGTTTCCATACCATCTACCACCTCCATTAGCCTAACTCTGTTGGAGAGGCGTAGATGAAGGGGGTTCTGGCTTACACATATGGTGGTCATGTGGACAACTGGTGCCATACTGGAGAGAAATCCTCACCTAAATCAAAGAGACTCTAGATTCCGATATTCCATTCCAGCCTTTACCAATGGTAAATGCGGCAAAATGTTTAATCCCAAGCCAATAATGATGTCCTGTGTTGCCCACACTCCATTAGTGGATGGCCCGAGTTGAGGAGATATATGATATGGAGATGCCCACAGCCTCTCTAAGGCTCCCCCCCTATTTTTTCTCCCTCATCTCTTTCTATTCCCTATTTCTTATTCCATTAGTATTCAGACCCTCTCACCCGACTACATACCAGACTGATTTAGGTAGACAGAGGTACATTAATGTCAACTTTTACTGGAGACATTAGTTGGATGAGAGGGCATAGATATAGAAAACAAAGGCCATTACTCTAAACATATAGCATTGATGTTATATGTCTCCATTTTCACTGACCTTTTATTGCTCATTGAACTAGCTGGATTTAATAAACATAAAACCTACATTGTTTATTATTGCCATACTAAGTGCCTATGTCAGCAACAATGTGAAATGTATTCAAGAAAATCTTGTTCATCTGACTTAAATGAAAATAAAGATTGTCAAAAATGTTTTAATAAAATTAATGTTCAGAGTGTAGGGAAGCTGTATGTCAGTGCTGCACATTGGGCAGCACTCATCCAGGTAGCATCTCTAGTGGCTGCCTGAGCGACTGCCCCTAGAGGCGTTACTAGACAGTAATGTAAACACTTTACATTTTAAGTTTATGTAAACTTTTCTATGAAAAGGCAGTGTTTGCATTAAAAAGCATGTAGGGACATTAAGCTATAGTTGTTTGGGTGACTATAATGCCTCTTAAAAAGACTTTTGATTGAAACCTGCTACTAGTTTGTGGCAAGTTATGCTTGCTATATGGGAAGATACACTACTACATACCTGTTTGGATTTTTGAATGATGGTGCTTCCTGAACTAATATATAACCTCAAAATGATCCCAAAATTACCACCAATTTAGCCTGCATCTATGCTATTCCACCAACCTACAACCAAACCTCCTTTCCTAGTACACTGGACAACTGTGCAAGCCATTCTAAAAATAGAGGCATATGTACATTCAGCCTCCAACACATGTCAAAAGTACCTTTCACCCTGTCTGAGATGGTTATTTAAGCTGTCAGAGGCTAATATTCCACCTGGGCAGACAATTGCCTTCCAGGAAGCCAAATCAATAGATATTGTCAGCTCCATAGTAACAACTCAAATGTGACACAACACACAGCTTAAAGATGTGCTTCTGTGGTCGTTTTGTCAAGTTTGTCTCCATACAAAACACAATTTCATATAATCCAGTTACTTCGCTTATGATAAATTCTATCCATCTCGATGTTTAAATTACTTTGAACCATACTGTGACTGAAGTACACTCTCCATCCTTCCTCTCTCTTCGTGCTATTAAAATCCCTTGTTAGGTACTTTGTTTCAAGCAGTTTTTTTTAATGTAAAAAATGGGTCACATCAATTCTGAAGTGTTCCCTTATGATCGAATGCACATCTGACACAAGTAGAATATGAGTAGTATGAAAGCAATCTTCTAGGAATTTGTAGTCACACACTGGTACAGTATCGAAGTGATGGTTGAGGAACTACTAGATTGGCACTCATAAAGCTGCAGGACATTCTCAGTTCTCAGAGTAAACTAAAATTGCAGAAGTTATCAAGTCTATTTGCTCTTTTCAATCGAAAATCCCAGGTGTTATATCTGAAGTATTCTGTAGCGAACCATGAAATAGATCAGTTGTTGTCTTTTCTTATACAGTCCGTTTTATTATGACTGCTACTAGTTTTTATTACTAGTTTTACATATCAATACATAATAACAATCATCAGTTCCTTAGCAGGCCTTAAAATTAGGTAAATACAACCCAAGATGAACAACAACACATGACATATTGCACTGTGTCATGATTTATTTAACAAAAATAAAGTCAAAATGGAGAAGCCATGTGTGAAAAAATAAACCCTTACGACTTCCATAGGAAGTAAGACTCTAAGTAGCAGACAGGTGCTGCTAATCAAATTCCCCTGATTAATTGATCACCAGCAAGCTTGACCAGCTCTATAAGAGTCACAGTTTTAGCAGCTTGCTGATCTGGGTTATTCAGGTATTGTGGGGCACTTGAGAATTCTCATGATGCCCCAATCTCTGTCCTTCTGGCTGGTGTACAGTCTCTTGGTGCTGGATTTTGGATGGAGTCTTCCATTTACAGTGAGTAGTTCCTGGTTCTTGATATCCATGGTGCCCAGCTATGCTCGTGGCTACCTGATGACTAGCGTGTACAGTCAGGTCCATAATCATTGGGACATCGACACAATTCTAATCTTTTTGGCTCTATACACCATCACAATGGATTTGAAAAAACAAACAAACAAGATGTGCTTTAACTGCAGGCTTTCAGCTTTAATTTAAGGGTATTTACATCCAAATCAGGTGAACGGTGTAGAAATTACAACAGTTTGTATATGTGCCTCCCACTTTTTAAGGGACCAAAATTAATGGGACAGATTAACAGTCATAAATCAAACTTTCATTTTTTAATACTTGGTTGCAAATCCTTTGCAGTCAATTACAGTCTGAAGTCTGGAACGCATAGACATCACCAGACGCTGGGTTTCATCCCTGGTGATGCTCTGCCAGGCCTCTACTGCAACTGTCTTCAGTTCCTGCTTGTTCTTGGAGCATTTTCCCTTCAGTTTTGTCTTCATCAAGTGAAATGCATGCTCAATCGGATTCAGGTCAGGTGATTGACTTGGCCATTGCATAACATTCCACTTCTTTCCCTTAAAAAACTCTTTGGTTGCTTTTGCAGTATGCTTCGGGTCATTGTCCATCTGCACTGTGAAGCGCCGTCCAATGAGTTCTGGAGCATTTGGCTGAGTATGAGCAGATAATATTGCCCGAAATACTTCAGAATTCATCCAGCTGCTTTTGTCAGCAGTCACATCAAATAAATACAAGAGAACCAGTTCCATTGGCAGCCATACATGCCCACACCATGACACTACCACCACCATGCTTCACTGATGAGGTGGTATGCTTTGGATCATGAGCAGTTCCTTTCCTTCTCCATACTCTTCTCTTCCCATCACTCTGGTACAAGTTGATCTTGGTCTCATCTGTCCATAGGATGTTGTTCCAGAACTGTGAAGGCTTTTTAAGATGTTGTTTGGCAAGCTCTAATCTGGCCTTCTTGTTTTTGAGGCTCACCAATGGTTTACATCTTGTGGTGAACCCACTGTATTCACTCTGGTGAAGTCTTCTCTTGATTGTTGACTTGGACACACATACACCTACCTCCTGGAGAGTGTTTTTGATCTGGCCAACTGTTGTGAAGGGTGTTTTCTTCACCAGGGAAAGAATCCTTCGGTCATCCACCATAGTTGTTTTCCGTGGTCTTCCGGGACTTTTGGGGTTGCTGAGCTCACTGGTGCGTTCTTTCTTTTTAAGGATGTTCCAAACAATTGATTTGGCCACACCTAATGTTTTTGCTATCTCTCTGATGGGCTTGTTTTGTTTTTTCAGCCTAATGATGGCTTGCTTCACTGATAGTGACAGCTCTTTGGATCTCATATTGAGAGTTGACAGCAACAGATTCCAAATGTAAATAGCACACTTGAAATGAACTCTGGACCTTTTATCTGCTCCTTGTAAATGGGATAATGAGGGAATAACACACACCTGGCCATGGAACAGCTGAGCAGCCAATTGTCCCATTACTTTTGGTCCCTTGAAAAGTGGGAGGCACATATACAAACTGTTGTAATTCCTACACCGTTCACCTGATTTGGATGTAAATACCCTCAAATTAAAGCTGAAAGTCTGCAGTTAAAGCACATATTGTTCATTTAATTTCAAATCCATTGTGGTGGTGTATAGAGCCAAAAAGATTAGAATTGTGTCGATGTCCTAATATTTATGGACCTGACTGTATATGCTGTTACAATGCAGCTGTGCCTATACCTTCATGGGTCTTTGGTAAATAGAGCATTCATTCTTTTAGACTCTGCTTCTCTGGTGTATTTACTCAGTCTGGTTTTCAGTGCTGTCAGACTCTGCTTAGCTGTTTCTAAAGGTTATGACATGGGCATACCCTTGTATTTCCTCAGTAGTCAGGATCTATCCTTGACCTTTCCGGTCTGTGAAGTTGATCCAGCTTACTAACTTCCTCACATGTTGACTTTTTCTTGGCTTTAAGTCTTAGTCTCCATAGTTTTCATTGTTTCTCTATCAGCCTGAGTTTGTAGTCAGGCTGTTGGAGGAGCACAGTTGCTGTGGCATACAGAAGCTTGTTGGTGAGATGAATATGATAAGACAAGCCACAGGTCAAGGATAACATTAATTTGAATAGTCAAACACAAGCCAAGTTGAGAATAGCCAATCAGTGATAAAAAATATAAAATAAACACACTTTCAGATAAACAGTAAATAAAAACCACAACGGAGTTAAAAAAAACATGTAATACGTTTAAATGGCCCTACTAGGTCAGTGATTGGTCAGTTCTGTTCATATGGTGCCAAATGTGCATGCGCATCATTAAAGCAAACACATATGCGTCACTAACTAGATTAGGGGAGGAGGAGCTATATAGGAGCTACAGTGTACAGTGAACGGTGTTCAACCGGCAAGGGAGGCGGACTGAAGTGGCATGGTAAGATGCCACATTGGCATGTGTCTGATGCTGTGACATGCTTAAAAAATGAATCAGTCCCAAATACAAGTTGACATTATGACAGAGAGGTATTTACTTTGGAGGTTTATGGCCATCTGAGCAGTGATATAGCATAAAAAAGCAAAAACCTTATTCTAAAAAGAAGAGAGAGGAAGTCTGAATGATCAATGGTGGGGTCCACATTGAGGACATTGTGCTACTTCTGAGGCATATGCTTTGATGTCACTTTATCCTTGACTATTAGAGGACAACAATTTAGAAGGAACCAAAAAACAGTCTCATTCTACAATACATACGCTGAAAAATTATAATTTTAAACCAAGACATTTAAAATATACTTAACTCAAATATATTTGGGAGTCAAGGCCAACTTCTTATTTTTTTTACCCCTCCTTGCTACAGGTGCTTCATTCCATGCCTCTATTTAAGCTTGCTTTGCAGAGAGTGCCAGGAAGAAGCATTTTCCAAGATTAATCTCAGGCATTAGGCTGCTAGAATAGGACCAGCCAAAAATGGGGTACTTTAGTATTTTGGCAGGCTTATGCACGGTAAGATCAAATACTGTAACTAAACCCCCATTATTTTTGCCTAGGTGAGGTGTTTAAAAAAAAAACTATTACATTCTGTGAGACGTGAAATTGCTCTTTAGTGAATGACTGAGTACGCTGGATCATGTATGTGTTAAATATATATATACATATATACACACACACACACACACACACACACACACACACACAAACACACTCAGTCTCATTATACAATTAATGCAGTTTGATACATACACTGAAAAATTATAGATGTATACCAAGACATTTAAATATACTTAGGTCAAATCTGTGATAATAAACAAAAAAACTTAGATCATGAGAGTTTCCCTTCTTGAAAATACTTTTGAGTGAGGAAGCACTGTGTTCCTGTGTGTTGGCAAAGATAACAAGGTTAAATAATACTACACCTGTCAGAGACTTCAGAAGACTATTTAATCTGCTCCAGTTCCTTACATGTTTGCCTAACGTCTTAACAAAATACAAAGGTCTTTACTCTGGGCTAGCCAAGGAAGTTACAAAAGCAAAATGTATCTATTGTAAAAGCTGAAGATATGAACATACCACCCACACCATGGTGTGAAACCATTGGGATATTCCGTACTTTCAATCAGTAGACTTTAATGGAATTAACATTCATTCAAAATTCTACTACACTGTAGCCAAAGCATTTTACAGTGCAATTTATGTAACAAATGTTAATTCAAATGTGCTTAAGACTGTCCTTGGGTTTCCCTGTCTTCAAAGGTTGCCAAAAAGTCTGTGGGTTGTTCGCTTTATTTGGCACATGTCCATCCATTGAAAGGGTTGATAGCGTAAACAGAAATGTTAATGGCACCTGCTTCACTATCTCTCCCACTTCCTTCCTTCTCAACGTAATATAGACTGTTCATTAAAATCTCATGTTTAATTTGTTCAAACAAAAGTCTCACTATTAGCAAAAGAAACAAAAAAAAATTTATAATAAAAAAAAAAAATACATTCAAATAGTATGATCAAAATAATGATAACAAATGTAGCTGATGCAAATGACCTTAAGAAAAAAAAGGAAATTCAGGGACTGATAGGAAGATTTTTATAAAAATAAATCTAACACGTAACAACCAAAAATACAAGTTAGAAATGCAAGTTATTAGATTTTAAAAGATAAACCATATATTATAAATATAAGACTTAAGCTTTAATAAATCATTAGGATTCAGAGGGAATGAGATGAAAACTGTAATAATTTTTCATTATTATTTAAAAGAAAAGATTGCAGGTATTAAAGCCTATGTGTGTTATTTAGCAATGCATATATAAATTTTTCAGCCGCAACATTAAAACCACTGACAGGTGGAATGAATAACAGTTGATATCATTGCAATGGCACCTGTCAAGGGTTGTGATGTATTAGGAAGCAAGTGAATAGTCAGATATTGAATTTCATGTGTACATTTCACGAGAGAGGGGGGATATGGTTGAAAAATTTAAATACATAAAGGGAATCAACACAGTAAAGGAGGAGACTATATTTAAAAGAAAAAAAAACTACCACTACAAGAGGACATTAGAGGGCCAAAGGTTTAAAAATAATATCAGGAAGGGGACTTTACTGAGAGGGTAGTGGATGCATGGAATAGCCTTCCAGCTGAAGAGGTTAACACAGTAAAGGAGTTTAAGCATGTGTGGGATAGGCATAAGGCTATCCTAACTATAAGATAAGGCCAGGGACTAATTAAAGTATTTAGAAAATTGGGCAGACTAGATGGGATGAATGGTTCTTATCTGCCGTCACATTCTATGTGTTGAAAGCAAGAATATGGGCAATCTGAGTGACTTTAACAAGGGCCAAATAGTGGGCAGACTAGTTGGGATGAATGGTTCTTATCTGCCGTCACATTCTATGTGTTGAAAGCAAGAAAATGGGCAATCTGAGTGACTTTGACAAGGGCCAAATAGTGGTAGTTAAACAACTGGGTCAGAGCATCTCCAACATGGCACGTCTTGTGGCATGTTCCCAGTATGCAGTGATTAGTGGCTACCAAAAGTGGTGCAAGGAAGGGCAACCAGTGAACCGGCATCAGGAGAGTGAAGGCTAACCTGTCTGGTCCAATCACAAAGAAGAGCTCATATTGCTTAAAATTAATGCTGGCCATGATAGTAAGGTATCAGAACACACAGTGCCTCCCAGTGCTGCATGGAGCAGTGTAGCCGCTGACTGGCCAGACTGCCTATTATGACTCCTGTCCACCACTGAAAGCACCTTAAATGGGGACAAGCGCATCAGACCTGGACCATGGAGCAATGGAAGAAAGTTGTATGGTCTGATGAATCACATGGATGGCTGGGTTTGTGTTTGTCGTTTACCTGGAGAAAAGACGACAGCAGGATGCATTATGGGAAGAAGGCAGGCCAGTGGAGGCAGTATATTGCTCTGAGTAATGTACTTCTGGGAAACATTGGGTCCAGCACTCATGTAGATGTTAACATGTACCACCTACCTAGAGATTTTTGCAAACCATGTACACCCATTGATGGGTATGGTGTTCCCTGATGGCACTGGCCTCTTTCAAGGATAATGCACCCTGCCACACTGCAAAAAGTGTTCAGAATAGGTTTCAGGAACATGAGAAACCTCAATCCGATGTGGGATGTGCTACAATAGCAAATCTGATCCTTGGAGGCCCCACCTCACAATGTGCAAGACTTATAGAATCTGCTGCTAATGTCTTGTTACCAGATACCACAGAACACATTCAGAGGTTTTGTGGAGTCCATTTGTTGCTGATTAGTGTATATCTAAGTGCCACTTCTTAGTTAAGAACTTGGCTTACCTTTGTTCTGACTGCTGCAGCCATCTTTACATTCTCTTCAGGAGCAACACTTATCTGACCATAATCATCTGGGTATCTCAAAAACATGCTTTGAAATGTTTTTTATGTGATTCATTGTGTTGGTCCTTTGCTATGTGGTGTTTGATCTAAGAGAACATCATGATAGCCATACCAGAGTATGGGTAAAGCAGGATATGCACTTAAAGCAAACATTGTCTCATATGTATTCATTGCGAAAAACACAGATGCCATATTACATGTGCTCTTTTGAAAAACAATAATAAAAAACAGTTTGTCTTTAAAATAAAATTTAACTAGAGATGGATTTACATTTCCATAGCTCCCAACATTTCAAATGGTCAAAGAGGGACACTTTAAATTTAACGTGTGGGTGGGGGGCCAGGTGTGGGGCTGTTCTGAGAAATTTTATATGACTTACAGCAACTTATGCAACTAAAATGCAATTTAGAACAATAACAATATATCTTATTTAAACAGACTGATTTCTAACACATTTACTGTAGTTTAAAGACCCATTTCTCTTAATATTAAACATTTGGAGCTCTGTTTTACACAGACACACCAGCAATAGGAACCTCATAGGAAATCAGGATAATAAATGAGGGGCAGAGGGATTTCGGTCCAAAAATAGGGTTGTTCATCCTAAATAGAGATACTCTGGAGGAACGCATGCCAGTCACACATAAGCACAAATACCAGAGTCTACCCCCTACTTGTATATCACACAGGACACTAGCACTTAGTGAAATTGTCTTGCATTACGCATTGCTAATCACTAGAGGTTTCTTCTTCAGCTGACCTCACATTGCAGGGATAGTAAATGCCTGTATACATTTCCAATAATTGTGTTTACTTATTGTACACCTCACTGCTCATGTTTAATCAGCAGCACAATTTCTGTTGTCATCTTTACTAATGAAAACCCTTCCTATAGCATCTTGAACGGTCTCCTCCTCCGGGATATTCACTTTGCTGTGAGTATGAGTTATTTGCTGACTCTGTAGGATACATTTAGTGGGAGTAGAGTTGAAGTAAAGAGTAAAGAGAAAGTAAATGAGGTCTTTCAGAAGTTACATTAGCTCCCACGTCATCAGTGTGTGTGCAAATTACAGATACTGGTAGAGTTCATTAATCAATCTGTCAAGCATAAGGATAAATGTTATGGTTACTTTAAATACATATGCTTGCTATATACATAAATATGTCAGTGGATAGCTTACAAGAGTCTTTATACATTTCCATACATTGCTAGGTTTAAGAAGGAAAAATATTAAATAAATAGATATATAAAATCAAATGCAACAGACAGTGGCATGTATCATGTAAGCATGATCTCTGCTTTCCTGAAAAGTAGACATAGACTTTCACATGACGAAGCAAGATTGGACATTTGACTTACCCTTAAATCTATACTACACTAGCACTTCCTATATGTTTTAATGAAGAAATGCTAAGACTTCCATGGAAAGACTACCCCCATTCCTGTCACGGTTCTCACCGTGCCATCCAGACAGCGAGAAGTGGTCGCCCCAGAAGTGCCCAACAAGGGATCTGCACCTGGTGCCTTCTGCATCCTAAGCCCAAGATCCTGCCTCTGAGGCACTTCTGAACTTTGATTCTAACATTGTTTTCCTGGCATTGTCTGCAGAACTAGGGGGCTGGACATCACCAGTGGCTCCTACCTGTCCATCTAAGTTCACCTGAGGCAGTTCACTCATTACCTGAGCATAAAACACTGCCCCTCCCTGAGAACATTGTCAGTTCGTTGTTTCTTGTATCCTGTTTCCTAAGACTGACTTGGCTTGTGACCCTTTCTGTTTGGATTATTCGTTATTGCCTGTTCACTGCTTGCCCTGACTTTTGGAACCGTGTCTGACTACTCTTCTGGATTTGCCCTTGTCTGTTTCCACATACCCAGTTACTGTTCCTGCCTAAGCCCCCGTGCACAGATTCACAGCCCAGGTAGCTTCTTATCTGGTTACTGTGGGTTGTGTTTATCTGCAAGGGTGTGCAAACATCTCTGCACTTCGGACTCCAAATAAGGTAAGCCGTGACAATCCCCAGACAAGGGGGGCTGTTATGACAAATTGCATCCCACTAACTTCACTGGAAAAATATGTGGTTGTCTTTAGTGGTAGAATATTGTTTTATTGATAGTGTTTTTTGATATTTTAGCGGCATCAAGAATATCCATCCATGTTTTTTTTATATGATATGTAAGCTAAAACCTAGATCAGGTACCAGTATATCTCATGATTTATAACTGTACATTGCTGTGACTTAATTGGAATGAATGGGATTTTCCAAGTAGAGTCTGATATTTAAAGTAGAATTCTGAGGACTTATGTATACAGGGAGTGCAGAATTATTAGGCAAATGAGTATTTTGACCACATCATCCTCTTTATGCATCTTGTCTTACTCCAAGCTGTATAGGCTCGAAAGCCTACTACCAATTAAGCATATTAGGTGATGTGCATCTCTGTAATGAGAAGGGGTGTGGTCTAATGACATCAACACCCTATATCAGGTGTGCATAATTATTAGGCAACTTCCTTTCCTTTGGCAAAATGGGTCAAAGAAGGACTTGACAGGCTCAGAAAAGTCAAAAATAGTGAGATATCTTGCAGAGGGATGCAGCACTCTTAAAATTGCAAAGCTTCTGAAGCGTGATCATCGAACAATCAAGCGTTTCATTCAAAATAGTCAACAGGGTCGCAAGAAGCGTGTGGAAAAACCAAGGCGCAAAATAACTGCCCATGAACTGAGAAAAGTCAAGCGTGCAGCTGCCACGATGCCACTTGCCACCAGTTTGGCCATATTTCAGAGCTGCAACATCACTGGAGTGCCCAAAAGCACAAGGTGTGCAATACTCAGAGACATGGCCAAGGTAAGAAAGGCTGAAAGACGACCACCACTGAACAAGACACACAAGCTGAAACGCCAAGACTGGGCCAAGAAATATCTCAAGACTGATTTTTCTAAGGTTTTATGGACTGATGAAATGAGAGTGAGTCTTGATGGGCCAGATGGATGGGCCCGTGGCTGGATTGGTAAAGGGCAGAGAGCTCCAGTCCGACTCAGACGCCAGCAAGGTGGAGGTGGAGTACTGGTTTGGGCTGGTATCATCAAAGATGAGCTTGTGGGGCCTTTTCGGGTTGAGGATGGAGTCAAGCTCAACTCCCAGTCCTACTGCCAGTTCCTGGAAGACACCTTCTTCAAGCAGTGGTACAGGAAGAAGTCTGCATCCTTCAAGAAAACATGATTTTCATGCAGGACAATGCTCCATCACACGCGTCCAAGTACTCCACAGCGTGGCTGGCAAGAAAGGATATAAAAGAAGAAAATCTAATGACATGGCCTCCTTGTTCACCTGATCTGAACCCCATTGAGAACCTGTGGTCCATCATCCAATGTGAGATTTACAAGGAGGGAAAACAGTACACCTCTCTGAACAGTGTCTGGGAGGCTGTGGTTGCTGCTGCACGCAATGTTGATGGTGAACAGATCAAAACACTGACAGAATCCATGGATGGCAGGCTTTTGAGTGTCCTTGCAAAGAAAGGTGGCTATATTGGTCACTGATTTGTTTTTGTTTTGTTTTGAATGTCAGAAATGTATATTTGTGAATGTTGAGATGTTATATTGGTTTCACTGGTAATAATAAATAATTGAAATGGGTATATATTTGTTTTTTGTTAAGTTGCCTAATAATTATGCACAGTAATAGTCACCTGCACACACAGATATCCCCCTAACATAGCTAAAACTAAAAACAAACTAAAAACTACTTCCAAAAATATTCAGCTTTGATATTAATGAGTTTTTTGGGTTCATTGAGAACATGGTTGTTGTTCAATAATAAAATTAATCCTCAAAAATACAACTTGCCTAATAATTCTGCACTCCCTGTATATTTTCCATTAACAGACACCCTTTTCTGGCACATGCAAGAAACAAACCCATTAGGTTCCAGAAATCAACCATCTCCGACTATGTTAATCAGTAACGTAGAGTGTTTGTTTTTAAATGTATTTCACCGTTTTCAGTGCAGCCAGTTCAGAAACTACTGACCACTATTATAAAATAAACTTACATCTTAATTGGAACACTCCTAAAGCAGGAAAGGTTACTCTAAGATTACATCTAAATCAAATGTTTTGCATTTACTTTTAAACATTCACCCACTACTTACTTGCTCATATAGCATTCTCTGATGCAGTGTTATTAGTAGAGCAATGTCAATATCCAGGGAACTAATAGTCTTCAGAAATTAAAGGAATATGTTTCAATATTATATTAGCTGGTCATTTTTCTAAATTGTCCTTACCGTCATCTTTGTCTGGTAAAATAATGATCTGAGTTGAAGGGAACTCAGCACCAATCCTTCCACCCATTGGCATACTCAAAGAAACATTGAAGAATTCTGCCTCCTCGTAAAGTGAATCATCAATAATAACCACACGGCACAATTTCTCCTTCTCGCCTTTATCAAATCTCAAAACGCTGTTGTGCTCCTCAGGCCTCGATATGTAATCAGAGTAGGATAAAACGGATGTTGGGACAGTTCCAGAAGCAGTACCTGTAAAACAGAGAATAGGAATGTATAAAACATTTTAATCTGTCAGATTTTGATATGGCTTGGAGGCATTGAACATCAATATACATCATTACAAACTGTGTATTTTTAGTCTAAATGCGATGTTTCACTTTTAACCATCTTGGTCACAATATATGACTTGAGTTTAAGCATCCAATATTGATGATTTTTTATGCCAAAATGTACTTGGGTTTGGTTGCAAACATCAGTCCATTTGGACAGCTAGTGGCCAGTTCTAGGTATCTCTTCCAGTGATGGGAGCAGCTGAGTGTGCCAGAAAGACACACTCGGCTAATTGCGTTAATGAGAATATGAATTATGGAATATGAGGTCAGTAAAAATATTGCTGGTTGATGGAGAACATAAAGGAATTGAAAGGAACTGTGAAACAGTGAGGACAGAAGAAAGCATACATGTTACATTGGCTTTTATTCACTTATGAGTATTTTTGCTCGTAATTGTAGACAGAGAGTAGAGCACAAAATCTAGTGGCTACAATGTAAATATTTAATATCAGTATCTCTATTAAATTATGGATAAAATCTTTTCTATTTCAGCAAGATGGGCAAAGTATGTCTATAAGAAAAACATTTAGAATGAGGACATGGACATTCTATCGCCAAGTCCAAATCTGAAACAGGTGAGAATGGGTAACTGACTGTACTACAGTTTATCCAGAAGAAACCAAACAAAAGCTCTACAGATCTTCATTCCTTGGTGCAGAGTGTATTGAACAAAATTACATTTAAATATGTGACGGCCCTAGGGGAACTGAGCTAGATTGAATCTATTTATGTCTAGCGCTTGTGCATCTATAACCCCATTGAACCTCCTTGAGAAAGCTTTAGTTGAATAGCACCTGTTCCCAATACCTGAAAGAACAACTAAAGCAAGACCGACATAGATAATGCGGTCATTAATCTTAAAGAGACACTGTAGCACTATAACAATGTCATCTCATTTAATTGTTTATACTGCCAAGAGGGCCATGCCATCCCATGCTAAACCATTTTCAGGCAGTTTTACACTGAATAAAGAACCTTGAGCACCCACAGCCCATCCACTACTGGAGGTATGACTCAGGCAGAGATTACACTCTTTATTTTAGCCATACCAAGGTATATACAAGCAGTCAGCTGACATTCTCAGCCAATCACAATCACCCGTTTTTACCAAGGCTAATGCTTCCTCATTAGCACAGGTTGAACAGAGGGGATAGGACTCTAATTTAGCATTAAAACCATTTTGAATGGAACAAAAGGTGACTCCTCAATGAGATAAAGCAGTTACAGTGCCAACAGTGTCCCTTTAACTAATATGTAACATATCGAGAATGTATACCAGTTACAGGTGAACAGTTTAGATAATGGTGTCAAATATAAAAAAATATATATATAACTTTCTTAACATTGAATTATAGGAGGACTGTAATGGACAGTAATGTAACTGGTGGTAACGTTAGCATTGTACCGTACCTAACATTTTCCAAATCTAGACAGAAAAAGCGAGCATTCAAAAGGGAAATGTATTTACCTTGGTGAGTATAACAGATAACCATCAACTCCTGCTCCACATCTCCACTTCTCCTGACCGGAATCATTAGTTCGCCAATGTCTTCTTCAATTTTATAAATGGACTTGGGTATGAACACGGTGGATTCTGGAGAGATAAGAATAGGACATTTAATATATTATTAGTCAATAGTTAGTAACATAAAATAATTTAAAATAAATATAACTTTCTACACATACAACTTGTGTTCTGTGCACTCTTTGGGAATTAGAGAACTCAAAACCTCCTCAAAACTATTTTTAATATAATAATCCTTTTATCAAGTTTTAGATTTTTTTTTTCACTGAAAAAAGTTTTTGGTTTAAAAAAAAAAAAAAAAATGGGGGTGGGGGCTAGTAAGTGTCAGTAGTAGAATAACCCGGGCAGAGAAAAATCAAGATACATAGGATAACAACAAGCTTTAAAGTGAAACTATAGTGCTAAGTATACAAAGTTGTATTCATGGCACTATAGTACCCTAGAGTACCCCCCCTCGCTCGCCTTTACCCCCACTGCAGTGCAGGAAGGGTTAAAAATCATTCTGTAATTTACTAAATCCAGCACCAGTGTCCCTCAGTGCCGGGTTAATCGCTGACCCCGTTCCTAACCCGTCGTCAACCGCGCTCGCATTAGGACTACCCCACAGGAAAGCATTGAATCAATGCTTTCTTTAGGGTTTTTAGCTAACGCTGCAAGTCCTCATGCAGAGCGTGAGGACGTCCAGCATCAGTTAGGCGACCAAAAGTCGACCAATGACCCAGAAGTGCTCCTAGTGGCTGTCTGGTAGACTAGAGGTGGAGTTAACCCTGTAATGTAATTGTTGCAGTCTCTTAATAACAGCAACAATTACAATTGCAGGGTTAAACGGACAGGGGCACTGAACTCGGACCACTTCAATGAGCTTTAAGTAAACTTTGAAGGGAATAACTATTCAAGCAAGAATTTAAAACATGAGCATATACCAGGGACTAAATCGCTATAAGAAAAGCAGGATATCACGTAACTGAGAAAATAAATGAGCTAGCGCTAATCTGGCGCCATTCATTATATTTCTAACTAGTTAGGAAATCATGATATTTAATAAGCATCCTTTGACTAATATAAGATATTAAGAAAAATGCAAGATAAGTATTAATAAACATCAAAACAGCATGTAGTAATATAGTGCTTCTTACTGGCAGACATAATGGTGATTAACTGGTCTACTTGGCCAGGCCTAGATGTTTGACAAATGCTACATGGTGTGACTGAAATACTATCTCCTGTATCTGATTCCTATTAAAGTCAGCAGCCACCCCCATCTGATACTGAAGAGATTGCCATCTTGGGTTCATTGGTGCCACAGTAGAGTTTATGAATTATTGAAAATGAGTGGTGTCTCTAATTCGATGCCTCTGAACAGAAAGGTTTTGTGATGGACATTTGGTAGGTGACCTTCTCAATTCACAGTACAATTTATTGGGTATGTTTTACCCAGTCATTACAAGTATCTCCTCAGAGTTGTCTCTATGGACTCAAAAAACTAAAGGTTAGGATTGGTCGCTCACAGCCTGCTATTCCCTAGCTATATAATATTTGTTTAATGTTAGTTGTATTATGAGAACAGCAAACCTACATGGCCTGGAAGTCCAATCTAACATCTCTGCTAGTGGAAGCATAACACATTCATCAAGATTAAGTTACGTAATAAAAGTATTCTCCAGATAGTTACTCACTTATAAAAAAACAAATAAACACCTTTCACTAGTAGATTTTATTGTAGCAGTTAATCTTTAAATTATTA